GAGCGTCACACTGCAGAACCCTGGATGTTCACACCCTCCAAGCACTGCCTCTCTCCCCCATACGTCCCCCCATCCTCTCACCCCTCACATGCAGTCCCCCAGCTCCCATTAAACTGCACTCTCACACAGCCAACAGCCCTCTCTCCTGCCTCCCGTCCCACTCCCAAAACCCCTCACATCTCACCCACGGCGTGCAACATCTGCTCGGCACTCCATGCAAGACTCAAGATGAGACTGAAACACGTTCAAGTGACTCATTTGCATGCATCAGTGGATTCACATTGTGCTGTGAGACTGTGAAACCCAGGGAAGTCTCACACAGCAGAGCATTTAGGAATATTACACATTGTAGTTGCACTGAGTGGAAACACAGCAGGCTGCACTGTGAGCAGCTAGCAGCTCTTATGGCGGCTCAATAAAAGCTGTAATTTATGAATAACGTGGAGGCTGTGAGACATTTCACATTAAAAACTAGATTTTTGCTTAATGAAGTTTCGTGCATTGAACTTTCGTCCACATTTCCGCTGTACGGGGCAGTTCCCCGGTGAGTGACAGCCGCGGGAGCCAATAGGAAGCCTCGACCGGGAGCGTCGACCAATAGGAGCGCAGCGGGGGTTGGTTGCTACCAGGTCGTAAACGGTTAGTAACAGGACGAGCAGGTAAGTAAGATTTTGTTATTTTCTCAAACATTTTTAATATGTCGGCGAAAAAAAAACAGCAGTGCGTTTAAACCTCTTCTCTGGGAGCCGGTTGGATTTTTTTTCGGCGCACTTTTCCACCTAAAAACGGGCAAAAAAAATAAAAATAAAACCCCCCCCCCTAAAAACAAAACGGCAGTCATTGAGAAGTGACGGCTAGCGCTAGCGTTAGCCTGCTAGCTTCAGAGTGGGCTGCGATTGGCCGGCGTTAGCTCGCGACGTACGGATGCAAACATTAGCATCCCCGGGGCTAGCGTTAGCTCCCCAAGCAGCCGCTGAGGGGAAGAACAGTGACTGACCATTAGATCAATAAAATAAATCAATAAAATGAAACCAGTGGCAGCTCGTTGCTCCACCCGGGAGTCCGCGGAGAGCCCCTCCTCCTCGGGACGGTACTTTTATTATTCCTCGCGGGGTTTAAATTACTTTAACATGGAAAAACTTTTTATTTATAATTAAAAAAAAAAGCCTCCAGAGTTTAACACACCGCTGCAAAGACTTTAAATACAGAGAGAGGTACAGTTCGACCCCGCAGGACCCCGCAGAACCCCGCAGGACCCCGCAGGTACCCGGGGGAGAGGCAGGTACCCGGGGGAGAGGCAGGTACCCGGGGGAGAGGCAGGTACCCGGGGGAAACACACCTATTGTCCACGGTGCTTTTATTTTGACAGATCCACGATTGTGTACGATTTAGCTTTTTATTAAAACATTACAGCTCTTAAAACTGCACAGTATTTATATGATGTAATAAACTCACACACACACACATCAAATCACAATATTTCGCATCACAGATTCAGTTTTCACTCAATAAACAACATTAAAATCATAATAATGTGACGTTTGTTTGAGTCTGAGGCAAACAAACAAACATTAGTAGACCTCCAGACTTACAGACCGTCATTATAACACTGTTTGTCTCTCATTTTAACTTTTTGCTCTTTGCGATTTGCATATTTCACTTAATATTGTGAGTAACTGTGGAGCCCAAGTGCGATAAGCAAATCACAAGTTCGATGTGCAAAGGTATGTCTGGAAATTTGGGGCATAACTTAAGAGTTTACACACTTCTCCAGGCCCCACCACAACACTGGATGAAGGTAAAGTGAGAGACAAACAGTGTTATAATGACGGTCTGTAAGTCTGGAGGTCTACTAATGTTGTTTGTTTGGTTCAGACTCAAACAAATGTCACATTATCGTGATTTTAATGTTGTTTTCAGAAATAAAATACATTCACACAATCCCCCAATATGTAAAAATAAGAAGTTTCTACCATATGATGCAACCCTGATAGTATATAATATTATATAATAATATATTACAGGATTAAACTAATGTTTGTTTCTTCATCCTGTTTGTGTTTAGGTGCCGTGTTATCACCATGTGTGGAATAATGGCCCCTTGGATTACTGAACGGACTATTTCAACCATGGAGTTAAAGGTATTACTGAATAATTATTGTTATCATTTCATTTTATTTTTGTGTGTTTCTGACGGATCTGGAGGCCGCCGCCGCCGCCGCCTGCGCTCACCGGCTGTCAGGTGACCAAAGCAAGAAATGGAGAATGATTTGTGGATACCGGCGGCCCCCGACAGGACGGGAAGGAGCCACATGAGGTGAATTTGATTAGGATACCAACGGGCATCGCTGTGGAGGTTTTTTAAAACAACGGGCGTGTTCGACTGGGAGGAGACCCGGAACGTGCTCGATGGATTACATTGCTCATAAAGACTGTGGGAGCGCCTCTGAGTCCCCCCGGGAGGAGCTCAAGGATGTGTCTGTGGAGCTGAAGCTTGTTGCTATTGTGACCTGGAACCTGGACAAGAAGATGGATGTATGGATGGATGTGTAGCAGACGAGGATTGATGCAGCTCGTTGGATAACTTACTGGATAACCATCAAAGCACAGCAGCTGTTTGATCCTGACATTTGCCTCCCTGACACCTTTTTATGTAGATATAAATTGGATATAAATTTCAGAACAGTCACTCACTCTCATTCACACATGCACATTTATAATTAGGTATTTATTATGCATGTCTGCTCTGGCAGTCTCATAATGCACAAAGGCCACGCAAACGATCTGCAGGAAACAAGCTGCATGCATTGATTTGCATCAGTTTCCAGTAAAAGATGTTTACAGCCAGTCACTCTCATTGTCTTATCAGAGGCACTGAACCTAAATCTGAATGCACACTACTTATTTAACCCTTTTTTAAAAAGTGATTATAAGGCTTAAATTAATGATACACACAGTTATTATATTATATGTTTACGTTATAGCTCAGTGTTCCCAGGCAAAAACAACAGGAAGTGATAAACAGTTGTTTACTTAAAAGCCAAAGACGATAAGCAACACAAATCTATGAAGACGAGACATCAGTCAGACACACTGAAGTTATCTTTGTGAAAGTATCTAAGAGGAAAGTTTTATAAAACACAGGATAGTTACACCCAGTGATAATATGACATACGTCCCTCCCACCACCACACTGTAACATCGAGCTTTATTTATAGAAAGCGCCGTCAAATAATGAAGCAAATGAACAGAATGACACATCAAACACAGATATCATCAGTGTCACGTGTAATACCGGCCACTGTAACAGTAAAAACAGACTTTAATTTGTCACTAAATGTGTTGTTCACTTTCTCAGCCAAGCCCTAATATTTAAATGCTCGTATACGCTACCAAGTCAAATTGTAGTAGTCGAGAGTACGGAGGATGGACGCGTGTAAAGCAAGAGCGGTACAATGTGAGTTAAACCAGCCTGACTCATATTATTCTGCTGATTTCCAGTCAAACTTTATCTTGTTTACTTGTTGTTTAATCAAAACTAACGATATTTTAATACAAAACTCTTGCACAGCTAATTATAAAAAGGGTTTTGTAGAACTAAAAACTCAACAATAACCAGGCTTATTTAATGCTTGTTAGTTTGTGTAATATTATATATAGTTTAATATTACACCATCTTAATCCATTACAGTCAACCAGCTACAGACTAAACAAGACGAACAAAGCAGCTTAAAGGCCAATGTGTATTAAATAGTGTAGTGTATATATTGGTATGTTAGCTTTAATGTCCCCTCCTGGAGCTCCAGTGATCAGTGCAGCTTTTTGGTGGAGAAGAGCTCCTTCAAGTGGCCGCTGGCTGTACGTTCACACAGGGCGTCTGTAGTGGTGGGCGAGCTACTTCCTGTGAGCAGTGACATGAAAGGCAGACAGTCTCGACGCAGCCCAGATTTCTCCAAAGGGTAATCCCCCCCCCTCTCCTGTAACGCCTGATAGAAACAGGGAGCGTAATGAGTCATGGCCAGCACTTATTAATGTCATTATTTAGCTTTTTAGAGAAGCAGATCTAATCCTTAATTCATAAAAACACCAGGTATCAGGAAATTGATTGATCCAAGGGGGGAAATTGGCTAAACAAGACATTATAAGAGTAGAAAATGATAAAATATGTGCATTATATAACAATATATAACTATATATATATACAGAAAAACATTTAAATGTGGATATAATATAGTAGATATAAGAGAAATGTAATTAATTAATACTAATGATAAGTACTAATAACACTGAGAACTGTATAAGGCTAATCTATCGATACCTATCAATACAGACGTTGTGTCATAGTACACATATATAAAGCTGGTTTCATGCAACCAGAGCAGTGAGACCTGTATTTATATTAATCACAGCCTTCAGTTTACAGCACTGCTATCTAACTGTTGGGGGGGTTAAACACAACAATCAATACAGTGTTTTTAAGAGTTGATATAATATCACAAAACAAAATATTCTGATTTCTTTCATTATTTTCTTAAACCCTCTAAAACTGGTTAAACAACAACATACAGCAGTGGTTTTAAGAAAACCTTTAAAAATATAAACAATAGGCCCAAATCTCAGCATTTAATAGAAACAGTTTAATGGAGCAACGGTCAAACATCAGGGAGCAGAAAACACTGAATCTGTACAGAAAATAAGCTCATGTGTCTGTATGATTGTTCAAATATTATACATAATACAGAGTTATATAAAAAGTTACCGAAACAGGAAGTTATCTGCAGAATGAATCCAAATCTGGTTTCACACAAACTTACAGTTAATTATTAGTATTTTTATTTAACTGTACAGATTTTAGAAACACTTAAGCTGACTAAATGATATAAAAAGGGTTTATTATCAGTGTAAACAGTTTAATTTGAGCTTTATGTGGATTAAAAAACAGCACATATGGTGGAGAATAAACCAGCAGCACCTTTTTATTTTATTTATTTATATATTTATAATTATATAATAAATAAATATATGACATTATATTGTGCTTTTAGAAGACAATGCCCTCCTGTGGTATCTTTCCTTATGAGCTTTTTATGTTCCTTATCTGCCCTTTACTCTAGTGGTGAGTATGAGAAATGTCTCCCGCCTACCAGAGCGCACACACACACACACACACACACACACACACACACACACACACACACACACACAGCCCTTCTATGTTTGTCAGACTCAATCCGAGGGAGAGGAGCGAGCCGCCATTTTCTAAGCTGTCTCTCCCTAAAACGAGAGAAAACGGCTCGCCACTAACTGCCGTCTGGACTACCTTTCCGCGCAGCGACAACCGGGATTTTTCGGTGAAGGATTGCGGCGAAATCCACCTACATTTTGTTGTAATTTGGAGTACATCCACGGCCCTTTTTTTCTTGTCTTTTATATATATATTTATATATATATATATATATGTATTCGCTGGTAGCGGCGAGGCGAAGCTAACCGCCGAGCAAGGTGTAGATCGCTGATTCCGGAACGAAAACGAGGCCCCTCTTTTTTCCGGCAATCTTGGGGGTTTTATTTTTCTTTCTCATGGGATTAATTTAATGGCAGACTGATCGAGACCAGGTTTTTTTTTTTTTTTTGGGTTGCGTCGTGTGTGTGTGTGTGCGTGTGCGTGTTATCCACCGTTGTGTGTGTGTGTGTGTGTTTTTTCCAACCTAAAAACTGCAGGGGGATTGTTGCCGAAATTCCCTCGGATAGTGCAACCTCGTCACGTGGTAGGTTCCTCCTTTTTCTTTGTTAGCGAGCTAGCTTCAGTTAACAGGGTTCGCACACTCCTTCAACTCCTGCTCACTCCCTGCGTGTATATATGTGTGTGTGTGTGTGTTAATCTCACCCTCACACACCGGTTTATACTCATATATACTCATATATATGTGTGTGTGTTTTAAAAAAAAGAAGGGAAGGTAGTCGAGGGAGGTTACTTATAGATGTTTACAACAACAATAACAAGCTCGACTGTTTCCTTTGGTTTAATTGTTGAAATGCACATTGTGTCTGTGGTAGCTCTGCAAATAGGAAAGGAAATGCTCACATTTTAATGTTAAAATGTGAGTTTAAGCGAGCAGTCTGTGTTTATGTGGCAGTTCAAGGTGCTTCACAGGCATGATAAGGCAGAGTGGAGCCACTATTACACAGGATATAGTGATTAAATGTAGTGTTTTTAATATAAAAAACACACCAAACATTCAATATAAAGAACAGTTTCCTTAGTTAGAATGAATATAATGTGTTCTAGGGCTCAAATCTAGTAAAATAAGTTGCCAGTCAATCAGTCACACTGTGTTTGTATAGCCAAATTAAATTTAAAATAACAATACAATGATAGAAATGGCAGCACGGTGGATTTATAGTGTTGTATTTAATACAATCTCTACTAAAACACTAATTAGTTGAGTCATAGGGTTTTAGTTGGGATGCACACCTTGTCTTTCAGGTCTGCAAAAGGTCTGAGAGCTTTAAAAAACGAGTTATCAATCAATCAATCAAACTTTATTGGTACAGCACCTTTCATGCAGTTCAGAGGGCCTCACAGGGAAGATTACAATGGAGGCAGAATTACATTTAAATAGAATAAAATGACAATAAAACAGAATACAGTGTAGTATTTAATTAAATCTATACATATATATATATATAAATAGTTAAAGAATGAGGGTTAAACCTTTTTAGTTTAAAGCCTGCATAACGAGTGAAGGTGTTTTATAATAATAATAATTATTATAATTAAGATGTTTAATCATGCACAATAATGCTTTTAACACAAGTATGTTACGTAATGTTTACCTGCATAACGAGCTTATGCAAAAGTTCCATTTTCTCTCTACATGAATCCATTCAAACCAGAAGCCTTTTCATTTAATATATATATATAAATATATTTAAAGTGGAGTTAGTGGAGGGCTGGTGGTGTGATGAGGGAGGGAAGCAGTGTCTCCTCGGTGCTGCAGTTGGCTTTATCACAGAGCCACACTAGCTTTCTTACATCAGCAGCTAACTGTTAGCCACCAGCATTAATGTGCACGCAGTCTAGGGGGGGTAGATTAGAGGGGTATTTATCTGGAAGAGAGGGGTTGTTGTATCGGCTGCTTGAAGAGGGGGGGTTATTGATCAATAATTACCCCCCAAAAAAAACATGTTTTATGGTTTTTCCGGATCAGATGAGATAATGAAATAACATTATAAAGCTTCCTTTTTTTTAAAAAAATGTCTTTTTTGTAAACACCAGGAAGACATTTAGGTGATTACGTTATGGTTGACTAACGTCGGATGCGTGTGCGTGCGTGTGTGTGTGTGTGTGTTTGTCGCAGCTCTATATCGAAGCTGTGTGTGTGTGTGTGTGTGTGTTGTCTGTATAATGCATTTTAAAAGGTGTGCGTTTTAGCAGAGCGTTGTGTTATTTGATTTCCTCCCTCGCAGTGTGAGCGGGTTTCGGTGTGTGTGCAGAGGACTGGGCGGGGGTTTGAAGGCAGATGAATTGCGTTGCATAATCTCGCTTCGGAAATACCAACATGGCGTAGTGCGCGTTGACTAGAAACTGCGGTGAAATACTGAGCTCCTCTCTGTCTCCTGACCCTGCAGACGATACGCGGAGATGCAGCTTATTATTGTTTTATACTGTATTTATTAATGTATATGTGTGTGTGTGTGTGTGTGTATGTGGTGTGTTTGTTTAAAAAAAGAAAGCATGAAGAGGAAGTATGGATATACAGGCAGTAAAGTGAGGCAGACATGTTAACCACTGCTGCTGCTGCCTTTAATCTCCTTTTTTACATGTTTAATTTTAAAGGTAATTTGTTTGGGAATATATATATATATATTGGGAAGGTTTAATAGGTTGAAGCTGAAATGGACATAGTCAGGATGACATCATGTGCTTTGGACTAATGCTGGGGCCTAAATCCACCTACTTACACTGCCTGTGTGCTGCACACTGACTTACCCAGGGCACATGTAGGGCAGTGGGGTTTTTTGGGACAATTTGCATCAGCTTTTTCCTGTTTTCTAACTTTTTTTATTATAAGAATTGAATTCCTAGTGCTTATTTCTATAAAGAGGAGCCTTGTAAGTAAATGACAATGAGGGCTTGTTCACAGAAGCATGGGTGTAGTGGGAATTATTTATTGGCCCGGGTATGTAGCTCAGATGTCTGCTGTTATTTCATCTATATCGTTAGCATCCCATTCACCAAGGTCAGTGCATATCATTAGTTTTTATTTATTTTAAGTCACAGAGAGAGGTGGGCCCTCTAGATAAATACATTATTGTGATTACAAAAGAATCAAATTACATTTTCTGGGATTTTTTTTCTGGAAAAGATTGAGAGTAAATGTGATAATCTCAGATGTTCCTCCTCTTCTCCTGCAGCGTTTCTTCCTGGTTGCTTTATGTAGGATCATTTTTAGCAACACTTTCAAACCAGTAGGTCAACAAAATGTCAGTGAGTCACCAGTTAATTTGATTAGATCCTTTAAACTAGATTAGTTGTAGACGTTTATGGCAGGTTTGGGATGCGTTAGACATGTTAAAATGTCATATTTGTGCATTTTCATGTATTATAGTCGGTGCCAAATATTTTTGTAAATGTTTCTTTCCTTCTGGGTGGTGGTTAGTAATTTTCCACTCACTCCAAAAGGCCTACAGAACCTGTAGTGCAAGTACTTCAGTTGTGTGTTTTATTGTATTTAGGTGCAGCCTTGTCCGGTTGCTTTTACATTTAACAAATAGTTTTTAAGATGTATATGAATATGTAAAAATATACTTTATTAAACTCCATGTGGTCATAAAGCACTTTGAGACTGAACTGTTGTATTTTATGCCCAGTATTTCCTCAAACATGTGTTCAGGCGAGTTCACTTAATACAAATTAATCTTCAGTTGAGCAGAATTAAATCAATATTTATATGTATGTTTGTTTACACTGTGAATTGTTGATGGGGGTGAAATATCTCCAACTAGGATCTGAACAGGATGTAGTAAGTTTTTATCCATGCTTGTGTTCATTGGACTAATATCTTTGTGTGTTTTTTTTCCTCTTTGCTTTATCCAGGCTGTCCTCAGGTGGGGCAGTAAGCGGGTGGTGTGGAGCAGGCCGCGGTGCCCGTCCCTCTGCACTGCATGGCTGCGATGGCGCCCGCTCTCACCGACGCCCCAGCCGAAGCTCACCACATCCGCTTCAAACTGGCTGCCCCATCCTCAAGTCTCTCACCGGCCAGTGCAGAGAACAACGGTAACGCCAGCAACATCCTTATCCATAGCAGCGGCCCCGCCAAGTGCAAGGCCACCTCCGAAGAGTGCCCCCTTGACTTTTGTGGCGGCGACCAGGAACAGCAGCAGCAGCAGCCCCAAGCCGACTCTGTGGCTCAGGCCTCGGCCCTGGGCAAGCTCCAGCCGCTGGTGGCTTCTTACCTATGCTCTGATGTGACACCTGTCCCTTCAACTAAGGAGTCAATCAAACTGCAAGGAGTCCTCATCAAACAGTCTGTGTTGAAAGGCCACAGAATACTGCCCAGCTCCCTGCTCAACGGCGGCGGGGACTTCCTGTTGAGGAAGAGGCAGGCGATAGAACTGTCTGGCGGCCATCTCAAAAGCCTCATGAGTGGCAGCACCAACGGAGGTGGCCAGCCCATGGCGCCCGTCAACGGCCTGGCCAAGAAGCTGGCCACTATGTCCGGCCCTGGCTGTGTGGTGGCGGTGAACGGTGACAAGCCTTCTGCCACCACAGACTCTCAGTCCCAGAACCTGCCCCTGGACTCGGAGACCTTGACGGCCACCTTATCGGGGCACATCCCGGTGAAAGGAACCCTTAAACAGAAGCATTCCTCTGGGGTTTCTCAAAATACAGATGGAAAAAACCTTGAACTACCAGTGCTTCAGTCTGTTGAACTTTCCCCCTTTCCCCACGGCAACCCGAACCCCACTGAACGAGCAAATTTGGAGGAGACTGATTCACACACGCCTACCAGTCAGCCACAGGGTTCGGATAGGGAGAGACCAGGTAGCAGCCAGCAGGGCTCCCCGTCTTGCACGCCTGCACCGCAGCCTCCTCTGCCCTGTAGCTCTTCCTCAGACAGCCTTGATAGTCACGTTAGAGAGCGCACTCTCCTCAACAGCAGCCGCCAAGCTGAGATCGAAAGCCGACTACGGCGCCTGCGCAAACGTCTTCAGGTCGTACAGGCCAAGCAGGTGGAGCGGCACATTCAGCAGCAGCTAGGCGGCTTCTTGGACTCGGCTCTCAACCGGCTACTCGCCGGTAACCGCAAATCAGAGACGGCGACCCCGACGGCTACGTGGAGGACCGGACGCCACTCTTCCTCAAACAACAGAGACAGCCTCAGCCGCTTCCTGAAAGGCGGCGCCATGCCCTTGGAACTGGAGAGGCTGTATCTGAGCGGATCGGCCAACCTTCATTCAGTAGAAAGCGCCTTTGACTCAGATGTAACAGAAAGTAGCTCTGGAGGGGACTCCGACCTGGAGGAGGAGGAGCTAGCCAGAGTTGACATTGAGCAGCGACATGTGAAAATGTAAGTAAAAAGTGTCCTCACACACTGAGACATGAAACTTATCTAGTGCTGCACACACACACAATGGAGAATTTACTCCTAAAGGATAAAGTTGAAGGCAGCAATCATGTGAAAAATAGGGATCTTGGAGAATAGGATTAATTTCTCCATGGCCTGAGTAACGTACATTACACTCACATTTACATGGAGCTGTTCGACTGTGCTGTGAAACTGCATTTTGTAGCCCCGTGCAATATGCTGTTCAGGCCTAGCAGGTGCTAATGACAATCATAACTGCCCCGGTCTGCCTCAGTAGTGGTCGGGTCAAACTCCAGGGAGGGGTAGAGATACCGTCCGACCAGAGGGCAGTCGTGTGGGTGGTACCGGGCCTCGAGCTCTCTCTCGTCACACAGCGCTTCCTCCTGAGAGAGAGCCGAGGGCTGAAACCGAACGTTGTGTTTATCTGCAGAGCGAGAACAAGTGAGCGCCCACAGAGCCAGTGAATGTTTTCATTTAAACTGAAACCAACTAGAAACATCGAGTTGGGGGTGGTGGTGGTTTTTGCAGAAAGTGTGGGGTTTTTATGTTTTTACATGCAGCCCGGTTGTGATGTCAGGTTTATGTATTTCATGGGAAGTTCACAGCAAGCCTCCTGGTTTCTGTGTCATTAGTGTGTGGAAGGGGGGGGGGGGATGAGAGACTACAGCAGGTGGGTCTGCAGCGTTAATGGGCTTACTGACCTGTGCGGGATTGGGTTGATTATTAACAACATGGCGAAGAACACCGATTTTTATTATCCTTTCTTGTGTTGACTTTAGACCTTTGACCTAAATATCCTCATAACATTAACAGGAAGTGTGTTTGTGTTGCATGTGCATGATCCAAAAGCAGTTGGATTGTGTTCGTTCTGTGTCTTTTTTGCGGTTTAAGGTCAAAGGAGGTGTTGGAGCAGTTTTTCTGTGGAAATTTATAGCGCGTCAACTTCAAGGAGAACAGACAGTGAGCTACTCTTTATGTAGAGAAAGCAACAAATCATTATAAATATGGTACTTTGTGTAACCAAAGGTAGCAAACACCCTTTCTGCTTATTATTATAGAACTAAATTCGACACTTTTTCTTCTTTAAAACCTGAATATTATGTTAGTTTATGTATGTAACAGTCTCATAATAACCAAAACTAGCAAGTAAAACTGTGAATATTGTTGCTTTTCTCTTCAGATAATGACTGAAGTGTTAAAATATAGAAGTATATGTGTGTAGATAGTGAAGGTAAAAGAGTATCTAATGGAGAAGACTTAAGGTATACTGATTCTTTTCTTTGATATAGATGTTTTATGTTACTCTTTAATCATAAAATCACACATTGAGGCAATAAATAATAGGACAAGACCTTATTGTAGCAGTTTTACTATAAGAGAAGACTTTGATTTCTCATTCACGTCCAGGTTAATCAATTAATAGTCAATTATAAGTAAATTACCAGTGATTTTACATGATATGTGCACCCCTCCACTCTTGTTTACATTTATTTGATGATTAATAATGAGTTATTCTTAGTAATGAAAGTGAAAGCTGTACCTATCTAGAGGGGGTTTGGAAATGGATACCCTTGGAAGTGGTAGGTGCTTTCCACAGTTAGTAAATGTTTGAATACCAAAAGGAGTATATATTGAATTAGGGCTCATTTTGTTTGTAACAGTGGACGAGACGAGGCTACGTTGGGGTCACGATGATAGAAACTGGAACGTTTTTAAATAACATTTTCTCATTAAATTAAGAATAGAATGATTCAATCAGAGTGGATGTTTTGGTACATCCATGCATTGTCCTTCTGATTGTCACTGGGTTGTTTTTGTGTAAACACATACCAAATAATTACATCCCATAAAATATAAATGCCACACTAGGTTAAAGGCCGCATTAATTATAGGTGTCCATGAATGGGGGATTGATTTATAGTGGAACAAGGGGTTTAACTCCTTGTCGTCGCGCTACTTGATGACAGATTGTGTCATACTTTATCTTTTATATACCCAAAGTAATTGTGGGTCATTATATCCCGCTCTGATTAAAAGGAGTCGGCTCTGGTTGTAGACCAATCGTATTCCTTGCAGTTGAGTAACGTACCTAACATGTAGTCCCTCTGAAGGATGTGGAGGTCTTTTAGGTCATCTTTTGGAAAAGGGCAGCTACCTCCAATCTAATGGGAACATGGCTCCTACCTAGCTCATTACAGCCACCGCTGCTTTCCTCCCAGTCTCTTGACGAAGCATCCTCTAATAACTGATATTTTTTTTATCCTCCTCTTCATCCTGAGCCACTGTAAATCTTGTGTTAGCGCGAACATGACAACATCTTTGTTCCTGCTTTACCTGCAGCCGTCCGTTGTATGGGGGTTTTATTGTGAAGCAGCTACAGCTTCTTGCAACATTAGTCACCTCAGTTACTCCTCAGTGTGTAGAAATAGCTCTACATGAATGTATGGATGTTTTTGGTCCTTTTTTATTGGCAGTGGATCAGTATTAAATATATTAGAGTGGCTTTTCTATACCTCCATTTAAAAACACTGCAGTTATATGTATTCTAGCACATTCAAGAACTATATACTATTTTTAATTAAAGAGCAATTTCCTTGTTTCTTTCTGTAAGAAGCTTATTGCGACATCCACCTGCCACACCAGGTGTACTGCAGTATATTGACCTGTATGGTTATATATACAGATGTAGTTACTGATAACTATAATACATCATCCCATCTGGGCTTGTCTTTGTGTATATAGGTTACTTAAATGCTCTTTTGGTTATAACACCACGCTCCATATGAAGAAAGCTTTCATTTTCCTAATGAATCTGTCTGACTGGGAGGAAAACCACTGATTAATCAGTAAACTATAATCTTTAGATGCTGACCCACATTACAGCCTGCTACAGCATATATTGTGATGTCCCTGCAGGAGTTATGTCATTTTTCACTCACAAAAATAACCCTCGACCTGAGCGCACTTGACAACTGGTTCGTGTTTTATAAAGACCACAAGAGTTCTGTCCATTGTCCCTTTTTTATTACTTGCTGCACAATACAGCAGAATTATGCAATTTGAGCAAAACAAAACCGGCTCAGATGTTCTTGAATAAGCCTTGTGTGGCAGTGTTTGTATCGCTGCCACAGAAGCACCTGTCACTTATAGGTTTGCAAATGTTTGCCAAGTGGTAGCACATGTAAGCCTAATAATTCTCTGTACACCGAGTGAAAGCTGCCTTGGAAATTTAAAACTGTCCATCTGTAATGCCTTTTTATAAGCAGCTGTCTGATGCACTCTGTATAATCATCCTAACCACAACAAGTTAGACAACTGGTTCCCAGCCCTGCACAGGAGAAACCATACCTCATCCTCCAGCTGTGTGTGTGTGTGTGTGTGTGTGTGCGTGTGTCCATAATGCCACATTTTCACAACTGACATTTTGTCCCAGTTACCAATTAATGGCTTACAGCTCTATACCAAGTCAACACTACAGACAATGTAATGTCTTCTTCGGGGCGGCAGCACCTCAATTATTTAACGTCAGCTGAGTTTACAGCAGTGTGGAAAACAACCTATTTGGTCTGCTTGTTTGGATGCAGTACATTGCTTACAACTAATCCTGTCATCCCTGTCTATACTGTAGACGTGGTTTCCCGTATCTTAGAGGATTGGGGGCCTGCCAACATCTGTTGCCGTGCTTATGCTGCAGGGCCTTTCTGCTGTAGCCGGTGTGTCTGTCTTTGAATGTGACGTCCATAACGGCCTCAACCAGGAAGTCTGCTTTCATACTAGCTGCAAAAAAAAAAAAATGACAGAATGAGACAAGCTGGATACGTTTTGAGAGATAATGTGGAGCACTGGTTGTTCTGTGTTAAGAAGCGAGTGGGCACAGTTTCTTGTTTCTGAGGCAACAATAATGCTCATCAGGAACTCTCACCGCTTACATAATGGCTCATAGACAGAACAATGAAAATGTCTGAAATGCTGTCAACTGACCGGCAACCGAAATGCACCTCGGTTTGCAGCCGGATGATAAAACCGGGGGCTACGTGAAGCCGAGTACACGTTTGTATGATCTTTATGCAATAAGACAGTTAAAGTGCCTGTCTGCCTGCTGCCCGTGAACTAGGGTAACTAGGTTGGCTGAGACTACAGCGTGCCTTTCATGCTTATGGCTCAGCATTACTCTGCAGTCTGAGTAGCTTAGCTATGTTTTCCCCCTCTTTTCATTCCTGTGTTTGTGTGTGTGTGTGTGTGTGTGTGTGTGTGTGTGTGTGTCTTTATGCCTGTATAGTATAGGTTACTGTCCCGTTTGACACATCTGGATGTGTTTAGCTCGGCCCAAAGTTCCTCAACACGAACCCTCAGGCGTTACATAACCCCCCTCTTTTATGTAATGACTGCTGCTGCAGCTCTCTGGCTGAGTTTACCCTCTCTAGTTTTTCCTGCCCCACACCCTGTCGGCCGGGCCAGGGCCTCGCTCACGGGCCCCCGGCTCCCTCGCAGTTCTTCCTGTAAGAGATGAGTTTAACCAGCTGTCCTGTGAAACTCCAGCCAGCCTGTCCTGGCACGTCAGAATAAAACCTGACAAATAAGAACATTTTCAGCCTCCATGAATGTTTCAGCTCTTTTTTTAATGTGCTTTTTGAAAAATTCTTGACTCTGGAGAACAAAGAAAATAAAATGACAGCTGCTGCTCGCTCTGATTTCCCATGTTCTCATTACTGAGCGGGAATGATGACTGAATGGGTTTGTGAAGCATAATTGCCAGAGTTTTTTTATTGTGTTTCATATGGAATAGGAAAATGTCTGTAGGCCTTTGTTTTGCATATTATAACCACGTTCCTCTGGCATGTTGTTGTGTAAGGGGAGCCCATGTTTCTAAGTATGAACACAAGTATGATGAAGTGTAATTTATGTAATCACTAGCTGTCACCTGATGCACATATATACAGACATGTGCCTGTGTAGAGCTGCCCTGATAGTATCTGTCATTACTCCTAATACAATAGTTAGTTAACCCTCATTATCTATGTAGCTACACACTGCTCTGACTCCAGATTTAACCAAAAACAAAGCACCAAATCCATTAGATTTAGATGTGTTTGGCAAGTCACATCATGATAAAAAGAACTTAGTTTATATAAAATAGTTGCTTGTTGTGATACACAAAATGTTATTTGATGTAAAAATACCGAACAGAAGCCATAAAAATAAAATAATCATGTTTATGTTCAGTATTTGCTTTTTAAGCCGGGGAAGCGTCCCACAGCGGCCGGGCTGAAGTGACTCGACACAGCGGAAGCGCCGTTTAAAGCGCGGTGACACTCGGTATCCCTCAGTTCACAGGATTACAACACCACACAGGACAAAGTCACATAGCCTCCACTAATTCTGCTCCGCCAATTATCACAATTTACCACAGCTTGTGTTCAGCAACATCGCCTGTGTTTCAGTTTAATGAGCGACCCTGTTAACTGGCGAGCAACTGGGGAGTGAAAGGCAGGAAGCAGGAAGAGGGAGAGTGCAGGTGATTAGTACAAGCAGGTAAAGAGAGGAAACATTATAAATAATATGCAAAAACAACAAAAATGGCGTCCAGAACACGCTTTTGAGCAGTAAGGGAAGTTCTTTCACCACGAATGCCCTACTTATTGGTTCCTGAACGCAACGCAAGCATGTTTGTTTCCTGTATTGTGATTGGCTGTGCGAGAGCTTCCAGTCCGTGCACAGTCTGCCAATAGGACCGTTAGCTTCAAGGCTAACTGAGATAACGGACTTTCCTCCTGCGGATGTCCTCCAGTCTGCAGCCGGGTCCACACAGTAGCTGATATTGTGTATTTAAGGTTGCTTTAGTGGTACATTAAAGGTAAAATATAGTAACACAAGATGGTTTAAAGGGACATGAGATTAATTTGTGTGTGTATTTACTTTGAATTCATGCTCGTGTGAACGTTTTGCCTTGATATTATCTTTTAATTAAAGTTCTGTGATTTGTTTTTTAGAAACATAACCTGGTATATTTGTGGTATAAACAATAACTACTGTTAAACCAGAAAAAAATAAGGAAAGGGATTTATTTTTTCAACATACTGGAATCGAAACTGGGAATTGAAAGCAGAATCGGAATCGATAAAATCCAAGAGATACCGATCTAATAACTGTTAACTGCTGTAATGGCCTCATATAATCCTGTTTGTTAGGTCTGCAGAGAGTTTTAGAAAGTGCAGTGTTGAACTACTGTGACAGGATGGTTTGGAGACCCTTACCTCTCTCTCTTCATTGTCAGCTTCAGCGTTCACGTTCTGTTTTCAGTGAACAGCAGCACATCTTGTAAAACCTTCCTGAAACAACATAATGAATGGAAGTGTGGAAAAAGGAACCGAAGCAGAACTGTCTCTATGTGAGGAGAGACGGCAGGTTCAGGGATGGAGAGAAGTTGGATCGCTGCAGTTCACTTCCTCCTTTTGTATTTATTGATATTAATCGTGGTCTATTCTTACTGTTTGGCCCTTAATTAACATTTTGGTATCGTAATTGAACCTTCACATGTATTGTGTATGTATTGATTTGAGGTTTTTCAATCATCAGAACAGAAATATAATTGTATCGTGATGTTGCCTTTGGAGGTTTTCCTGCTCCAGTTTAATAACTGTCAGCACGATATTCTGATCAAACTGTACAGCCACGAACAAATAATGATGCATTCAGGGTTCCTGTTGTGTAAAAATGTCTCCGTAGTGGAGTGGGGGATAAAGTATAATGATTATGAACTCTTGTGTCTGAGTACATGTGCTCATAGTGCTGAGTGATGATAGGACAATACCTAGAGACTCGCATATTAAGTTTACACATTATTAATTTACACGGCTTCTTACCAAGCTGGAGAGTAAATCTCCTTCCACCACGAAGAGGAAGTGCATCCTCCTCCAGCATTAACAAACACACGGTGGAGGTGGAGTAGAGGCGGGCGGAAAGATGAATGAAACAACTCGGTTTGACACACAAATGGTGATTTAAAGACGCTCACTCGCAGCACAGTACGAGCTGCACCTATGATGATGTTTGGTGCTCGGTCCGCTCGGTGGGGGTTAGCCCCTCGGCCCAGAGGTTTGTTGGTTTTGGGGAGGGGACGGTATGGTTACAGGGGTTGACCTGCACCATACAACATATGTGCTGCATCCAGAGAAGCACCACAATGGAGAATGTGCTGACAGCCAGAAAACGACTGGCGGTAGTGATTGCCGCTGGTGCTTTGTGTGTGTGTGGAGGGGGGGGGGAGGAAAACATGTCCTGGTTAGAGTCGGGGGGGAGGGGGGGTAGGTAGGGAGGTGGAGCTCCTAGTGTCAGGAAGGGGGGATTTCTCAATGCTGCTGACTGACCCCTCCTCCTCATCCTCCGCCGTCACTCTGATGATTAAGGTCATTGACTTGTAATGGTGCTTTTATTAAACTACAGTTTCAGCTCTTCCTGCATTCCTCTCTCTATCATCTATAATCAGTGGACCCTTTCTACTCTCTCTGTAGTTAATTCACCTGGTTTATCGGCTGGCATCCTGCAGTATAACCTTAATAAAGCCCCCTTTCTTGATCAGGACTGTGACCTTTGTGGCCTTTAAGGAGTTCTTAGACAACTCGTTTAGAGCTGCAGTGCTGTGCTGCGTGCAGAAGCAGCAGCAGAAGTCCGCCCTGGTAGCTATTGGAAACCATACGTTGTCGCGTTACATCTGAAAAGGGACCTTTTTACTCTCCTTTGGAAGCAGGCCAAAGCTGAGATGTTTGCCCTTTTCTGTCACTGAGCGTATGAATTTCCTTGAGATCATTTTCCAGTTCACCCCGAGGGGTGTTACACCTGGCCCGTCCTCCCTTTGGTGGATCAGTTGTCCACCCACCACCTGGTGAGTCACTGCACGCAGACTTGATTTGTGCAGCCGACTGTGCGACACACTTTGCGCCACCGCTGTTGTTCCAAGACGGGTCTCCACGGGGACTCGAGGATGCAAATGAATTGCCAGTGCATTGATCTGATGCACCAGCTCATGGGGCGTGTTCAGTGGTGTTGCAGCTTGTGTTGTAAGAACAGTTCACGTTTGTTTATCTGTGCAGAACAGGACTGAGTCTGTAGAATAACAATAGGAAGTGTTATTAGCAGGTTAACACTGCAGCTGTATTTGCAGCAGTGTCCTTGATTCTTTGTTGCAGCGAGGAGGCCGCAGATTGTTCAATGTTGTGGCAGAGTAAAAGAGAGGAATCAAGATGTCTTTGGGTGCACTGATTGGTGGTTGATGTCTGCGTCAAAGCCACAATAACTCTCCTTCCGCTCAGCTCCACAATAAGACAGGATGCCTGGTTGGATTATTGGTTATCCCAGTGTCTGCCGCACTGTTCCCTGACCCAGCCCCACCCCCCCTCCAGTGCTCTGTGGCCTGTAGATTGCTTTTAAAGCCCGTCTGTTCCTCTCCAGGCTGCCAGAGCTTCCCAGTCCTTGTCTTTCTTTTACTCCCCCTCATCCTCCCCTTCCTTCCCATCTCTTCTCCCCCTCAGAGCAGTAGCCTTTTCCCGACTTCCTCCATCCTGGTTGAGCTCTGAAAATTGAAAACAGAGACGGGTGTGGGGAGGAGAAAGCGCAGAGGAGTGCAAGGTCTATCTTTGTCTGCCATCTGAGTCATTTTTTTTTTCTTCATTGTTCATCCACGGTCACTGCAGCTCGTATTTTGATGAAACGGCGCCCTCTGTGGTCGCTGCTGCTCGGTGCAGGAGCAGACATTTTCCTCTCATGTCTGCCTTTTGAAATGCCCATTCTGTGTGTCATACTGGTAAAATGGAGTTCTCTGCTCCCGGTTGGCGTTCATCCTCTGCCATGAAATGAATCAGTGTAATGAAAACCCACATTTTTATTTGTCTTCCACACTTTGAGCTGATGCCTGATTATCTTGTTTGTGGATTAGAGTGTTTTTCCTGGGTGCCTGCAGTTGCCTTCGCTGGGAGCTTTGTATAATGCTGATTCACTGACCTCTGCAGTCTGACGGGGGAAATGCTCGGAAATAATGTGATCTGAATGAGCAGTTTCATTAATATTTAAACGTGTGACAGACCAGACAGTCACCATACCTGCCTGTACACTTAAAACTGAATAATAATCATATTTAGGGAAATAAACAGACTGAAATTAAGGAGAAAAACAATTTAACAATGATATAAAACAGAGAGAAACAGAAAATCTTACAATCTGAGAGGCTTAGAATATATATAAAATAAATATAATATTTTTTGGGGAGTTTGGTTTAATCAATATTTAAACTAGTTGCTGGTTATTTGTCTAACGATGGACTAATTGTTCCAGCTCTTTTTAAGCTATATAAATCATTACATTTGTAGTGTATATTGTAGATTTTGTTGCAGACTTTCATCAGAATCTCATCTGTAAAACGAGCACTCACACCCTTTTTTGACCCCCAGATGGAAGCGGGCAGAGAGCCGCTACACCGTGGAGAGAGCTGCTATCATCAGCCACTGGAACTGGCTCCAGGCCCACATCTCGGACTTGGAGTACCGCATCCGACAGCAGACAGACATCTACAGACAGATCCGCGCCAGCAAGGTCAGTCGCTCACTCTTTGTGTCCGATGTGTGTTTGTTTGTTAAATACTAGAATATAATTGTCTGATATGTCTCTCTGATGGATTATGTGCAGCGATACTCGGAGCTCAGGGCTCCAGACTAACTTTGTCCACTGGTAATACTGGTGCTGCTCAGTTAGTCGCACCCTTTGTCTTTTACGGTACGATGCCGTTACGTGCTGATGAATGGATGCTGAAATCTAAGTCGTAAGATGTTTTTAATCCAGTAAAACGGGGAATAAATGAATGTGGCGCTGGGTATAACGTAGTGTTAACTGCTCAGCTTCCAGACTGTGGTCGGGAAGCACAGAAGGAGACTTTGTTTTCCTCCAGGGCCGAAGTCGATGCTGACTTCCAGGCTAATCCGCTTTACTTTTACCCAGCAGCTGGGAACCAAGACACGGGAACTTCCTGGGTATTGAGGGGCAAACTGTAACCTTTACTAGCCACTAGACAACTTCACTGCAAACCTTTTCCTCTGCTTCACTCAACCACACACATATTCCCTGTTCCTTAAAGGAACAGAGGGTTAAACTCAATGTGCAGGGCCTCTCCGGCTCTGGAGGGAGACGTTTCTACAAATACAACCACGTAATATTTAAAAATGGTTGCAGTCTGGAGCCCTGGAGCTGTTTGATCAGTTCATAAATATGATCCTTAAATATATATATATACACACACACATATCTTTGGGGTGGAAGTGTAACGCTCAGGTCTTGATTCTGTAGGGCTCAGTAGAGTTGGGAGGTGTTGCCCCCAGCGCAGTGTCTGCAGGTGGGACAGAAGTGAAGACAGAGCCTGTAAACACTCAGGTAAGCAGAGTGAAAGTCAACATGGGCTGGTGTTCCCGCACTGCTGTGCTTTGGCCATATTGTGTCTCTAGGGGCAATAAACCAAATTAATTTGTGGTGTCCGCGGCCTCCGAGGTAAACTCAGTCAGTTCTGGTTCGTTCACAGTTTGAGGCGTTTGTGTGGTATTCAGCATTTTGTGCTGCAGCCCAGTCAATAAGTCTCACTCTCATCCTGTGGAGGTTGCTTCTCATCGTTCTTGACTTTTTATATTAGGTGATACATTGTGGTAGTGATTAAAAATTACTAGGCCATTGGGGGGGAAAGAAGCACCCGTTTAAAGAACTCAGTTAATGTGAATGTGTAATAAAGAATGAGAAGAATGAGCCTTAAAAACTTGGTGTAATTTAGGACATATTTAGCTGTAATTTAGGTCATAAAGCTGCAGCAAAAGAAGCACCAGAGCTTCAAACATTGTCATAAAAAAAACATCCAGCACATTCATGTTCACCTACACAAGTATGAAAAATATTAATAATGCTCGCTACAAAAGAAATGAGTTTTCAGGAAGTAAATGTATAAAGTTCACAGTAAATATTTGACTAAACATGCCTTCATTCAACACTTGATGGTATATTGGTAGGTGTGTGTTTATCCAGAGGTACCTGATGATCAATGAAACATTCGGCGTGTTTGTTCTCGTCGAAGCATCTGCTGCTAATGAAATGTTAAATGTTGACAGGAAATTGTGTTTTTAATCTGTCTCTCAGGTCTGAATGGAATTAGACAGAATTACTTCTGTGTAATAAACTCGTTCAACATTCATTCACAAATCACTTATCACACCATCTCTTGTCTCTCTGGGTATGTTTACATTGTTTGTACCAGTGTTGAAACCAGTCAAACCAGCACAACAGCAGGAGTGGCCTCTTATCCTGCTGGTTTCCTCTTGGACTGCTGTGTTTTCTGATTCGTCACACAGTCAGTTTTAGCTTTAACCTCGTTAAATAGTGTTGATTTTAAACAACTTTTAAATCTAGAAGAATGAGTGGAATTAGTGAGACGTCTACGATAATGTCTGAGTGAAACCATGTGTTCATCTGTGTGTGAGAGCTCGTGAAGACGGAGCTCCCAGCGATCTTGATGACTGAATAGAAGTTTTTGGGGAGAGCCCAGCCCTTTTTCACAAATCTAGACTGAATAATTCAACGCCACAGGACCGGGGGATGATTCAGTTAGTCTATTATGTAGTTTCCTTAAATATCTCCCGTGTTTCGCCGAGCGCCGCTGGTCAGCCTGTGCTGCTGTGCCAGTTAACACGAGGTGTAATCTCACTGGTTTTGTCTTATCTCTCGATGCAGGATGTTGGTTCAGAACGGCTGGAGCACACAGGCGCCGCCCACATCACCAGCGCAGAGGCCGGCCCTTGGAAAGGTCAAAACGCACAACCGGTTAACGGCGTCCTCAGCAGGTACAGCTGATAAGTGATGGTTGTACCGTTTCACTGCAGGTCTTGATGATAATGGAGTTCAGGGAGAAAGAAATCCATAATACAGAAATACTGAATATGACTTTAAATGTGGGATTTAATGTTCTTTTATGTGTCACATATGAAAGTAAACTGAGTGTTATTATTGTTATTGGATGAAACAAGCAATTTTACAGGCCTGTTAGAAATTACAACCATTATTTTTCACTATTTTCTCACATTTCAAAGACAAAATGATGAATCGTTTGAGAAATGGGCTCGTCAATTCATAAAAAATGATTCTTTTTTTGCAGATCTAATGTTACCGTTGCTGCTGCATCTTAAACTGAGATTAGGTTGTGAGGATTTTACTGTTCCCTGCTTAAAAAGCTAATAAGATAAACATCAGTGTCTGTTTTCATCGTCAATATTCACTCGCGCTGTTCAGAGAGACTAAAAATAGATGCCTACACATTCCCGATTATCTTTAATTAACTCGGTCGTCACTTGAGACAAAATGTGTTTCAATTTAATTTGAAGGTGTGAGATCTGTGACCTCATGTGTGCTCTGTTGGTTGTCCTCGTGACAGGATGGCGGAGAGTGCGGACGCCAAGCACCAGCAGCCGTCGGCCCACGACAGCACATGTGTGGCTGCGCGTACGCGACCACTAGTCAGCTGTCGGCGACGGCGGCTAATTCAGCCCAACACGGTGCCCAACCTGAACGGCAAGGTGAGCGCCACTGTCCGCGTTTGTGTTGGTGTAAAGTCACTATGAGAGAGTTTTATTCTTAGACAACATGTTGTGTGTCTGGGCTGCACTCACTCATTAGCTCCTCAGTTTGTAACCTAATAGCTGAGTAAACAAGAGATGGATGACTTGTTTATGAAAAACTAGGGCAAACAACAAAGAAGAGTAATCAACCTTGTGACGACTCACAAGTTTTAGTTGAGAAAAATAGAAACAATCGGTTGTTGATGACACCCCCCCCCCAAACATTACAGCTCAGGGTTGTGTGGGACTTTAAATAAATAAATAAATAAATGTGTTACTGTAAGGCCTGATCATATCTTATATGTACTCCCTGCTCATTTTTAACCAATATAATGAGATTTCTTTTACACTAACAGAACAGTTAGTGGGACACATCTGTTATACTGTTAATTTACACTTTCAGCTACAGGATTGATGTATAATTTATTATTTATGTATTTAATCTGGTTTTTAAATTATCCTGCAATTCAGCGCCAAGTAGAACTAATACAACCATTTGTGAGAAATACAGGTAGTCACCATATAATGCCTTCAAAGAGGGGAAATGTACGCTGGGCTGACTCACTTTTTAAACTCCTGCGGCACATTAAATTACAGGATTTCTAGAAGCCAGTTGTTCTTTTATGTGTAAACGTTAGAAGATGAATCATGAATATTCACAGCCGAGCTTTACGTGGCTTTTGCACCGTGACTTTGTGTGCACCCACAGGCCCAGAGAAGCAGCTGTATCCAGTGTAACTGCAGGGTTAACCCCAGCTGTGTGATGTGTGGTGGCTGGCCCACCCCCAGAGAGGACCCTCAGTATGAGCTGCCCACCCTGGAGCGCCTGTCAAGACTGGATCTTGGCGTCCACCCCATCCTCTCCTTCCCTGACGGTCAGTGCTGGGCTCCTCGCTCAGAGCAGAACTCAGTTTATGCAGTCGTTTCCTACTTTACATCTGGAGGGGAAGACAAACAAGGAGTGGCTGTGGAGAGAATTCTCCCCAGGAAGTTCTGAGGGAACATTTTCAGTGATTTAGACAATCTTTTCGATCTGTAACGGGTGTCATATTCCCCTGAATAAGTGTTGTTTTCTCAGCGCCTGGCTCCCTTTACCATTCAGGGATAATAATAATGTCCCTTTTTGCTCTCAGATTCTTGTTTTGCCTTTGTTTTTCCATGTCAGTGCCTCTTTGTATTTGTTTGAACTCAAATACAAAACTGCAACAGACAGATACAAAATAGTTTTTACCACCACACGACAACAGTGGATTTGGCTCATATAGAAGATCGCCTATGGCTCATTATGAATCTTGCATGTCACTGTGAATTGCTAATGTCGGACTACAGATGGCAGATCCGAAAGTATCCGGCTTCACATGCTGGGGCGAAATGTACAGTTTTAATACTTAAATTCCCTTTTTGTTTACTTCTCCCTCAGACGTTTGTATAGGCCTACGTCTGCAGCAGGTGATGAAGAGCCAGTGGCAGACCAAGTCACTGGAGAGGAGCAAACCACTGAAGAAACTCTCCCTCAAACACAAGCTTTCCTCGTCCAAAGAGAAGCACAAGTTCACCAACTCACTTATGGCAGTCAGTAAGTACAAATGCTACCGAGCCAGAGAGTCTTTAGATACTTCAGGATCTGTCTGTAGCTCCTCTGATGAAGCTCTGGAATTAAACTACCGGAATACGAGACTCCAAGATGATGAAATGACTAATCATCACAATATATCAGCATAAATGAGCCAGGAAATTCTTAAAATCTCATTGTTGTTGTAACAGAGTTTATTGCAGGTCGTTTTTTCTTTCACAATGTTTGTTCCAGCAACCGTTTCATTTCACAATGAGACCGCTGTGATTGGCTGTTATCGCTCAGCCTCCCCAGAAGTAACACTTGTTGTTCTTACAGGTCTTCAGTAGCCTTTAACATGCATACATTTCATACCCAGTGTTTTGAGTCTTTGGGGCGGCTTGCAGACACCCAATGGAGGCGTGTTCCCTAAAAAAAAGATTTAAACTGAAAACATTCACTCTGAAAACTTGCTTCAACTCCCCCGTCTAATAATAATGTGACTGGTTCCTGGCGTTGCAGGACTGGGCCACTATAAGAACCGTGCTGAGAAGCCGAGGACGGTGGACAGCAGCGTGGGCGGCGCCGGTGGAGGTGGCGGCGGCGGCAGCAGCAGCAGCAGTGCTGTTCTGAACACAGCCAGGCTCGAGGGCCAGGCTGTGTGCAAGACTGAGCGGCTGCAGGCTCTCTCCACCCCGTTAGGGCCCTTCGACAAGAACTACAGCCGCAAGAGGTTAAGAGAGCACTCGCTGGACAGGACTGACTGTGAGTGTTCTGTGAATGAAGCCCGGCTCAAATACTGGGTGGTATATTGTTGCCGTTAATGCACTCGTTTTTAAAGGTCCATTTTTTAATTTTTTTTTTAATTAATGAAGGTTCATGGTGTGAAAAAAAAAAAAAAAATTGGAACTCGCAAGTGATGAGTTTGTCATAAAAGTGAGAAACTGAGCAGTCATCTAAATCTGCCTGTCTCCTCCAGCCTCCCCCAAACTTTTCCTGGAGTCGAGCAGCCCCTGCCCAACTCTGGCCAACATGCACTCGTCCCTTCACAGCCCCCTCACACGCCAGCTGTCCACGTCTTCAGAGAACTCCACGCCGCTGGGCGCCGGCAGCCAGAGCATCCCGAGCACACCTGTAAGGAAAAACACTTGGACGGCTTCTCACTTCTTGTTTTCTTGCTTCATTACCTGCTAATGAACTGGAACTCCAGTAGGGCTGCCCCACCTCATCCCTTTTAGATGATGTTGATTCAGATCATCTGTTATGGCGCTCCCACTTGACACGCCCCTTTTTATTTCTCTGATTGTGTGGGAATCTCTCTCTTTCACACGGCAGATTACAATCGTGTTAAAGGCCGTTACAGGTGAAATGTGAGACTGGTGTGTAGTACGGGGCTGACTGCTCTGCTCTCTAACTGTGGGAGAACATGTGGCCTAAATGCAGCCCGATATCAGACACTGTTGACATGAGTGAGTGTGATAAGGCGAGCAGCAGGTGAGAAAGAGAAACTAAACTCAAACTAAAACTTCATTTGCTTGTGGGTTGTTGTTTTCTCTTTTGTGGTTACTGCAGCAGAAATAGTGTCAGGAAACAAAAACTCTCTGCAGGCACAAAGTCAAACAGTTGTCAGGCCGGTAGTTTCACGTACTGCTCGACTCTCGTCCTCCACCAAGTGGATCTTTGCTAGTTTGCAGACTCGAACAAAGGCATCAATATTTAAAGGACTCCTGCTAGTGTTTATAATAATGATGATGAACATTTTAACTTCTTGTCTGCTAGAAATTCCCCTCGACAGTTACACATTAAAAAACTTTAATCCAGTGGACCCCTTCAGTGACATTTTATATGTATTATATTTAATATTATATTCAAAACTACAATGAATCTAAACAGTGAACTCAGTAACTGTAAGAAGTTAACCAGAGATTTAGATGAATTTTGAGCAGATTACTTTTTACACAAGTCTCTGTCTGTATTATGGATTTTTTAAATAATTTTAACACTTAATGATTCCTGATGCTTGGCCATTATTCTGTTAGACAATTTACATTAAGATACAGACATACTGAGGCCTACTGGGTATATTTAAGTTTTCTACCACCTTTAAAAAATATCTAGAAGGCCTCTCGACCCTCTGAGAGAGGTTGGCGGCCCTTAGTGGGGTTCATCCAAATCCTATAATATGTTGAGTTTATGACGTCTCCAACACAGGAAGTAGAAACCTTTAATATGAATAAATGATATTTAATTAATTCTCCTGTTGAAACTGTCCCAGAAATGCTGCTTTAAACCTTCTGTGCTGTTTGTATCTGAGCTCCTACGGTTGGTGGCGGTGGCGTTGGATCGGCTGTGTCTCTGTGTATATCCATACTGAATCCTTCACATGCTCTTTTGCCCCCCCTCCCCCCCAACCTACCCTCAGCAGCAGCCTATCAAGAGGAGGCGGGGTGAAAGCTCCTTCGACATCAACAACATAGTGATCCCCATGTCTGTGGCGGCCACCACCAGGGTGGAGAAGCTGCAGTACAAAGAGATTCTCACGCCCAGGTAAACTGCGTGAAACCCACCACCAGCCCTCCAGTTGGTTTCCTCTTTCAGTCTATTTATAGTCTTCAAGTGAAGTTATATATAAGTTATAAGAGCTGCTGGTTTCCTGTGCTCATTTTCTATGTTTCTGTTTGTGTAGTTGGCGATCCGTGGACATCTTCTCTCAGCCGATAACTGAAGAGGAGAACGAGCGGGAGGTCAGTGTTTATATCTCTTTCTCTTTGTCCCAGGTGGTATTTATCTATCAGGTGTCCCACGTTAAGACTCACACACTCGTCCCACATTTTTAAATCCTCAGATGTGTGGTTGTATATATAATATTTAATGATACACAATATCACCTGTACAGAAGATAGAGAACGGCGACACCTGGTGGTCAAACACGCTCAAGATTATTTCCTCGTAGTGAGTCTGGAAAATCCCCAGCTAGTGTTTGTACTCAGACCTTATGTAACATCCATATGTGGACCTTTTTAAATGCATTTATTTTTAATTGATTAATCCAGATATCCATTCTCTGCTGCTTAACGATAGAGGATTATAATTATTGTTGTATACTGCTGTAGATTTAAATGTCAACTATTTCCTGTACCTGGTCAATGATTCTTTAAACAAACAGAGCTTCTTTTATTTCCTAAAATGGTAGAAAATGTCTGAGAATGAGCAGATTTTCTTCTGTTTATATTTTGGTGTGTACTAAACATAAAAAGATTTTAAGATAAGAATTGTATTGCTTATTCTGGTCTTTTTCTACCATTTTATAAAAACAAACTGTTGTCGAATGTGTCCGAAGACTAAATATAGTGCGATAAGAAATTGGCTCCATCTCAGAAACTACAAGCAACACAAACAAGTATTTTAAATCTATGAACTCATAAGTAAGATATCCTCACATATCAAACAATATTTCACATGGAAAACATCCAATAAACACAGTTTTAATCTTTATTATACTGAATATGAGTTATCAGTGATTCATTCTGTCAGCTGATTAAAGGACTAATTATTGATCACATTCGAGGTCCTGATGGTTAGTTTGTGTGTCTGCAGGTGGAGGATCTGACCGACGCAGCCTTCACTCAACACCATCAGCCCTACGAGGACCAGGAGCGTTCCCGCTGGACTTGGATGGCTCTGGCTCCTGCTAAGAGGAGGGGCAGCAGGTGACCACCGCCCCTTCACACACACACACACACACACACACACACACACACACACACACACACACACACACACACACACACACACACACACAGAGTGACACACGAGGGTTTGACTCCAGATGTGAACTGCGGTCTGTCTCGTCCCCCTTAAGGTCGTACAAATCTGTGGATGGGCGGACCACGCCGTTGCTGTGTGGGACCAACCCTCCCACCCCTCAGCCTGCGTCCCCAGACCCGGGCCACTGCCCCATGCTCCACGACTACAGCCACGTGCCGTCACCCATGAGTCCAGCCAGCCCCGACACCACTTCCAACCCCCACACACCCTGCTCCAGGGACTCCCATCGGCTGCTGTCCAGCGAAGACACACGGTGCTCCACGCCGGACTTCACCTTTGAAGAGCGGGTACGTAACTGTGGTTGGTTGATAGTCGCGGATATAGGAGGCGGCGTAACGTCCTCTCAGTGCGACACACAGCGACCAGTTCTATGACGCCGTGTGTTCGTTGTGTGTCGTGGGTTTAAAAACGGAGAGAGAAGTGAGAACTGAGAGCTAAAAGGTGGAAACTGTAGTCAGTCCCTCCAGGATTTCTCTGGCTTTCTTTGGGTTGTTGTGGCTTAAAATACCTGATTCCACGTCTGCTCTTCTGCGCTACACGTTACGATGTTTTTAAGCTTTTTTTGCAATGAAATTGAGAGAGAAACTTGTTTCAGTGGGAATAAAATCGCAGTTTGGCTCAACATTCAGTGCAGGAAACTACAACCGATCGGTCAGATTGGCAGAAAGGTCGTGGTGGTGATTGCTAGAAGGTTGTAAACGGTGTAAAACAAACAGTGTGAAGGGAAATAATACATAAAAATATACGTCTGGACCGATAATCTGTCTGTCCTTTGATGTAGGAGCTAAAAAATGTTGTTTTAAGAACTACGATTGCTTTTAGAAACACCTGGAAATACAAATATCCTGGAAATAATCAATGTTTTTCTGGAAAATGTTCATATTTAATTGTATTTTACTGTCTTAGATTACGTAAAAACCTTGATGCATGTTTTGTTTGAGACTCGACGCGTAAAACTGGAGTTACCTGATGTGAAGCGTAACGGACTCATGGCGATCTGTGCTAGTTAGAGGAGGAAATAAATGCTTTAATCATTTGACCCTGATAATAACTTCCCGTTTGGCGTTTTTTGCAGACGGTAGCGCCGTGGGAACGTCGCAGCTTCCCGTTGCCAGAGGACCCGGCCCCGGAGCCCGAGGCGGAGAGCGACCACCACATCAGGCCCAGAATGCGCAGCATCTCAGGTTGCCGAGCGACAGCCTACGGACGTCTGGATTCGGACGACGCGGAGCCGCCTTGCGAGGACGACGGCGGCCCCAAACACAAGGCCTCCACCCACCGATGAATGACTGACAGGCTGAGGTCCTCTCCCTCCTCCTCCCTCCCTGCCTCCCCCCCCACCCACAACCCACAGCTCCTCTCTGGCATTAACAAGCAGAACCTCAAAGAGCAAAGATATGATATGAAATGGGTTCCTGTTGTTTGATATTCAAACATCAGTCTAATACTTTTCACAGTTTTTAGTGAACATTATGGAGATAGAAGCCTTTCCCTACACTTTGTTTTTGTCACAGGATTAAAAAAAAAAAAAGGATAAATGTAAAAAAACAAAAAAAGTATAAAACAAACACGTTACAAAAAATGTTTTCTGTAGTAGGCTAAACAATGTACATGGGGGGGGGGCTTAGTGGTGTTTCATATGTCGCGTGTACACTTGTAGCGCACTATGTAGCGGACTCCTCAAACATATGGCCAAAGGGTGTTTTCTATTGACTAGTTTGCTTGTAATTCCCATGTACATTTTTAGTGGAGTGACAAATAACAAAACAAGAAAAAATACCCCCCTCCTCCTCCTCCTCCTGCCCTGCCCTTCCTCATCCTCCTCATCCAAATAAACAGGTACATTTGAGATGTGGTTCCCTCCGTCTCCCTCTAGAGGTCGCCTGAAATCACCAGAGCACTTCTCCAACTGCCAAGTCTCGTTTTGTTGGTTTGTTTTCTCGCTTTTTGTTTTTGTTTTTCATTCCTGAAACATGTTTTTATTTGTATCTGTCTGTTCCAGCGTAAACACACTATGTGTTCTTCTTTTTGTTGTTTTCGACTAGTAAAAAAAAATCATTCCTTTTTACAGCCTCTCTCTCTCTCCCGCCCCCCCCCCCCCCCCGCAGTCTCTTAATTAACTCTCTCGGTTCTGTTTTTTTGTTTGTTTTTGTTATTTTTTTAAAAAGAGGGTGATGGCGTAGAGGACTGTGGGGTGGGGGGGGGTGTCTTATCGAGCACTTGCCCTACAAGAATAAAAGCGCTGCTGCATGCTGAAACAAACATGCTCATGTTAGTCTTATCACAACGGCATACAGGACGAGTTCCACTTGTTTAAAAGAAGTCAAATCGCAGGTTGACCCGGGACGATCGTACCGTCTGCTGGATTACAAAAGTCTAAATAAAATCACAATTACCCCCCCCACACACACACACACACACACACACACGCACACACACCCTACCGCCCCCCCCCTTCCTCTCTCTTCTGGTTCAGCTTGTTTTTTCTCTTGCAAACGTTTCCAATGTAGCAGCTAGAAGCCGCCCGAGCTCAGGTTTATTCAATTTAAGGGAATATTTTCTGCTGTTTAATAAGTTTCACTCTCTGATTGATCACATCTAGACTCTGTTGCAAGATCCCCCCTTCCTCCTCCCACCCTTACCCCCTCTCCCTCCCTCCCCCCCCCCCACACACACTGTCATAACCACACTTTTTGAACCCCCCCCTTAAGTAACTAATTGCTATGCAAAAAAAATCTATGGTTGTTCTTTTCATTTTACACCTCTTTTTATGCCACAGCCATTCAATCACTGTTATTATTTTTATTTTCTTTTGTAGTTAAGCAAGATGTCAATGTACCTGTTCGATTGTTGCAGCAGTTAACCTAATCAAAAAGCAGAATTGTTTTTTCTTTTTTGTAAATAGTACCATTAAAACATTTATGTTTAACTTGGCGTCGCTGTTCTGGCCTCAAGTCCTTTTTGTTTGAACTGTGTGAGCGTCCTTCCTGCTCCCCGTGAACGAGCTGCCGCCACGTTTAAAGGCTGTTCATCGGATCCTCGGAGTGAAATATATCCGCTTTTATTATTCCCACAAACCTCACAGCTGCAGGGGGAAACATTTAGGATCTGCTGGGAGAGAGAGTACAGTACGCCGCCCTCCAGAGGCAGACCGCAGTAACTACAAGACTGAGTCAATGTGTTTCAGGCAGAGCAGCAGCTTAATAAATATGTATTTTCACAGCCTAAAATCATGACCGATTATTGACCTCTGACCCCAAACCTGCAGATATGACGTTGTATTAGCATAAAGAGATATCTATATATATATATATATATATATATATAGGTCTGTTTATGGTGAGATATGGTGTGTCTTTGACATTAAATCTGTATTTCTTTGTAGTTTCATTCATAAAACAAGTTGAAATTGATGAGTAATTGTGATTTTTGAGGTTTTTTAATCAGCACAGTCATCTCTGGTCCTGTTAGCATTAGCACAGTGATACTCAAACCTGTTGTTATGATCAATAATCACAGTAAGAGTGTCAGTCTGGTTTTCAGGGCGTTTTGAGCCATTTTTAACCCATAAAATACAGATAAATGTCGAATAACAGAGTCTGAACACGGCGACGGTGACTTCATAGCATTTATTTTCAAATACACATATACAGCAACAAGAATCATCATAAACCAGTTATTGATCACAATAATGAGAACAATCACATTTCCACGACTGTACAGCGTCAGAAGTAAACCGGGGGGGGAGAAAAAGTGATTTATTTATTTTTGTTACTGCAGAAAAAAACCTCTGACTGGGGGGGCACCAAAGCACAACACACACACACACTTACACTTCCTCCTCCTCCTCATCCTCACCCTGCTGCACAGTGGGAGCACCCCCCCCACACACACACACACACACACACACACACTCTCAGACAAATGTGGTCTTAACTGTTTGAAATGAAGTTTTTTAGCATGCAGAGAGTTTATCTAACCACATGTTGTCAGTTTGTCCGTCCACAGTCCCGAGTATAAAGAACAGGATATACAGGAAGTGAGACAGGTGTCGTAGTGAAGGGGGGGCAACAAGCAGACGGCTGTCTCTCACATGCAAGAAGTTGGTTTCACGTATTATTGAACGCAAGTTAAAGTGACGACTCACCAGGAATATTTATTTATTTAGTTCTTTTCTTTTTTTTGAGCACGTTTAAAAAAAACAACTCTCCAGCTGGTTGCTTTTAATTTAATTTAATTTAATTTAATTTAATTTAATTTAATAAAAGATAATAATTATAATCTTTTTCTTCCTGATCTGCAGCCGATGTTAGACCAAAAGTATGTGGACAACCCTTCAAAATGTGCCTGTTCGGGAGTTTTTATTCGCAGTTTTGGGCTCGAACTTCCCCCAAACTCGGGATTAAAACAGGAAGCACAAACTGCTGCATTGTGGGCCTTTTCCTGCCTCCATCGGCCTCCTTTACAGCCTACAAGAGAACTGCTCCTCGCTGTATTTATGGCATTTAAATAATGGAAAAGGTGAAAACCATCCACTTCTATAAAGATGGAGGATGAGCCCCCTGGTGGCTGACTGCGGTACAGCTCTTACACACGGTTTCTGTCATTTTAGGTCGTTTTTATCACCCTGATGCGTTCAAGTGTTCATCATTTGATCAGTTTGGTTTAAATTTAATTATCTGAGAGCTATAAAAAAGAAGAAGGATTCATGTGTGATGATTGACGGCTCAGCATCCGGCCTGTGATCTTTCGAGATGGCGGCATTCGGGATATTCTGGCTTCACTTTCAAACACCTGATTTAAAGGTTAGGAAAGCAGAAAGTTTGGATTTCTGTTTGTGAATTAATGGACACGTTTAAAACAATATGACAAAGAGAAGAACTCCTGTGTTGAAATAAAGAAACTCCACACACTCAGTAAAAGCAACCAGCTGGCAGCGTTCGGTGCTCAGGTACGTACAGGTGTAACGACTCTTACTGCAGCAGCAAATGAACTCATCGCTGTACAGTTTCTCTCTCGCCGCTTCCCCAAACCCTTCGCCCTCAACTTGGCCCGATCAACCCGTCATCCATCCATCCATCCATCCATCCATCCGTCCGTCATCCATCCGTCATCCGTCCTTCTGGTTGAGTAAAAGTTTAAAACACTTGTTCCTCCTTTAAAGTGAGACTATGTAACGTCTGAGAGGAAGAACCGACAGCTACAGTCCGAATGCGTGAGCGTCCTCGCTGCCGCAGCCTCGAGCAGCATTAAGTCTTAACGGCCTCTCTCTTCAGCAGAAGTTACGTAGTCTCGCTTTAAAAGTGCGATGAACGTTATTCCTACCTACTAAATGTGCATACAGCAGTTTTTTTAAATAATCAAACGACGCCTTCCTCTTCCTCTTCCTCTTCCTCGTTTATTTGGCCGCGAAAAAGTTACACTTCTCAAGGTTAATCTTCCCCGCCGTTTTTTTCCTCGTACGTCGAAAGCTTTAAGCGCATTTACAACAAGAGCGGTAACAAAAAGAGAATGAACACTGACAGTAGCAGGCACAATACAAATGTTTCTTCATATCAAATACATGTCATTATATCCACAGAGTACGGTTATAAAACTGTGCCCAACACAAACTGGAAGTTTCTACTCTAGCTGTTCGCTTTTTTTTTTTAACTTCTTTTTTTTTTTTTTTTTTAACGCCCTCCCTCGCCGCCCCCGGCAGACTAAAACAAAGCAAAGACAGCAGTGAGGTCTGAAAGCGTTTTATCTTTTTCTGCCTTTACGAACAGTTTGCTACTAACAGTTTTTGTCCTCTCGCACACACCCTCCCTCTCTCCGTAACCCTGTAGCCGTCCCCCTTTAAACCAGCACCCAAACCGTCGGCGTCTCCCTCCGCCCTCACAAGCTCAACGTTCTGTGTTTTTAACTTCCTAAAAAACAAAAAAGGGGGGGGGGGTTCACAGTCGGTGCGACAGGAAACCGAAAGATGGCGTCAGATTTACCAGGATATGTGTGATAACTCCTCAGATTCACAGGGAGAATTTAACTCTTAAAGGGAGACTTACAAAAGGTAGAAATATCAAATAAAAGAGACCACAGAGAAGAAATTAAATATCGGCCTACTTGTTAATGTGGTTTCTTTTTCTTCTCTCTATACAAGTAACGCCTCAAGAAACAGTTTTCAAAGGTTAGTGAAGGATAGACGGTGATGGGTAGCTAAAAAAGTCCTGTGAAAGTAACGAGGAAGGCGTCACAACTCCTCTACGTGGTCGTGTGGTGGGAGGTGGGAGGAGGTGGGAGGTGGAAGGAGGTGCGTTCACAAGCCTTGTTGGGCCAGAGAGGCGGACACCTGGTCGGCCAGCGTGGAGAGCTGCGGGGAGTCGGCCATGTTGATGCTGCCGGAGGAGGACACGGTGCTGAGCTGCTGGGGGGAGTCTTCCAAGGAGATGATCTCGGCGCCGTGGTCAGTGCGGGCCTTGGCCGTCTCACGGAAGCTCAGTTTGTGGCTCTCAATCTGCGGGGGTCAGATCACAGGCGGAGGTCACACACAGGTTGTAGAGCGCACTCTGATTGATGCACAAACGGGGCCCCAAAACCTCTTTTCTGTCATTTATTAAACTCACTCAGTGACGTGGTTTATGTATATTTCATATTATATTAAAAACTGAACAATGAACCCAAACAGTGAACTGCAGGAAGTTTGTGTAACACCAGAGATTGGAGCAGATTATTTCCTGTTTAGGGAACTTTTTATGTCTGTATTATGTATTTATAATCATTTTTAACAATCATACAAACTTAATCTGCTTCTTTTCTCACAAATTAAATAAACATAAAACAATTTACTTTATATATTTCTTCACAGAAAATATTTTTCTTTGTGTAAAACAAGCAATTTGTAGGAAGTTCTAGCAGATTATATCCTGTAAATATGTTTTTAACCTTTTATACAATTCTTCGTCTGTTTTCTGTATTTTCTTTATTTCTAACAATCATAAACACTTCCTAGGCTTCTTTTTCAACACATTCAGTGTTCAGGTCTTTAAAGTTTAGGTCTTAAAAAAGTCTAAGAATAACAATTTAAATCAGTTTTCTTCACAGAAATGAACCAAATGCTGAGATATAAACCTACTGTGTATATTTATTAAGTTTTCTTACACTCCTTAAATCTCAAGAAGACCTCGCGACTCCCCTGTGAAACAGGTTGGGAAAGTAGAGCAAAGAGTAAAGAAAGAATAAAATATAATAAAATAAAATATACTCTCTCTGGATGTGTAAAGTCTCAGCTGGCTCTGGATTTGCTGGATATAGTACTACTTTATATATAATACTTATATATATATATATATATATATATATATATATATAATACTTCATATTTTAGTCTGTAAGGTAAATGTTCTGCACTGGGATCCTCTTCCAGACCGGATCAGGTAATAAAGTCGGTCCTATTCTGAGACCACGTTTAATCTGTTAGTCCGACTTCCAGGATCATATTTCATGTCTCACTGCTGCGTTATTATGAATCCTCTTGTTGCCCTGACACACACACACACACACACACACACCCCAGTCGAGTCTTTGTGGAGGTTTTCTAACATCTGGTTGTTTATTTTAACACAAACTGTGAGATTTTCCTGCTAATCAAATAGTTCTGTTGCCTAAATTTAACCAAACTCAGTCTAAAAGGTGTCTTACAGGAGACTCAAACCCAGTAACCCAGATACAGATCATTTACTTAACCCAGCTACCTTCTTGCTAGACTTTGGTGCTATTTATCTCACATATAAAGCTGTTTTTATGATCTTTATTAACGTTACCTGATGATCCCGGTGGTTCTCAACCTTTTTTGTGATATATATAAATACATATATAAATAAATATATATACACATTTGACACAGAGATAACAATAACACCTCAGGAGGAATGATTCAAGAGTAAGAAACTCCTCCACAGGTTAAATGGAGAGCACTGACGCAGTAAACGCCACGTCTGTGACATTTTACAGACGATACTCTGACGTCCCGATGCCCTGAAGGCAGCACGGAGTCGCTACAGGAAGCTGACAGAGACGCTGAAGTAAAGAGAGCGGAAACTATATATATATATATATATATACATACACAGGAGCAGCTTGGTGAGGGAAGCAGCGGGTTTCTGCCTCACACAAACTCTAAACAACTACATTCAGCCTCCTGCGATGTTTTAATGCTCCACTGCACGTTGCCTCTAAATAAATATTCTGACCTTATTTAAACCTAATTTGCACATTTAATGCAGCAAAAATATAACCAAATAACCATAAAGCTGTTTTATTACAACAACGTAATGTTTTATATGTTACACAGGCTATTTTTAAACAAATATATATTATTTTTGTTTACCAAAATAAAATAAAACATCAGTGTTGGAGCTTTAAATCAATCTAAAATAAAAACTATTATAGTTAGAGCTTATCTTTAACATCATCACGTTACGTGCAAAACATGGTGACTGACTGGAGCAACTAAAAATATAAAATAATGAGCTGGAGTAAAGAAATCTTGTTTTTATTTAATAAAAAAGGTAATTTGTTTGTATTTTTGTTTAATTTTTTCTTATTTTCAACACTTTTTTCAATGATTATGGATTTATTGACTCATGTAACCTTTCAGTTTATAGGTGGTACAGATTTTAAGGGATATGAATCATTTCCAGACACATTTCAACCTGTAAAATAAAAAAAACCAACAAAAATCACAAGTTCAAACGTCTGATTGAACATCTGCCGTTTACTTACAGGAGTCCTCAATCTTTATGAGGGGGTTCGTCAGGATGGGGGTGGCGGGTGCTGAAGGGACAGTCTGAGGTGACTGAGGGGGGGTGACAGCGGGGGAGGGGATGGAGGGACTGTCTGAGGTACTCCCCTCGCCTTCCTTCCCCTTCTCCCTCTACAGACGAGCCCCCAGCAAAAGGGAAATGACAAAGCATGCAACGAAAATACAACGTGGCGGCGTCAACAGAAAGCAAAAAACATGCAACACAACAATATATGAAACAAACAAACTGAATGAAATAATAATAATAATAATTAATAAATAATGATGAATGTACACTGTAAAATAATGTCTGTCAAACTTATGACTGTAAATAGGTTACATACAGTTTCTGTAACAGTAAAACACTGTTATAACTTTATTTATATATTATTAATATATTATTTATGTGGAATAAAGTAGTTTTTCTTTATTTTTAAGACTGTAAATTTCACAGAAAACAGCATTAATGTGGTATTTACATGTGGCAAAACTGTAAAATATGGAATAAAACCATAAATCAACAGTACTAATGTCCTTTTTACTGTAATAATAGAAAATACCTTCTGTATTTATTACGATAAAGTTCTGGCAAACTAAAGCTGACAGTTTTTTTACCATAAAAAATAAATATATATTATTTTTACAGTGTAAAATCAGCTGGATGGAGAAGATGAAAACTTGAACAAAGGAGGGAGAAATGTCAAACTCAAGGAGAAAAGGATGAGATGAATGACGTTGCGATGTGTTTCTGGCTCTTAAAGTGGCTCTTTGTGTTGCGTTGCATTTCCCAAAACTTGCTGCTATAGAAAAGTGCTGCGTTATTCCAGGTTATATATGAGATTATAAACATTAATATATCAGCTGTTCTCTGTGTACAGACACAGAGTCACATGGTGTCTCTCTCCCTCTGCCTGTGTTGTATCGCAGCCTCTCTGTGGTTTGTTTCCACAGCCGGTCTGCTCCGACTGAAACTGCTGTTTTTATCATCTACGTCGGTGAATTAAGGATTTATTTCCACCAAACCAGAGTTGGTGATTGTTGGAAACACTAACAGAGACGCTTTTAATCAGTTTTATTCTGTTTCTGTCCACTTTGAATGAAGTTACGACGTTTTAATGATAAGTGAGTTAAAATTAGTGTTTTTCTTAATGGAGTCTGGTGGAGAGTGATAGTGATATTACGGCGGTTTGTGGTTAAACTGAAGGTCTATCTCTGTAGGGATCCTTTCCATAATGCTGTCAGACACTGACAATGACAACCTGAGTCTGTTGTTAAAACACTGGGAGGAGGTTAAAGTATTTATTTAAAGCTCTGAGTCTGTTCTTGCAGTCCCTCTCACAGGCTGCAGACGGCCCCAACAACCTCCAGGACCGGGCAGCCTGAGACGCCTGAGAGGCGACACCCAGGGCAACAAAAAAAAGAGCAAGAAATACAAAGAATTTCCTCTAAAAACAACAAAAATAACGTGTTTAAAGATATAACTCTGGTTTCTGGGTGTTTCTGTTTGAGGTGTGAAAACTGTTGCTGACTGTTGTTTCACCCACTGAGAGACTGAGACCGTTAAAAAGCTCTGACCCTGCAAACAGCAACAACATTACTCTAATATTAATAAACATATTAATAATAAACATAATAATAATAATAATAATAACGAGGAGGAAGTAACTGAGTGTGTTTGACACCGGCTGCTTTTACCTTCCTCTGTCCACCTCCTGGAACGTGGCCGATGTTGTCCAGAGAGCCGATCTTGGACTGGACTTTAAACTCCAGCTTCTCATTTTTGATCTCGATGTTTCCGCCGCCTGAAACATGAAGACGGTGTCGTTATTGATTATTATTTAACCCCCCCGGACACGGAGCTTGTTAAAAATACAAAAATAATATATAATACAGATGAAGAATTGTATAAAAAGTTACTAAAAACATATTTACAGCTTTTTTTTTAACACAGATTTCCCCTATTTGGGTTCATTGTCTTGTTTATTAAGGAAGTTTTATAAATATTAATACAAATATTCATATTTTCTGGGGAGGAAAAAGGAGCAAGTGCCTTTATTTAACGATTTAAATGTGGAAAAATTGACTTTTTTTAGTGGGAAAAACTGTATCTTTAAGTAAAAGTGGACGAATATGATCATATCTGACATTATTAATTATAATTATTATACATTATTACGATCACACACTCACCTGGTTTATGCCGGATGTTGTCTTTCGATCCACATTTAGATGTCACGTTGCTCAGATCGATCTTTTTGTGCAGGATTTGAACCTGCGAAAGGCGACAAAAGCACAAGAACACAGTTTTAATTTCAGAATAAAAGCACACGCTGGGACTTCTTACAGACTCAGGTTCTGCATGCGGCTACGAGAGGAACTGATCCTAGAAACTGTTAGTCTGCTACAGCTGTTAGCAGATCAATAAAAACAAACAAACAAACAAACAAACAAACAAACAAACTGGGTTAGATATTAACGTCTTGTGCTTTAACCTTTAATTTGAAGGGAAATGATCCGGTTTCCTGTTAGTTTAAAGTTTAAAGGATCACATTCTTCACTCTTTTAACACAAACCGCTCACGTTGATTGATTAAAAGAGCGATATTTATCGTCTCAATGACCTCACGCCAGGCTCTCGGGTCTTTGTCTCCGGACACAAAGCGCTCAGTGTCCCCGCTGAGGTCATCAGCGCTCGCCACAACAGGCACTGGGCGGAGGACAGAGGCGCTCTGTGGCGCTGCTGAGACGCCTGCTCGCTGGTTTGATGACACAATTAGTTCACTTCACCACACGGGAGACTGACGCTTTTATTTTGTATAAACGCTTCACATATTCCCCGTTAATCAGCAGCTCGTTAGCAGACGACCTCAGAATGTGTTTCCCTTTCAAAATAAAGGCATTAACTAGTGTTTTATAATAACTAATGCTAACTAGCTGCTAGTTAATGGTGATTACGTGTTAGTAAGCGTCACCCGATGTTTCAACACGAGGTTACGGATCAGTTCGAGTAAAAACACACCAGGATTCATGCACGCTGTTTCAGGGGCAGTTTGGGGGTAAAAGTCTCTGAACATTGATCACGAGCACCGATTGAACAGAGTTATCCAGATTACATCAGAGCATGAGCATTACCTGTCCACTTCAAAATAAAAGCCCTCTGGTTAAAGCAATATCCTGTTAACTGTTATAACCTGTTCACTTCAAAATAAAAGTCCTCTGGTTAAAGCAATTTCCCTTTAACTGTTATAACCTGTTCACTTCAAAATAAAAGTCCTCTGGTTGATGCAATATCCCTTTAACTGTTATAACCTGTTCACTTCAAAATAAAAGCCCTCTGGTTAAAGCAATATCCTGTTAACTGTTATAACCTGTTCACTTCAAAATAAAAGCCCTCTGGTTAAAGCAATATCCCGTTAACTGTTATAACCTGTTCACTTCAAAATAAAAGCCCTCTGGTTAAAGCAATATCCCGTTAACTGTTATAACCTGTTCACTTCAAAATAAAAGCCCTCTGGTTAAAGCAATATCCCGTTAACTGTTATAACCTGTTCACTTCAAAATAAAAGTCCTCTGGTTGATGCAATTTCCTGTTAACTGTTATAACCTGTTTACTTCAAAATAAAAGTCCTCTGGCTGACGCAATATCCTGTTCCAAAACATGAATAATATTTATTATTCTAATGTACTTAAATCACATTGAAACCAAAAACTAAACGTTTTATATAATAAACTATGTGTCGAGGATGTATTATGATATTTAATAATACACTCAGACACAAACATTGACCCACATTCATTAGGAAGAGTACAGGTAGTAAAGTAATAAATTAGTGGTAACAGTATGAAATGCTCATGTCTGTGTGTAAGTTAATAAAACTGTTAATCGGAGGTGTTAACAGAGTGTTTGGGAGGATCGAGGTTTCACACAGACGGGAGGTTTTCGTGCATCCTGCTCCTTTGTGAAGAAACATTCAGCAGAAGCAACAAGAAGGTGTTTTTTTGGCAACCTGCAGCGTGCCACGGGCCCGATATCCCATATCTACTCACATTGCCACCACCGGGTACATGTTTTATATTATCTTTGGAGCCACAGCGGGACTGCACATTGCTTAAGTCCAACTTCTTTTCAAGAATTTGCACCTGTAAAAGTCGATATGTGGGGAAAGAAGACGGTTATCCTGCAGGAAGCAACAGCAGCCGAGCTGTGAATGAGGACCATTTCTGGACAGGAAATTAGATCTGTGAAGGGACGAGTTCGAGGCTCAGGGGAGTGAGATCTAACCAGAGCTGATTAAAGTTATTTTTAACAAGGAGTTGTGTGATATGGAAGATCGTTTCTGCCAATGTGACGAAGAAAATACGTTTCTGTAAGTTATTATAATGATAAACTCTCAAAATAATGACTTAATATCTCAAAATAATGAGAAATAATGAATGAATGGTGACTTAGTAAGGGTCACAGTCATTATTTAAAGATACTAAGTGATTATTTTGAGAAACTTTCTCATTAAATTGACTTACAGAATCGGTCATATTGGCACAAATGGGCTTCCATAGCGTGAAGATCAGACCTGCTGAGATACTCGAGACTCGAGCTCCCGCAGTGACTCACATTACAGCCTCCAGGAACATGTTTCATATTGACTTAGACTGATTACTATAATCCAATACTTTACCCTGGAAACATGCAGAGGGTGAGGAAGAGTAACTGAGGAAGAGTGACTGATGAAGAGTGACTGATGAAGAGTGACAACTTTGAGTTAATAAAAATAAATTACGGAGCCTCTGAAAGCCAGAAAGGTTTTTTTTTATCTTGTTTCCTGTCAGATAGTAATTGTTAAAAACATACATTATTCTTAACACATCTTTTATTGTAGCTGTTCTACAAATATACAATTAATTACAATTAATTCCTAAGCCCCGCCCCTTTTTGCTCTGTGCTCCAATAAGAGTTGAGCTAGCCTCGGTCAACGTTCTCCAGTACTCAGATTTGCTACGTGACAACCAAAGTTTTAAAAATGATTAAAAAAGATAAAAGCAACGTCCAAAAAGGGGCGGGGCTTAGTGAGGGTCAGAATAAAACCGGAGTTATTCTCCAGTGAACGTCCCGATTCCTCACCTTGCCTCCGCCGGGCGTGTGCTTTAGGTTGTCTTTAGAACCACAGCGAGACTGGACGTTAGCCAGGTCCAGCTTCTTGTCCAGGATCTGGACCTGCAGAGTGCGACAGGAAGAACACGAACCCCTCAGGAGTTAACTGGAGAGCGACTACGGGAGGAGATCAGCCCAACAGGAGGAAGATAAGATGTTTAAGGGATGAAGAGTAGAAATATTCTGACTCATTAAAGCTGACGTCTGTAACTTTGTTCCAGCTGTTAACATTTATGTGACATTACTGTGTGTTATAATAATTACATTTATTCATTATAATGACTTTAGTGCTTAAACTATTCATGTTTTCTTCCAAGTTTGTTTTAATTTAATTTCAATCTTTTAATTAATTAAATTGACCCCTTAAATAATTACTTATAATAATAATAATAATAATGAAATAAATAAAATAATGATAAATAAGTAGCCCTCCCACCTTAGCTCACGATCCTAACTTCTCAAAAATAAAAAAAAAATAAAAATCAGCAACATAATAATAATAATGAAACAAATAATTAGTAAATAAAATAATGATAATTAGAATAATAATAATGAAACAAATAATTAGTAAATAAAACATTAAATAACAACAAAGGAAAAATAAAAAGGAAATAAGTATATTTTATATTTTAGAAAATGTATCACCAGATTAATTTTTCTAACTTGCCTCTCAGAACTTCCGTAAATTGTCCACATAAATAATAATGAATAAAGTTACAGATTCCAACTTTAATACATTAAAAAAAGTGGATTTCTGGTTAAATGCACTTTGAGCTTTTAGTGAACTAACTGAAATATGTCTTATTAGTGTCTTCAGATGTTGTATTTTAACATTAATAAACAACAGAACACTTTCTTCTCCTTCTTCTTTTACCAAACGTTGGTTTTTGATGATCATAACTGCAGAGATACTCAAGAGTCTGGTGTTGAGTTCATCCCTCAGTTACTCACATTGCCGCCACCAGGTACATGTTTGATATTGTCTTTGGAGCCACACTTAGACTGGACATTACTATAGTCCACCTTCTGATCAAGGACTTGAACCTGGAAGAATGAAAACGTCAGCTTTTAGATGTTTGATGGTTCAGAAACAGCTGTGTTGGTTTGTGTTAGAGGGGGGAGGCAACCAGTGCAGTCAGTGAGAGATATAATAATATGTTCCTGATGTAGAGGAGGAAGAGGAGGAGGAAGAGGAGGCTGCACTTTCAGGAACCTAGTTCTTATTGACAGCACCACCAGGACAAAATACTACTTTATATTATAGTTTTAAAGATTTATTCCACTAAAATACTACTTTATATTATAGTTTTAAAGATTTATTCCACTAAAATATTACTTTATATTATAGTTCTAAAGGTGAATTTCACCAAAATACTATTTTATATTATAGTTTTAAAGGTTTATTCCATCTCAATACTACTTTATATTATAGTTTTAAAGGTTTATTCCATCTCAATACTACTTTATATTATAGTTTTAAAGGTGAATTCCACCAAAATACTATTTTATATTATAGTTTTAAAGGTTTATTCCACCAAAATACTTTACTTTACCCAAGTACTTATAGTTTTAAAGTGGTTTTAAAGGTGAATTCCATCCAAATATTACTTTGTCCAACACTGTAAAAACAGATAAGTTAATTTAACTCAAAACATTATTGAAACTGTTTACATCAAAATCTTTAAGTAACACAAAATAAATTTTTTAGGTTGAAAAAGATTCTTGATTAAACAAAATTCTCCCTTAAAATGTAATAACTTTCAACAATTTAAGTTAAACGAACGTATCCCCCCGACGAAGACCTTGAAGAACAGTTTGAATGGATGGATGAAATATAATTTTACCACGAGAAGGCGGCAGCGTCACGTATACCTAGAGCCTGAACGTTCAGCCTCCCGTCCTGCAGCTACATGTTAGTCTATATTTATTTGATCTGCCCTTTTTAAACGTCTCTTCCACCGTGTGAACTCTTCATATTAATATCTATTTTGGTCCATAAATATCACAACTCAAGATTTCCTTAAATCTCAGCAGTGAAACATCTGACACACACACACACACACACACTCACAAACTTACAGCACAAACAGACTTTAAGCACATTAAACTGCAGATCAGAAACATCCAAAGTTCAGTTTTAGTTCCACAAATATTTCTCAGAGGGTTTTTGCTGCTCTGGAAGCAGAAATAAACTGATTCAAATCTCAGTGGGCGGAGCCAAAGTTTTTACTATTTGTTTTGTTTTTTACTAAGCAGATCCAGACTGAAAGAGGAACGATGATATTATGAGGTTGGCTTTATTAAAAGCTGTCCTGTTTTGAACACAGATGATGAGATTCACAGAATTTATGCTTTAAATTCTTATTTTGCTTCTTTATTGTTTTTTTTTTACACTTTCATACGTCTGTTGTGATATCGTTATACTCACCGAAGACAATGCGGAGATCTGAGAACACAAACCAAGAAACACAAACAGACAAATCAGAAAGTCCGTAAACAAGCCGACAAAATTTTATCCAGATTATCTGAACTTTATTTAACACTTAAAAACTAAAAAAAACTGTCGGTATAATCTCTCATTACATGTGAAAAGTACAAAATCTGAACAGGGGAGTCGGCAGTTTGTGTGATAACTTCGGTTCTTTTCTCTGGTTGATAAAGTCTGACTTTAACCAAAAACTAATAATGTATTTTATTATGATATTAAAGGTACCCTGTGGAGTTTCTGACCACTAGGAGCGCTATGGAGCAACATCGTTTTCTATAATGAGTGTGTTCCCAATGTGTTTGTATCTGGAAGGTTGTCGGTTCAATAGTATCTGGTGTTTTAGGCTCAGAGTCGCACCGCTTATCAATATCACAATTGGCTCAGACAGCCAAACAAATCAACCAAGAGTCAGAGTTCAGTAGCACTTTCTTCCCGAAAGTAGTCTAAAAAAACAAAACCATAATCCATTTGGTGTTTTTTATCCTTTTTAACAAGGATTTCAGCAGTTAGTGATAAGCAAGCAAGGTTTGAGAAATAGTAGTTACTTTTAGACAATTATCTCACAACTTTCATCGTTTACCCCTTGGAAGAAACACTGGTGACCTCAGTGGTTGGTATGGCCATGCTCACCAGAGGTACTCAATAAGAGGTGAAGGTACTACAGTTAGTTTTCTTCCAGTAAAGGGTTACGTGACGATGAGTGACGAGTCAAAGCATGACGCGTTGTGACTGAAAAGACCGAATCAGTGATTGTTACTAAAAGTTTGGAGTTTTAAAACTGAAACAGGGCGAGCAGCGTTTCCCAACATCTACGCTTTAGTGCCTAAAAAACGGCAGAATAGTGTGGGTGCTAGGTGCAAACGTAGCAGTTTGAACGTGGCTTTAACCTCAACCACTCCAGTAGAGCTGCTCAGTGGCCGCAGATCACACTGTGGTTGTTCTGGAAGCAGTAAGCAGGCGACGCATGACAGATTCTGGCCGCCAATTGCACCCTATTGGTATACAATAAGAAGAGCTTCCAAAGTCTGTGAGAAGAAATACTCAAAATATTGGCTTTTGGAAGGTTCTCAGAATGTTTTTTTAGACCTCAAAGGGCAACTTTAAGTTTACCTTCTCCCTCAGTAAACAGGTGTGTGTTAAACATCAAACACTATGTGTGTCTATGAGGCCAGCAGACCTCTGGATCTGCCTACTGAGGTTAAAACCTCCAATAAGATTATTTCTGCCTCCGAAAGCAGCTCCGTCTCCAAAATATCATGTTAAATGAAAAATAGTATCTGAACCGCGTGCAGACAGTCGAGGCTGCTGAGGACTGTTTGAGGTGTGCAGCAGCTGGAGTCAGAGTCAGGGTACCTTTCCGCCTCCGGGCTGGTGTTTCATGTTGTCTGTGGAGCCGATCTTGGACTTGACGTTCTTCAGGTCTGGCATGGGCGCCGCCGCGGCCAGAGGGGCCGGCGGGCGGCTCTTCAGCGAGCCCGGGGATTTGGGCGTAGAACGCACCACCGCCACCTTCTTCACCTTGTTGGCCTCGGCCGCCGCCTTCGCGGAGAGCGCTTGGCTAGAGGGAGATTTGGGAGTGCCAGGGCTGCTCTGTCCACTCTGGGCATCTTAAGCAGTCGGAGAGGCAACGGGTCAGAAGTTTAAAGCAAGTCAACGGGCACGGATGAAAGGATAAATAATAAAGAAATAATAATAAATTATAAAAATATAAGCTAAGAGCTCTGTTGGCTAATATATGAGCACGTTTGATCCAGGTTTATCTGGATCAGACTGCGGTTCTGTGACTACACGAAGCTATAAGGGATCTCTAATGATCTTTTTTAGCTTTTTACCTTTTTCATATTTTGGAGTGGGAGGTTTCTTGGCACTAGCTGTATCACAAAAAATATAACACATCATAAGTAATCTTTAAATCTTAATCTTTATAAAAAATGACATAAATGAAAATTCAAAGGATTAAAACTTGGATAAATGAGATAAAGATAGAGTCGTCCTTCTGTACCTGGTTGAGCTGCAGTTCTGGCAGAAGTTTTGACTCCAGGAGTTTGAGACTTTGCACCAAGACTCTGAAGAAATGAACAACACAACATAAAGTTTTAGTTTTCGAGCTGAGACGTTGGTTTCATCTCAGAAAGCATCAACTGCTTTTATTCTATTTGCATTTAAGTAATCAGAAATCACAAATTCTTCATTCTGATCTGAAGTTAACGGTCCAGTGTGGAACAGAAATATCCATAGGTATGATGTCTTTACTGTATAATCACCTGAATATTGCAATTAAATTAAATTTTATTTTTGTTAACAGCTAAATCCTGCACACTGGTCCTTTAATGAGTGTCCAGCTGTAATCAGTGATGAATGGATGAGGCTTTTCTTTGTGTTTCTGGTAAATATTAAAAGAAAACGAGAGCAGGTTTGCATTTAAAAGAACCTGCTGTATCTTTCTCCTGTCAAACAAGATTCAACCAGGAGGCTCCAGGAAACATCCTGAACTCTAAGCTGCACTCAGACCTGTACTTACTCCGGGCTGCCTGGGCCCTGTGCTGCTGGTTTTAATGGGGATGGAGCTGTGGCCGTTTCGCGAGGATGCGTGTGTTTTGTTGCCCTTGGTGACTATGGATGGTCTTTTAAGAGAAGAGGTTGGTTTGGTGGCAGTTTGAGTCTTTTCATGAAGAGGAAAAATGAATAAAAAAAACAAAAGTTCTAATGACAGTGAACATAAAACAGAGGAATGATTCAACAAATGACGGAAAAGAATGATTGTATTTCACAAATGAGATGTTAATAGATTATTCTGGTTTATTACAACATTTGTCTCTTAATCTTGGTCATTATTTCTGTTGCTGAGATCTGGAAAACACGCAACAAATACCCCAGTGTCCTGTTTAGATCTTGTTTCCACTTCCCACTTAAGTTTATAGAAAGACTGCAGTCATGGTTAAAATAAACTAATGTTGAATGTTGGGAAGAAGCAGGATGATGCCCCGCCCTAAAGCATACCCTGCTTTATGGTCAATTTAACTCTAAATGGGACCATCAGTTACTAAATGAACATCATGCTGTATGGAAGAAGACTGAAACTAGAGACTGAGACCAGAAACTCATCAGGAAACTGTTTACTGAGGGAATAAATCAACTGAGAAGTCGACGCATTTCTCCATAAGACTGAATGGTATCAGTTTGCATTGCAACCGATGGAGCCGCCCCCTGCTGGCCATTACACAGAATGCAAGACATTTCCATGATCCACTAATTATACACTGTTAATGTTCATATGCAGAGTTTGGGCTTTAATTTGTCTTCGTTTTCTCTTCTAAATAATAACCTGGATATTTATTTTACAACCTGATTCAGTTTCTTTTAGATCTCAACAACACAAAATCACTGATAGAAAATATAGAAAAATATGTTCCAAGTTGTAATAAAGCAGAATGATCCCTTTAATAAAAGAAATGGATGACGCACCTTTAATAATGTTCTTGGTCACATACCTTATCTGCAGAGCCGTTATCCATCTTTGCTTGAGCTGCAGACAGAAGAGAGAGGCAGACTTTATATTCTGACCCAATTCTTTTAAGTTTAATGTCTCTAATTTCTACTTTACGTCCACCCAAGTGAAGTAGGTTAACTTTTACCTCCAAGTGTGTGCCTAAACACATTCTCACAGCAAAGAAAACACAGTAAAAAAAACTCTTGGTGATGGGTTGATGCAGCATGCACGGTGACACAAAGAAAGTGCTCTCGGGACAAAACAAAAACAGTGGCTTTTATTTTGGCGGGGGAGGAGGGGGGTTGGGCTGCATAACCAGCAGAGTGAGCAGAGATGGAGAGATGAAACAAAAATCTAAAAGTGGGGAGGGAGGACAACAAGCTTCTCCTTGGGTCAAAGTTTAACGTCCATAGAAAGAATTCGGAGGGAGAGTGCAGCATAGCAAACGGTAGAAGCTGCGTTGTAAATGAAAGAAGTGGAAGGAGTTAACTGAAGAGGACTCTGAACTTGGTGAATATGACAGCAAACAGACCTTTGAAAATAGGAACCGGCACCATAGACTTTCTGGCTGGCTGGGGGGGTGTTTTCTGGAGCTCAGCGGTACCGGTGGTCTGAGCCACATTGCTCCTCATGTCTGAGTCATTAGAAATGTCGGGCTTTGAACAGCCGGCTCTACGTAAGGATGAGTCACTGTTTTCAGCGGCCGAGTCAGACGGCATTTGGGTAAAAAGTCTATCCATCTCAGAAACGTTCCTACTGCTACGAAGATCCTCTGAAGGAGAATCAAAGCTAGGCTGTGGCAGACTTTGGGTGTAAGGGGGCTGTTGTGTTTCTGGGCTGCTGGACTTCAGAGCTGCTGTTTGTTCAGAGACGATCTCCTCTCCCTGACTGACCCACGAGCGTTTGTCTCCGATGGACGTCAGGTCCTCCAGAGCCGTGCTGCGAACTAGAGACAGATTGCTAATTTCAGCCACGCACTCGGGCGCGTCCAGGCTGATCGCCCTCTGAGGGTCCACAGCTCCAGTCCACTCGGGGCTCCCCCTGCCAGCCGGTACGTCCTCTCTTATCTCTGACCTACAGCTGAGGTCTTCAGAGGCCCATAAAGGCTCACTCAGCCTCTTTCCACACTCTCCCACTGCGTCGTTTCCTGGGTCCGGGGAGCAGGAAGCTCCCATGAAGTCAACGCCCTCCCCAGCGGCTCCGTCTACAGCAGGCTTTGATCCGTCGCCCGCAAACGCAAACTCACTGCCGGCTCCAGAACCAGGCTTTGCTAATTTGTTTGGAAAGCAGATTAATGATGACATTCACAGCACTGGTTTTCCATCTCCCCATTGAAACCAAAAAATTAAAAAATAATTTAAAATGTGAACAGAACTGGGCACTTGATATCCATGGAGGAAGATAATAAAAAGAGACTATTCCATTTACCAGAAAAACAACCAGAGAGCTATAAAACGTGAAGATGCAAGAGACGAGATCAGTGGTGGAAAAAAACCCACATGAAAATAAAATGAGATGGAAAATGGATGTTAATGCATCACACTGGGGTTGACAGACAACAGATGATGCATTCCAGTGAATGTAATGAACAACAGACCACTAAACTGTCTATTTTTATATTTAAAAAAGTGATTAAAATATGTTAGAAAGTCTCCCTGAACTCCGTCTGACTGTAAAATAATTCATCCCCCCAACTTCTACAGTAATAAAGCAAAAATATTAAAGAGCTATAAAAGAAATCTATACAGTGAGTCTGGAGTGTGACACCACAATATGTTAATATTGTTTATTTAGCATTTAAATGATGCATTAATAAACTGCATTACTCACCATTAATTATTAAATGTGCCCATTAAAGTGATAATTTTCCCCATCCCACATAAATATATTGGTTCCCTACTTTAATTGTTGGTTTCTATTTCATGATCGCGTCACTTTAAAGACATTTAATAAGTGTTTAATTTTAACCCTAATATTGGACTTACATTCATCAGGTGGACACAAACATGACTTTTAATGAATAATAATGCTAATTGTAATTAAAATTCATTATTTTATTATATATATAAAATTATCTTTTTATATATATGTGTTTGCTTTCAGTTTATCGATCATCATTTAACTGCAAAAAGTAATTAATGAAGCTAAAATTACCTATTTAAATAGTTTAATTTATCAATTTGTTCTAATTAAACCCTGTAATAGTTTATTTTTTTATCCTTCATGTGGCACAATCCAGACTGTGTAATACAATAGCAGCAATATATGATAAATCTATCAATAATTAACACATATAAAACAGCTTCTTCCTCTCTGGGTCCACCTGGAGATATAAGTGTGTTCATATCTGTCTCCTGCAGTAAATAAATTCAGTCTAAGTGCGATCAATAAAACATTAAACAGCCTACCTGTTGAAGCTGCTCCTCCTGCTGCTGGTTGAACATGATGAGACAGATGGAAAAAGACACATTAGAGCTCGATCAGTAACGACTTTCTGTCAATCACGGCGGATTAATACACTCACTCGCTGCAAAAAATCAATACGAAGCCCACACACAGCGCAGAAATATAGCAAATAACCGTTAAATATATAGAAAACAGGGGGTGAATATGCAAAACGTCTGAGATGGTGCAGCAGTACCACACCTAAACTGGTGCTTCAGCTGTTTTTAACATTATTCTGGCGTTCCCCAACGACTGGGAGCGGTGCATCTGTTCAACAGATCACAGGAGTCTTAAATCTGCCTGTGGTTTGGCCATAACCTTCACTCTGAAATAGCCAGGATGTCTTTTTTTGGTTTGTTTTTTAAAAGAAAAAGGGACATGTTTGAGTCTGCTTATGATCATGTTTCAGTTCTGAAAGGAGCAGAGTTTTAACCATCAGAGCAAGCATAAAGAAACAAGAACAAAGCCACAGAACAAACCCAAAAAAAAGCACAACAACAACAGTTTTCCAATAATGATGCTGGAAGAAAAAAAGATAGTGAGCTTAATTTTATAATCAGGACAAAAACATGAGAGCAGCAGCAGGACGCTTTAGTCATAAAACTAGGAAATAAAAGAAGGAATAAAAGAGCATTTAGGGAAATACACAGCAGGGGGAAACAGCCTGGCTAAAGCTCTCGAATTAACACGTTACACTATGTTTGTGTAACCCGTGTAATAAAACCAAAGTGTGAAAGACAACTCAGGATGACGATAAGTTGATCTTAATATCGTTATTTTTACAATTTTAATTATATATAATATATCTTATTTTAGTTTATAAATCATCATATGTCAAAGTATGCATCAATTCTTAATATTAGTCACATAAAAAGTAGGATAACATACTTTTATATAAATAAATAAATAAATAAAGATTGAAAAACTTCTGTTAACACATTTTAAATAAGTTTGGAGAAATTCTGCATATGTGTTTAATTTACTTACTTATTCTAAGTTCAATTAACTGAGTAGAATTGGGTAAAGTTAACCTAATTTGTAGTTACCTTAACAATAAATACTTGAGTTACTTAAAATAAATCATCTTTCACGCTTAAATTGTTTGATTTACTAAATTTAAACGTTTTAAAGCAGTCGGTTTCCTCAAACATATTTCCCCAACTGATACGTTTTAAAGATGCCAGAAGAAAAGCAACTGAAAGCACAAGCGGCTGAAAAAAGAGGGCAAGAGCTCAAAAGAGCCGGTGGCGTACCGAGCTGCCCCTCGCCATCACGCGAGGCGCTCACTATCCCCGAGGGCTGGGCTTCAACGCCGCCTTTCTCTGCACACGTCTCCGCTGTAGGATAAACGGAGGTCGGTCAGTCAGGAAACACCCTGTGTTTGGGTCAGTTGGGGTATTTCTTTAACCCCTGATGACCTCTCTTTTTTGTTCCCACTATCATCTGTCACTCTCAGTATTTATGATCAAAGCGAGCTCGACCCAGACTGGAGTGGAGCTCCTGCAGGCTAATTGTTACAGGCACAGAGAGCCATTATTTTCCATGTTAGAGCTCCACGATACAAGTGCTGATTCAAGGAGGGGATAATAGGCTCTTATTATTGCACGTTGACAGCAGCTATGTGGCTATAAATATTGGCCAAATGAGCAGGTTTAAAGCACACATTAGCAAGGCGGGTTAGAGTTAGAGAGAAAATAATAAACTGCAACAAGATGAAATGTGTCTCTGGTTAAATCTCTGAAACAAAATAAAAGTATCTTGTAAAAGAGGAGAAATTAATAGCAATCAAACATGCTAAATGAAGGTAATCTTTGGTGTTTTTAAGCATGAGGAGTGCAGGTCGGGGGGGGGCGTACCCTCACAGTGGCGGCTCTCCGGCTCAGAGAGTTCACTCACAGATTTCATCCCATTCTCACCGAGAGCTGCTTCGTTCTCTGCGAATTAAAGGTAAACTGGAGGGTTTATTGCGCCAGAAGTTTGACGTTACTGTGAAAAACGCTGGAAAGAAAATCAACTAATGTTCAGGTGAGCTGTGAAATAGAGTTGAAATGGTTAAAACCTCGGTAACATGTCAGTGTAACACAGTAAATAAGACAAAGATTCAACAACAAACCATAAATACATAATAAGGCACTGACTGTCACTGTTCATTTCACTCAGAACAGCCCATTAAGCACTTAAATAAAAGGAAAACACAATATTCACAAAGGGTTCGTAAAATATACGTTATTTATGTTCGCTGTTAAAAGTCCACATGAAACAGTCAGAGAACAACACGTCCACTTTCTATAAGACATCCTCCCACATACCGACCGCTATCGGCTCGCTACGTCGGTACAGATTCTTATCGTTCCTGAAAATCTTGATATTGATTTACATACTGTTAAATTTAAATTTAATGTTGGTCGACTGTACGCAGTGTTATTCATTTGACTGACTGAGTCTCGTAGCATAACGTTAACTCACTGTCTCAGGTGTTACCAGGGAAACGGAGTTATGGCTTGTATAATAATATAAAATAATGTTTTCATTTAGTTTCTCTTTGCCATGTGACCGCGGTGTAAGTGGGTTAAAGCCCTTTAAAGTGTCCATTATCAGGACATAATGGCCTCCAACATCGTCCATTATGTCCTGATAATGGATCCCTACGAGTAAAACAATTACAGCCACTTTAACATTGTATGCTGGGAACATGAAATACTTTCTCAATCTTCAGACGGAGCTCCGCCCAGAAATAACCAAACCACCTTTAATCAATAATGAACACACTTCTACTGTTTCCTTTAAACTAACAACTAACTACTGATACTACCCTTCCCCTCTACAGCTCTACTGAAACAGCGATCAGAGAAATACTCACGTTGTGTTTCCCCGTTCATTAACGTGCTGTTTATCTCTGCCGGTGGCTCTGACTCTGTGTGCTGCTTCCTGTTTGTGCGTTGCATGATGGGAAGTGAAAACGGGGAGAACGACTGCACTAGCGAGGGCTGTAAACTGGGGAAAGCTAGGCTACGCACTAATTGGCCATACGGTTGATTGGGACGGGAAGAAAACTGAAACCGATTAGCAACAAAACAAGACAACAAAGATCTTCCCTCGCCATCCGTGTGTCCACATTAATAAACCCTTTCAGACGCAGCGCTGAAAGCCGGATTGTTTGCGATCTGAATTGGAGGCGAACGGTGACACAGGATGGAGACAGGCCTCGTTCTGACCCAGATGCCTGGATTACAGAGCGCAGTGCAGCTGCAGTCGGGCACTCGGGGCCAGTCAAGCGTGGCTCTTGTGTCCATTATGTAAAACAGAGATTAAAACAAAGCGCGGCTGAAATCTACCTGGACCTCAGTGGCGTTCAGGAAACTGTACGTGGAAATATAAATCCCTGCTCTTCGAGATCATTTAAGAACATATTCTGGGATTAAAGCGGAGTGGAAGGAGTTGATCTTTGACCCCCAAAAGTTTAAAAGCAGATTTAAGGATGTTAATGAAGAGTATTTCTCAACAATTATTCCTCCTCCTGTAAAGACATATTTTATATAATCATAAGTAGAGGAGTTCAAATTGTTGTTGAACAGCTTACAGCTACATTATAGTCTGTTAAAGAACATTTATAAATGCTAAATAGGGGCATTAAAATAAAATGTTTACCTTTAAATCATATATAATAATGTTACTTTTGTTTATAATACATTCATGTGCTTTAAATATATATGATTTGATGTTATAATTCTACAGTTTGTTACTCAAATTGATGATTTTTGTTCCACATTTATGAAATATTGATGATTTTATGAGTAGTTCTGTTTATATTTCCCATATTGTGATAAATTAATTATTAAAAAATGTCTTTGCTTGTGTTGTTAAACTGGTTTTAACCAGATATACATACATACATACAATCATATGCAATGAAAACAGATTATTTTACTGATGTTCAGGCTAATTTATGCAGTAATCTGCTGTAACCTTGGAAACGGTTCATATTGACAATAATTGTTTATTGGTCGTAAACTAAAACATTATGTAACGTGTGTTTTTAATAGCTCGCTGACTGAGGATCTGTGAGTGAGAGTGAATCTCTGTATTGTCGGAGCTGACCCATGACGTAATGATAAGAAGATAATGAATGCTGTGAGCGGGATTATGTCACCGTGTTCAGACAGACAGCGGCGCGGCGTGCGGACGCCGGGACACGAGGCTCCTGCAGGAAAGACGCAGGGTTTGATTGACGTGAGGTCACCTATAGCTGCAGTGTAAACGCTGCTTCTCTGTGCACATTCACATGAGACAGAAACATTTTGGTTTTCTGAATTAACAAGATTATTATCTCACAAATTTACGGCAAAATAACGTTGCGGTTTGTCTCCGTGATCCGTCTTCCAATCAGCTGTCTGTCTGTGTCCGCAAGGAGGTCAATTCAATTGTTTTTGGGTTCACACGTCGAACCAGGGAAGCATGGATCTGGACAGGAAGGTGGCGGCTGTGTCTCAGGAGGTAGAGCGGGTCGTCCACTAATCAGAAGGATGGCGGTTCGATCCCTGGTTCTTCCTGCTGCTTGTGGAAGTGTCCTTGAGCAAGAAACTGTGTTGAGCGATCACTATATGAATTTGTAGCATAAAAGAGCTTCTAGTGGCCAACAGGCACTTGGCCGACCTCCCTTCCTCCCCTCTGGGTCTCCAGCGGAGGACCAAACAGTCCAACAGAGGATCAGAGAGCTCTGCATGGGCTCGCTGGAGGCTGGTTATTTGGATTAGGCTCCAGAAGCGCTGAGAGCCGGCTGGAGGTATCTCGTTAATTCAGAAAATTAAAGTTTTCATGATTTGAGTGAAATAATAATCTCGTTAATTCAGGAAACATTCTCACGTGAAGTCTACGCTTCCTGCTGTTAACCTTGTGATGACTTTCCACTGCAATCCTGTTTCTGTGTCTCATGATCCTGTTGCTCAGACTTCCTGATTAATATTTCGGTTTAAACGCAGGACTCTTGAACACCAACTTATTCTGCATGTTAATTTTCACCATTTCGCCTCATTCACTGAGCACATTAACCAAGGAAACATCTCTTTGTTGACGGCGCCAGGGTTCGTCCGTGTTTCTGACCTTTCATTTTGGCGTCTCCGGGGCTTCTGTGTCCCATCTGGACTCCGTTCTCCTGGTGGTGCTGGTCGTTGATGGTCATGTTGGCTAAGGAGGAGCTCATGGTTTCTCCAGAACTGTAGCTGTTGGAGGCGTTGTTCATGTAGTCCATTGCCAGTCGCAGGTCAGGCTGCAAGAGTTCAGTAAAATGAAGATCAGGGCAGAATCCAGGATGTGTCGCATAACTCATTGCTAATATTACATGTCTGGTTTTAAGGATTAAATATAATGATGGCGTACTTCATGAACCCAGTCCGTCACCGCGAAATGTAAACAGACACTGTGTCTGTGAAAACCAGTTATTTATACATCCTGACGTGGGGTCGGTGCTTCATGTTACAGCCTGACAGATAAAAATAGTCCCTTCTGCCCATGTGCACGCCGTCCTGATGAGCTGCACTTACTAAACAACCTCCTCTGAACAAGTGCGGCACTTGTGTCTTCACGCAGCACAGAACGGGTCATTAAGATGCTAATATACAAAACCTGACAGTCCTGACGTGCTCACTCATCCAGAGCGATGTGAATTGCGTCAAATTCTCATAAAAAAAAGAGGATTACATATCAGATTAAAGCCGAGAGCCTCTGGTTACATCAGCAGTTTTCAGTCTGAATCATAATTTTTTTTTAACATGACTGAGCCAGCGTCGAGAGCTTAGGGGCGTAATCGGTCTCGGCATCCAAACTGCTCTTTCCGTGTTTGTGTGGTGGTGCAGATTTGTCGACCTCTGATCTTTATTTTCAACCCTCGTGTCCACTGTGGCACATAAACAGTTTAATCTCTCAGAGGTCCCGCTGAAAAGCCCAAAGACAGTTTATAATATTATAAATTATCATCGGCTGCAGGAACATGAAGCCGTTACATCCGTCTGTGCTCTCTTCAAACTTACCAGACTCCTTTGACAAAAACAGTAATTTGGGAGTTGCTGGTTTTCCAACCTTTTTCCTTAAGGGAGCCTCTTTTCTATCATTAAGTAAACTGACATATTTTATGGATATTTCATATTATATTCAATGTATGACAATAATAGTACAGAACAACTGATAAACTGTACAATAAACCCTAAATAATGAACGCAGACGAGTAATTTGGATGAGTTTTCCTGATAGTTTTAGGAACTTTTTATGCAGTTCTCACTCTATACTGTGTATTTTTTATTATATATTATTATTTATTTTAACACTTTCTGTATTCTCTAAAGTCCCTGACGCTATGAGCTCTGTGGTTGTTTTCTAATGAAGGACGAGGCTGTTTATCAGAGAGAGAAGGCTTCTGTTCAAAGTGTAGATCTTAAACAATGATCTAAAGTAACGTTTTCTTACATGCCTTAAAATCAAGAAGGCCTCCCGACCCTTTGTGAAGCTTTGGCGACCCCTAGTTTGGGGTTGAGAACCACCGAGTTGATCAGTTTGTGTTAGAAACTAAAATAACAAGGCAGCGGTAACTTCCATGTCCTGTGAGGTAAAATGACTGTTTTTGTCAATGGAGTCTGGTGGCTTTGAAGAGAGCGATATTACAAAGTAAAGCAGTGAAAATACTTCTTCAAAAACTCTGAACTAACCCTTTAAAGTATATTTTAACCATAATACCTTTTGAATGAAGGACTTGCATTCAAAAGGTGTTGAACTGGTGGTTTCGAGTACTTCCACAAACACCACACAGTGTTGTGACGGCACCGGATGCATTTGTCTCTTCAGTGCCTACACTGTTGCCGTGGTTACTCCTCCACCCAATAAAACCCGCTCTATAGAGACACACTGGGCTCAGCTATGTGACCTTCCCTCTGTCTACCTTCATATCTCCTGACCTTGGGTGTTTAAACATTCAGCACAAACAGCATGAATGAGCGGGAGGAAGCCACAACCACCAAAAAAACACTTTAAGAGACACAACAATTCAACACAAACTCCTTCTGGAAGAAAGTTTTACCACTAAAATGTTAAATGTGCAGGTTTCAGTTTGTGTGTGTGAAATTTAAAAGGAGAAATATTCCACAAAAAGACCAAAAACTATCAATGAATTGAAACATAAATCACTTAATAACAATAACTCACTAGAGAACCAAATGTGTATTAATCCGCTGCTGAACATAGTCCCTAACAAATACACTATTTCCTCCTGTTTGAGTAACGTTTGATAAAAACTACAGCGAGCAGCTGTGTGAGGAAATTACTGAACCTTTTAAAAATGAAACTATATTTGTGAGTCATTTTTTAAAGATTTATGTCTTCAGTAGGAACTAATCAGTTCAGGATAACCAATCAGTCACGTATCCGTCCCACCAACGTCACTTTCAGTGGAGCAGCGGTTGTTAGTAGCCATTAACTTGAGAAAAATACCAATTTACTGAGTTAATATTCCTGTAAGTTCACTTACAACAACCCGTACAGCTGCATCGATCTCTCCCACGCTTTCCGACATTTTCATGGCCTTGTCTTTTGTAATTTTTCTGGCGCCGGTGCAGGAACATAACGTCCCCATTCTCAATCCTGCCCACAGCGCTCTGATTGGCTCTGCTGGGTTTTCCAAACGGCCGCCAGTGAGCACAACACGAGATCTATTTGACTGTAATAATCAGAGATGTAGGCAGTGTTTCAAAGGAAGAAGGGACAGAGACAGACTAAAGTCTCTTCACACCAGCTTCAGCCTTTAAAAAAAGTGCAAAACTGCATTTAAAAAAGAAGCTATTATGAATGGAAGAGTGAAGTTTGTGCGTCCCATAGAAGGTCTAATGAATAGTGTACTCTCTGTGCTCACACACAAACACACACACACACACACAAACACACACACACACACACACACACACACACACACACACACACACACACTGCTCGCAGACAAAACTGCCATTGTAGCATTACACATGACAGAATCCAAACAACAAGAAAGCTGCACCCTCGCCAACAAAGACAATCCCTCGAAGAAGCCGTTCAACTCTGCATCCGGGAGCTCAGGGAGCAAACAAACTCACGGCTGATAAGAACTGGATTCGCTGATAATCATGTGTACAGAGGAAATGTAAACGAGTCTGCACTGCGGTTATATTACAGGAGACAGGTCTGCAAACATGAGAAGCTTTTATATTCATCAACACTCACTATGAGGGCCCAGACAGGCGCTCTCCACTCACACACATTTTTCACCTGCTGCAGAAAGGCGACATGACAGCAGTCTTTGTCGCAGGTTCATGAGGGGGAAAAGGCTCAAAGGTCTGCTGATGCAGCTTGTTCCTCTCGGGGGCGTGTGAAAATGTAATCTTGGCACGGGCCCCCGGACTCCCGAGCAAACCACTAAGACGGCTGTGCGAGGAGCTCGGTCAACAGGGATGTTGACACAGCTCCAGGAGCTGCGAGCATTCAGCGAGCGACACGCAGTCAGACGTTGGGGTTTAAACCAAATACAAAGTACGATGCACCAAAGAGGAGCAAAATATGGAGAAGTGGTTAGAAACGGAGAAGACAATGTTGATTTCTCTTGAGGGAAACTCTCCTGATTTGACACATTTTTCAGTTTTTGTAGTGTGCAAGAAAAACTTATCTCGGCTTGAGTCAACAAATCTTTAAGGGAAACCTGCTCTCTCTCATAAACTGCAGCATTTACCAGGTATTAATGCTCTCACCTGGTCTAAAGAGATACCATTTAGATGTTTCTAGAGCCTGACCCATATTAGAGACTGAAAACCAGGATACCCCGGCCTGTGCTGCTTTCAAAATGTGTCTCTTGAGAGTCCAGAGTGCGATACTGAATCACAATAAAGTGCAGCTTTAAAACAGTTACAAAAAGGTTAGAGATTACTTCTGGGATTATTTAATCCATAAAATGTCAGAGAACTGTGAAAAATGAACTTAATATGTTCTCAGAGTCCAACAGTGGCACACAAACACAAATATATTTCATCTACTATCATTCAGGGATGCACTGACACCATTATCAGCTCCAATACTGCACTCCTGTACTGTTAGAACTGCAATTATATTATTAAGAACTCATATCAGGACTCAGGAAGTACCCGAATGTAAGTGTTCGTATTGGTCTGACAAAAGTCATATAAGACAAAAAATAGATCTTCATATTTCAGAAGCTGGAGACAGATAATTGTTCACGTTTTTGCTTGAAAATTTGTTTTATTTATACAAAATTATTGGTTTTCTGTCAATCCAGGTATATTATATTATTTTTCCATTTCTGTCAACAGATCCTCCTCAGTGTTTCCCACCGGACCGTTAACGAAGCAATAATGATAAATATTCTCTGGTTCCACTTTCTGTAACCTCGTCTATAACCGTTATCTGCAGCCCTCGATCAATCAGTGAATGGACTAATGGTTACCTTAAAAGTGTGCTGTCTTCTCTGAGGTTTTAGATGTTAAAAGGTTTTATTCGTTGAATGAATGTTTTGTCTGACCTGCAGTCGAAACAACCCAAAGATTATCTTTTCACTTTGACATAAAACAGAGAAAAGCAGCAAATCCTCACATCTGAAGCAGAGAACATTCATCATTTTTCCAGATTCATTCGATATCATTCGACAAATTCAATCATGATCTAATTGCACCGAACCTAAAAACAAAGGCGTTTGTCGGACGCCGTGCGTCGTCCTGCACGCTCACCAGAGCTTGTAGCTCAGCTGAGAGACGAGGATGCTGCTCTCATGCTTGATTGCTTCTGTATCTCTGACCTACTTTCCCCACAACCACCACCATCATTCCCTCTCTCTGTGTTCTCGCCCAGCCTCCTCCCAGCCTCCGGCAGGCACGCACTGCCTCTACCTTTCTAATGGTTGCCCAGCCCTGCAGTGGAGGGGGCTGAAGGTGGAACCATTTTGCCCTCCTTCTAAGAGCTGCTCGCGGCCTCCTGCTCGGCTTCCAGCAGCTCACAAACATACACGTTTACTAGCTCTGGTGCCCAGGAAGCTTTCCACCTTGCACACCTCCAGGATGTTAACCACACCCTGCTACCTTCCCACACGTCCTCCTTCCTGTTCCAAGACATTTCTTACACAATAAAAGCTCAACTTTCAGCCTTCGACATCACAGTCTTTACAGCATGGAATTCAAAATATGAGCATAAAGTAATGGGACGCTCCAGCTGCTGCGTGTTTCATTATGTACACATGACCCGGAGATACGATCTCACACACACACACACACACACACACACACACACACACACACACACACACACACACACACACTTATGTGCTGGTGAAATGAGCCACGGTCGTCCATCAGCGTGGTGCCAATTAACTGCGTTGAGAATGCAGTTAAAAGCCCGCTGTGGCATTTCTTCTTCCCTTTAACAAGACGACATCTGAGCGGCTTCTTCTGGCAGAGATTGCAACTCTGTCTTCAGAAAACTGTAAACGTTTGATAAAATAAGGTTCAATGCAAACAATAATGATTGTCTTTATGTTTGATTGTCTAAAATATGAGTTATTAGACCCCAGAAGAAGCAACTAATGATTATTTAGATAGTTTTTACTGGACAAAAAGGACAATAATCTGTAAAGATCCAATGTAACCAAAACTTATGGAAATGTATCCAGATCCTGTAATCATATTAAATCATTTAAACTACTAAACTACTGTATTTTTGTGCATTTATTCCAGTTTTGGCAACGGAAAAAAGTCCTTTCTTTATTCAAAACCTAAATCTATTTAGTTTACACACTTTTAAAACAGAGAATAGCAGAAAATCTTCACATTTTAGAGTCTGGAAACTAAAAAATGGCCCATTAATCTGCTAATTGTTTCCACTCGGAGTCAAATACAGTAAATCTTATGTAAAAGCTCGACTGCGGAGAAGTAATTTCAGCGAGGTTGTCGGTTTTGCCAGCCTAAGCTCCTCGGGCGGCTCCTTCCAGGACGAGGGCTCTCTGGATGCGGTCACCTTTGGACGCGAGCCCACAACGACGGCGACGGGCTCAGTCTTTGCTAAATGGAGCGCTGGAGTGTGAATTCATTTCATAATCTGTGACGACTGAAGCTGATGAGTCAATGGAGCCGGCGTGTGAAGACACACTTTGTTCAAACTTGGAGTTGTTGTGTATTGTAGATTTCCCTTCAACAGATGGAAGGTTTTGTTTTGGTTCATTGACAACATTCATATTTATTTCTAAAATTCAACATATTAGACTTTGTTGTGATTTTAAAATCAGTTGTTTCCAGAGTTAAATCTGGTGTTTTCAACCTTTATAAAGACAAATAGTCACACATAGATCACAGTCACACATCTCATATGAATGAAAAAAGGTGTTTGTGTGACTATAAGCTGTGGCAGAGTAAAAATCCTGTAATTACCGACACAGATGTAATTCACAGTGAGTTTAAAAGGAAAATAATTACAGCTTTTTCCACCACCACAACAAGTATCTAGCAGACAGAAAACCATGTGCGATATGTGAGTGTGAGCCCATAAGTGAGCATTAACCGGAATGGGTAAAAGCACACAGACCACCCAAATAACAGCCTGTTAGTCGACCCAGAACAGCTTCAGAGTCAGAACATCAGCAGCAGGTCGGATACACAACTGCAGAGGTCACATAAAGCGCCACAAATCGACCCAATTATTAAAAATATAGTTCAATTCATTTTTCAAAGCCGCACAGTCTGTTGGTCGTTTAAGAAAGTTAACCAATACCTGAGGGACGTCTGAAAACTCAATCCATCCATAACTTCCCGACTTAACAAACTAATTTTACACTGCAAAATATATTTAATATTCACTCTAGTTTTACTAAAAGCAAAGCTGACCATCATTTACTAAATAAACATCATGCTGTATGGAAGATTGAGACCATAAACTCATCAGGAAACTGTTTACCGAGCTCATAAATCAACTGGGAAGTCGTCTCATTTCTCCATAAGACTGAATGGTATCTGTGTGTTATTGCAACCAGTGTAGCTGCCCCCTGCTGGCTGTTACACAGAATGCAGGTTTAAGACACTTCTGATGACACTGACTGATCTAAAGTGGTCAAAACCTTCAACTCATGGACTCTTTTTGTGGAGCCGAAGGTGTTTGTTAAAGGATGAAACATAAATATTGAATAAGATGAGATCGTAAAGGGTTAAAATGACATTTATAATTCCACCTGGACTTTAAAATACATTTGAACAATTCTGAACCCGCCCCTTTAAAGGACCAGTATGAAGGATTTAGTGGCATCTAGTGGTGAAACCTCAGACTGCAGCTAACTGAACACCTCTCGCGCCTGTATTTGACGACCTGGGGATGAGAACGGACTGTGCGAACATGAAGGGCCTTATATAGAGCCAGAACATCTCATTTTAAAGCTACAAAACCACAACGGTTCCTTATATTCAGGTGATTCCACATTATTGATTATTATATTCCTGCCAATAGATCCTCCTCAGTGCTACAAGCTGCACCTTTAACTTGAACTCAGCAGTTCTTTGTCGTCCATGTCCGCCCCTGTCCGTCTCTCCAGAGTTAAACTGGAGCCAAAACGCGCTGCAGGAACTTGCAGAAAAAGGGCGGCCTGTGTCTCCAAACACTGACTGAAATGTCACGGAGATGTCTTTCACTCCTTTCATGCTCCTCTGGCCGGTTGGATTGGCTGCCAGCTGCGGTTACAGACCGCAACATGCACCGTTTCCCCCCCCCCTCCCCTCCCCTCCCGTGTTATGCGCGCAAAAAGAAACTCCCCTGAGGATGATGGGAAAGAGGTGTGTCTGAGGAGAAGAGACCCTCATTCCAACAAACCCTCCCAAAAAAACCTTTTACGCGCATTATCGAGCGCTATTGTTTTTCTTTGCATGTGGTTTTGTGGACGCTGGTTTAAACCTACCCTGGATCAGCTCCTGTCCACTGACCCCGGGCGGATTACTGAAGAGCCCATATGTGTCAGATAAGCAGTCTGGTTCAGTGCTCGGGCTGCGTGCGCTGCTGTGCTCTCCACTGTTGATCAGATGAAAAATGGGCTTGGCATTTGCGCACAGGCGCCGCATCACCCCGATTCCCTACAGTCTCTGCTCTCTGAATAATGCACGAATATGAACACACTCATGTAATTTAACGCAATGCAAGAGCAGGAGGGGGGGTATTGTTTTTTTTTTTTTTTTTTTTGTAGCTTAGGGTGCAGGATTAATAGAATAAAGGATGTGTGCTGCACGTACAGCGATGCTAGAAACCATTTAAGGCCCTCAAGAAAAGAAGCGACAGATCCAGAATAACAGCCACAAATTCACTCTGCGCGTAAATCAACAAAGAAAGAAAGTCCTCGCTGCTCAAACTGGAGTAAATACACATATAACATCACATTATTGTCCTCCTGGGAGCCTTTAATAACGGGATTATAAATATTCTGCCGGATTAGTCTTATTAAAGCGCGCAAGGACACAATCTCCGTGAGGCAGGAGAGGAGGAAACCTGCTCCGGAGGAGGATGGAGACATTTTTTTTCTCCTCCTGTTTTTGTTGTTTTGGGAATGAGGAGAAAAAACCATGTTTGTGTGAGGGAGGCGACTGAAAGCGATGGAGGCTGCAACAAAAACACGCTTCTGTGTTAATTGCACAAGAGGATCGATGGAGACATTTTATATTTCTATTAAAATAACAGAATCTGATTTAAAAGGCGGCGATCAGAGCCGCTGCAGGAGGATCCGCGCTCACATATCAGTGGAAAATGCATCTTCATCCATGTGCATACTATTTCTATTACAGGCCCAACCTCTCCCCAAAAACCTCATGCAAAAAAAAATACATGAAGTGACAAGACGAAATGCCGATGGAGAATTAACGACGTTTCGGTTCGCGCGTCCGCGGCTCGCTGCTCGGTTCCCGGTGTGGTTGCACCGAGGTTGGATGGCGCCAAATAAAGAAGAATATGTCGCGTCGTTTGTTTGGTTCTTGTTGTTTTTTTTCTTTCTCTTACCTGAGTGCAGACAGCGGTGTTGTCTCTTCAGCGGCAGTCGCTCACCGGGATCTCACACACAGCTTCCTCCGCGCAGTGCAGCTGGCAGGCCGGAGCGGGGCGCTGCGGAGCCGGCTGTCTGTCCTGAAATGCAACCTGTCTGCTGCTCACAGTCTGAGCAACCTGTCTTGCTGCTCACACAGTCTGAGGAACCTGTCTGCTGCTCACAGTCTGAGGAACCTGTCTGCTGCTCCAGTGTCCACAAAGAGCTGCACACTGTTTATTTTACAGTTTTTATGTAGTAGCACACATCATATGTTTTAATCCCAATGTTTTTCCTTAAAGGGACCTATTTTCTATCATTTATTAAACTAAATTACATATACAATATATATATATATTTAATGTATATTTGATATTATATTAAAAACTGAATGAATTGAATGAACCCAATAAAACCAGAGATTTTGATGAATTTTGAGCAGATTATTTCCTGTTTAGGGAACTTTTTATACAATTCTCTGTCTGTATTATGTATTTTTTTATTTTAAATGCATTATTATAACAGTGATACAGACTTAATAGGCTTCTTTTGTGACAAATTCAGTGTTTTCTGGCTATTGTTTTACATCCACTAGGGGTCACCAAAGCTTCATATGGTGTCAGGAAGCCTTCTTTATTTTAGGGTGTGTAAGAAAACTTAAAAAAAATACACATTAGGAGGCCTGAATGTCAGCCTTTCATTCATTTCTGTGAAGAAAATTAATTTAAATGGTCATTTTTGAAGTTTATGTTATTATTTAAGATATAAAGTAAAGAGGAAACGGTTAAAACTGCATTGAGCTAAACAACCAAAGAGCTAAAAGAAGAAAAGAAAAGCCTATTAAGTCTGTATGGTTGTTAAAAAATAATTAAGAATATACATTAATATTAATATTCAAAGGAAATAATCTGCTCAAAATGAATCAAAATCTCTTGTTATACACAAACGTCCTGCACTTCCTTCCCAAACTTGTATTTTATGGCAAAATGTGGAATAAAACTCCAAAATTATCTGTAAAAATCAACAGTAATAACATCCTTTTCCTATAAAAGTACAAAAATTCCATCATATTTATTAGTTCTGGCACCCAAACCTGACAGTTTTTATTAAAATTACATCTTATTACAGTGTTTTAGAAATATAGACTGACTGTATCGCTTTTTTTACATCCCTTAAACTCAAAACGACCTCGCGACCCCTAGTGGGGGCCTCGACCTCCAGGTTGGGAACCACTGCTTCAATCAGTGGAAGAAGTACTCGGATACTCTGTTACTAGTCAAACTACAGAAGTATTAACATCAACATAAAGCTAAAGCAGGTCTATAAAAAGTCTTTTTTTTGTTTGTATCTTCTGTCTTCAACGTCTGAATTACACAGATTTTGTTTCTGATGTTATTTATAGACTGAAGCAGCACATGGGAATAAAACAATATGCCAAAAATAGTCTGTAAGAGACCAAATCTGTGAGACACAGGAAGCAAAGAGGGAGGGTTTTTACTTCTACTATACTTCTATTTTATAATCTTTATATATCAGAAACTCTGTCATTAAAACTTTGGATACAATTTGATTTTGTCAGTTTTTCTGTTCTGAGGTTTCTTTCATTTTTTCTCCTATTAAAATGTTTATTTGGGGAGTTTTTCCTCACCTGAATCGACAGTCTAAGAAAGGTTTTGAGTGTTATTAAATGTTATATAATAAAATTTTACATGATTCGTATGTAGTGGCTCTTTTTTATTGTTTCTAATCAAATCTTTATTTATATTTGTATATATATTTTATATGTGCCAAGGTAAATTCCTCATATGTGAAAACTTGGCAATAAACCTGATTTTAATTCTGAAAGGAAATTATATCAATGAGACTTTAAAATGAGAGAAAATCTAGAAATCAGTGTCAACCAATGCTTAAAAACTGTAACTGTATCAAGCTGTGCTGCCTGTTTAAGCTGCACTCGCTCTAATGTGCTTGGAAAAGAAGTAAAACGTCCTGCGGTCCCTGAAGTGGCCCCTCCAGGTAAACAGACTGCAGATCACAAGAGGATTTAAAGGTGTGCGTTAAAGGGAGATTTCCAGCCTGAGTAGGATCCCACGGCAGCACCTGGCCCACAGTGACCTCCCCACAGCAGGATTAATCCAATCATCTTCAGCCACACAGCGAGTGGCAGCTGTCGCACTGGGCGGGTTTCCAAAAGGAGGAAGAAAGAAAGAGGAAGAGGAGGAGGAGGAGGAGAAAGAAAGAAAGAGTCTTGTCTTGCCAACACATCACAACTTCAACATTCCCAAACAGATCTGAGCGTCAGTCGTTCCACTGCTGTTTTCCGGAGCTGAATGGTTTCTTGACTTGGTGTAAAAGTTGGCACTGGGTGTGTGATGGTGGGAGGCCACAGGGAGGGGAGGAAGAGGAGGGGAGGCCAGTGAAAGAGGAGGGACACAAGGGTGCACTGTTTACTCCCCCCCCAGGAGGCCTCCACTGCTTTATGTGCCAAGACTCGACCTTTTGTGTGCCGACTCGCACTGATTCGTTACTGTACGGGAGCTTCTGTTCAGTCTGGATGTTAAATAAAACAGAATACATGGAGGTTTTTATTTCTCCTCCAGCAGCTTTAGGGTCAGACGAAGGTTTAAAGTTACGCAGCATGTTTAAATAAAGGAACTACGTCAACTTAATCCTCCAGAAAATGTCTCAATCCCATAAATTAAACCCAAAATTTGCAGAATTTCTTCCTCCTGCTAAATGCATTTATTTTGTCTCATTTATAAAGTATTTAAAATGTGTTAATTGTTTTTATTGATGATGATTTTGTGATTTATCAAACGTATTCTCTTTTGTTTGGTGTGCATTTAAAATTCCTCCTAGATATTTGGGATTAGTAGGACCTGATAAACTTAAAAACCAAGCATTGTCTTTGAACAATCAGGAACATCAGGACTTTATTTACTGTAAAACTTTGTCCCCATATGAGGACGCAGGGTCACAGGAGGCTACAGCTCTTCAAAATGGCTGCTTTAGCTAAGAAAATATGACGTGAAGCAGAAACAGCAGTAAAAATGATCAGGAAACGTTCATTTGTGCACAAATTTGCTCTTTTTGCTGTGAATTGTGTCAGTAGTTTGTTATTTTTAATAAAGAAAGACAGGAAACATTGGTTTAACTAATAATATTTAGTTTTAGTGAACGTAAATGTCAGATTTTTGCATTTTTGTTCTTTGTTCTTAAATTCTTGATGATGTTACATAAAAAACAAGCAGATATTAGATAAGACGATCCACAGAAAATGTATTGGCAAACACTTATGATAATCGATTAATTATAGAAGATCTGGATTACTGAGCCTGAAGATCAGAGTGGAACCAGAAGGTCTCTGATCACCTGGAGAGTTTGTAGATTAAGATTTAATATTTAATTTACTTACAACATGGCAAAATGATTAAAGTTAATCATTAATTAACAAAGTTTTGTTGAACCAATATCAATTGTTTAAGCAAAATCAATAGAAAAGACATGTTTGTTTACTCAATATCAAGCTACCTGGTTAGTTAATCTTTTCAATATCTGTAACAAATGATAACGACAAGAAGCCTCAGTGAAGTCCCGACTACCTTCCAAGGAATAACTATCTTGTTTCCAGTTTTTATGCTCAGCCAACCGTCTATTGGCTTCATATCAGATAGTTCACCTTCAGATCTCACAGCTCCCACAAGCATCCATAAGTTGAAGGTAGAATATATATATAAAAATATAAATTAGATGTTTTATTTATTTTTAAATAAACATGTTTCTGTGTTTCTAGTTTGCACAGGTTGATTTTAATTAGTGAAATAAATGAAAGCTGCTCTTTGAAGTGAGACAGTAGCTCCAGTATCTGACTGTGGCAGCAGATTCAGATCAGTCTTGACTGTACAAAGAAGTTCACATCACAGTAATGAGTTCTCTGGATGCCAGTTAAATCTTAAGGCGTCTCTGTCTGGAAAAAAACAACCCCATAAAGACTAACTGACCATCTGCCCCCAACACCAACCCCTCCTCTCACTCTGGGAGGGAAAAGGTTGTGTAACACGAGTTTATCTGATTCAGACAGACAAGTAGTGAAAGTTCCCCTGGATTACTGTTAGATAACTGTACTCACTGCAGTCTGTAAAACATAAAAGGGTAATTATATTAACAATCAAGCAATCAATTCAATTCTAATTTGCTTTATCGGCCACAACGATTCTGCCAAAGCATCGAGAATCAATGAAAGTGAGAGAATCAGTGATGTAATACACAAAGTAGGTCTGTATCTCAGCATTTAGTTCACTTTTTTTAAGAAAAATAAATTGTCTGTTAGAACAAAGGTCAAACATTGAGGACAAGAAAATAGAATTTGTCAAAACAAGAAGCTTGTTAAGTCTGAATGTTTGTTTAAACTGATCAAATTTAATAAAATAATAATTAATAAATAATAAAGTCTATCTATCTATCTATCTATCTATCTATCTATCTATCTATCTATCTATCTATAAAAGAGAGAAGAATCAAACACTAGAGGGAGACATTGCAGCATCATCAGCCTCCTCTTCCTCAGACAGACTCATCAAATCACTTTGTTTTAAATACGTAAAGATTCAATGAAATACTATAACATACAAATACATAACTTACTAATTAGAGAGGCATAAGAGAGTATTAATATATGAGTATTAGTGGTAGCAGCCTCCATTGCATAAGATTAGAGTTCAGTGTGTGAAATTAGTTGCAAGGAAACATTCATAACTACAACAATGAAGGCTTATCTCAACATCTGATAAATAATAATCAGTTAACTAATCAATAAGAGCCCAATTTTATGCATCCATGATGATAAAGATACAACAAAATAGAAATTAACAGTAAAAATAATCTTCCTCTGTTGTTCACACCCTGGATTTAAATGTTCTTGTGCCACTTTCTGGATATTTTAGAGTAAATTAAAGCGATAATAAACACCCTCAAACAGTAGACGTGTGTTTATAAGCTTTTCTCTCACAGTCTAACGAAGATATTTGAGGATTAAACATTATAACAGATCTTTTATTGATGTGAACTCACATTAAAACCATCAGTTTGTGCAGGTTTTCTGCTTGTTTGATTTTCACAGCATGTGTTGTTTATCAGCTGAATATTGCATGAAAACTCCCGCTGTAAGAGGATTTGTCAATTAAATGAACTACAAGACCATAAAATGACTTCTTTTAATGCACATTTTTGGTTTTAAGGACTCCACAGTCAACAGCGTGCAGCATAAATCATGAATTAAAGGCACCTTGTTTTCGGTTTTTCCTCCCGCTGTTAGCATGAAGCTGCTCAGGTGAGATCATCCTTTAATGACGTAAATTATGTTTGCTTCAAAATGCTTCACATCAGTCCAACTGCACGGAGGAAGCAGCCCACAAACCCTGAAGAGGAAACATATTTCAGATATTTAACAAACTTTAAACCACAGATGAAACCATGAACTTCAGACTGACTGCTGCCTTTTACATCCTCATCATCACTAAATATGTGGTAAGTTACTGCAAACTCATTTATTTGTGTATTTGTGCAATTGTCTGAATGTATTTACATGATATCTAATGTAAAGAGGGGTAAAATGTGTCCTGCATGTGGAAATTAAAAGTAAATTAAATGGAAAAATGGTAAAAACCTTCACACTTGAATGTTTGAATAACACTCATATTTGTGCACATTATCAGCCCTTAAACCAAATACAGATGAATAATGTTGGTTTCCAATCTATTTTATCATTTAGTAAACTGACTCAGTGACATATTTTATGTATATTTCATATTATATTAAAAACTGCACAATGAAATTGTGATTTGGATGAATTTTGAGGAGATTATTTCCTGTTTAGGGAACTTTTTATACAATTCTCTGTCTGTATTATGTATTTTTAATATATTTTTGAACAATCATACAGACTTACATAATGATTTACTTTATTTTTCTTCACAGAAGTGAACCAAATACTGAGATAAAGACCTACTGTGTATATTTTTTAAGTTTTCTCGGACACTTTAAAACACAAGAAATCTGCATGAAGCTCTGGCGACCCCTAGTGGGGGTCGCGACCCTCAGATGGAGAACCACTGCTTATAAATCATCATAAACTCAATTATACATTCAAATAATTCTTAATGATCCCTCAAAGTGTAAAGATTTAATGTAAGTCACATTAAATCATTTGTTGTTTTCATACGCCGGCTGTTTTAACAGGTAATATAATAATTTGCTTTAGTGGAAAAAAACTGAGTAAATTCAACTTGGTGGTAACATTTGTATAAAGAAGCATTTAAGTGACTTTATTCAGATAAATTCTGTTTACACATTTTAAATAAATTTGGATAAATGCTGCATATGACAGTAACTTCATTTACCTGAGTTACCTTAAATAAATAAATACTTGAGTTCCTTCAACTCAAATCAAATATCTTTAGAGCTTAAATTGTTTGAGTTAATGAACTTAAATAGTTAAACAGAATTAAGGTGTGCTGTCAGGTTTTACATTTACATTTATCAGATACTTCAACACATATTAAAATTTATATTCCAAATATATAACGTAGAAAACGAGTGAAAATCTGAAATTCATGTTCAAGATTTCAGTCTGAAACTCTTGCTTTTATAAAGTTGGATCAAATCTTTCCTTCTAGGCTTCTGGTGCTGGAAACAGGGTTGCTGAGGAGCTGCAGCACCCTCTAAACTGGCTAAATGAAAACCATTAATTCATTATAATGAAATTAGAATGATATTCTCCTTATTCACTGGGATTTATGTGTGCACTGGTATCAGTTTTATATCAGTTTTATCCACTAAAAAGTTATCAAATTTGTCTAAAATGTTGTTATTAACTATTAAATAGGCTATAAATGATCCTGGTAATTCAAATTGATGCAAAGCTTTGATGCATTTAGTAGAAATATTAACAGATTTTCCAGGTGAATTGAATGAACCTGCATTAATCTTTGTTATCAGGTGGGATCGACTCATCCATGTTCAATTGTCCTTCACCTGCAAAAGAAAGAAAACGAGTGTAAACTGAAGATTAAGACCAACGCTGCAGCGTCACTGCAGAGGAGCAGAAACACAACATCAGGTAACTATATGATAGAAATCTTCCTCTCTCAGTCCCACTCCTCACGCTGACGGTTTATATTTGGATGTTAGGTTGTGTGACGGAGTGGGACGGAGTGAGCTGTTGGCCGGCTGCCTCTGAGGGAGAGATCGTCTCCGTCCTCTGTCCTCTGCCGCTGCTGAAGCCCGAATCTCCTCCAGGTGAACGTCGTCCACACACAGCAGGAAGTCTCTGAAGTGTTTCAGCTTTCAGGAAGAGGAATATTGAAGTGCACACTTATAGAGAATATTTGTAGCCAAGGTTTTATATTAAATCTTCCACCAGCCACAAAATCAGCCTCTAAAATAGGTTTTTGTCTACAGTAAAAACTATTTGAATTCAATTAAATTGTTACATGTAACATTAACATCCTCTATACTACTTCTTCTCCCACTTTACTAACTTTAAATACATTATCTTATTATATGATAAATTCTAACAATATAGTTCACAGTAACAACCATATAAGACGATGGTATGTCAGTTTTGTGTGGACCTTTAAGTTCAATGTCAGGAATATGCAGTTGGAGAAATATCACATCTTTTTTATTTATTCTTTTTATTTTACCTAAAAAACAAAAATAATCTGAATCTGTATCTGAATAACGAGACCTCAGTGGTGCTCAGAACTTCTTCCTGATAGAAATCAATAAACTACATCACATTCAGATTGTTGTAGAAAGGACTTCCAGGTCTTCAGCTGCAGTTTGAACTCTTCCTCCAATGAATCGTTCTCAGTTCTCATCACGAGGAGCTGCTCGGTCCGAGGATGGAGCAAACCCAGCGTGCCGTATTACGAAGCCTGTTACTACGAAGCTTCTGAGGAGGACGAAGACATGGAGGAAGAGGAGGTAGAGCAGATGTAAAGGTTTACTGTCTCCTTCTGAACTCCAGGATTTCATCTTTAAATCAGGAGGGAACCAAAGATTTCTGCTTCTTTATGCCTCTAATTGATAAATATTTCATGTTCTGCTCCAGAGGAACTACTTTGATACCCTGAAGCTGATGTACAGTGTCGGATACGGAGTTTCTCTGGCTGCTCTCCTCGTCGCTGCTCTGGTCTTCTGCTGCTTCAGGTTGCTTTATTTTTTAAAAATAAAGAAAATCTAATGTTAAAGATGAAACTAATACTCTCTCTAATCCTCCCAGGAAGCTGCTCTGCACACGCAACTACATCCACCTCAACCTGTTCGTGACCTTCATGCTCAGAAGTCTTGCTGTGTTCATCAAAGATTCAGTGTTGTTTGCAGACAAAAGCATGGACCACTGCACCGTGTCCACAGTAAGGCTGCAGACACACTGAGGATAGTTTAGTTTATTTACATGTGCAGTGTGTTTATTTGTGTATTATATGTGTTGATTTGAAGTAACTTATGTATTTATTGTTCAGGTAACCTGGGTAAATTAAATTAATTGTTATAATTTCATTAAAGTATGTTCCAAACTTTACAAATTTGTTACCATCAAGTTGAATTTACTTTATTTACTTCTTCCACTAAAGCAAATTATTACGTTACCTGTTAAAACAGCTGACATATGATAAAACTATTTACCATTAATTGACTATAAATACATTTTCTGTGTTTTTTTAGGTGACAAACATTAAATCTTTACACTTTGGGGGATTACTATGAATGTTTATGCATAATTTGGATTTATGATGATTAATAAACTGAAATAAAAACAAAAGAGAAACATTATTATAAGGATATAAAGTTAACTTAAAGAAAATGAATCAGTGGAACAAACTGGAATTATATCACCAATAATTAAAATACTGAAGTCAAAACAACTGAGTTACTTTAATGTTTTAGATTAATTGATGTAAGTGACTCAAATATTTTATTTAGATGTGTTGTCAAAAAGAAAAAAGAAAAGCACCATCCCAAAAACCTGCACACTTGTTTCTTGCATTTGAATTTAAATTGTCCTGTGACGTCTGTTGTGTAAGGTAATCTGTCCTCTGTGTCCTTTGTGTCGTCTCAGCTCCGGTGCAAAGCAGCAGTGACGTTCTTCCACTTCTGCGTTTTGTCCAACTTCTCCTGGCTGCTGGTGGAGGGTTTGTACCTGCAGACGCTGCTGCTCTTCACCTTCGCTCAGACCAGGAAGCTCTTCTGGATCTACGCCCCCATCGGCTGGGGTACGCTGTGCTTTTGCATGTATCATTATAATAATAATAATAATAATCTTTATTTAAAGAGTACTTTAAAAACAAACGTTACAAAGTGCTTTGATAAAACATTTAGGAAGTAAAAGATACTTCAGAACATTAATATTCAAGTAAAATCAGAGTAGGTGCTCAGATAAAAGTGTCTTTTGAGAAGAGACTTAAATCCCTGACTCAGGTGACCTGATTGTTCCAGAGTCTCTGGGCCCCAAACGCTCCGTCCCTTTTCAGTCGGGCCTCTGGAGCAGATAAAAGACGTCTGCCCGAGCCGGCGTGTACGATATTAAAAGCTCTGAGATAAAGCAGGCGGATAGAGATGACGTAGAGCCTTAAAAGTAATCAGTGAAATCTTAAAATCAATTCTAAAAACATACAGAGAGCCTAAAGGGGCTGAGAAAGGAGTGATGTGATCTTCTTGGTTCCAGTTAAAAGCTTTATTTGACCTGTCTGATGTTGTAGGTACTCCATCAGTGACCGTTGTGATCTGGGCTCTGCTGAAACATCAGCTGGATGACGAAGGGTGAGTAAAAGTGTCGATGTGCAGACGTGTTTCACATCTTCATTTAATGTTAACTGACGGTATTATTTCTGCATGCAGCTGTTGGGACAACCTGGAGAGCCGCTTGTGGTGGATAATCAAGATTCCCATTCTGCTCTCAATCTTAGTAAGCAAACATATTCTGCTCACATCTCTTTTATTTACCCGAACTAAACGGGACATTTCTCTCACCGACACACCTTTAACTGGACGTTAAAAACAGCTTGTAAATCAACAAATCATCCAGAGGAACATTTATTGTCCAGATTTTTGATATCTTGACATTTATTTTGTAGCTCAGTGTTTTTATTTATTGAGAAAGTTTCTCATTAAAATAACTATTAAAATTTCCCAGAAATGGGCTTCCATAGGATGATGGTTCTGTTTTAGTTTATATTAAGATTGTGTGATATATAGTAAAGTGTATTGTATATAGGGGTTGGATAATCCTTCATAAACAGCATATATGAAGGGTGGTGGGTGTGAATGTATGTGTATATATAAATAATGAAGCAGAGACAGAGATAAATAATAATACTTTTTGAACATGTTTTTAGATTTAATTTGTGTTTATGAGGATTTATTCATTGAGTTTGTGTATTATAAGGTTTTATATCAGGTTATAAGTTTTGTTTTCTCTGCATGTGATTTGATCCACAGATGAACTTTGTGATCTTCCTGAACATCAGTAGGATCATCGTTCAGAAGACAAAGGCCACACCTATGAACCAAAGTGAGACCCAGCTGTACAGGTAAGCCCCGACTCACCTGTTAATTCTCTCGTCTCCTCGCTGTCTACCTGTCTACCTGTCCTCTACCTGTCTACCTGTCAGTCTGTGAGCTTCCTCTGCTGTCGTCTGTTGCCTCCTGCAGGAGACTCGTCCGCTCCACTCTGCTCCTCATCCCTCTGTTCGGGCTCCACTACGTGGTGTTTGCTCTGTTTCCAGAACACGTTGGCGTGAGGCCTCGACTCTACTTCGAGTTGGTGTTAGGATCCTTCCAGGTAACAGATATCCGTCGTAGCTCTCGACTAACAACATGATTTAAGTTAAAAGTTTATAAAAAAACATCCTTGATAAAGTAGGGTTAGTAATTTAACTGGAGCGGAGAGTGAAAACTAAATACCTGGTAAAAGCTGCTTCATCAAGACTCTTTTTTAACTTGAACATTTAGTTTGTGTTACTTTAAATTATTGATGTAATCAGTATTAACACTTTTTTTAAGTTAAAAAGAATTCCTGATTAAGAAGCTTTTATTAGTAATATTAAGTGATACCAACTTAGTTGTGTAAGTAACAGAAATATTCCTGATTAAGTAGTTTTTACTGGGTATTTTGTGTTTAAAGTACAAATAAAAAGTACAAAAGTAAAAAAAAGTGTCACTTAAAATTATTAACGCAACTTATCACATTACAGTGTTCATTAAAAACAGATGAGTTAGTTATTTACTTATTTAGTGTCCTATACAAGTGTAATTATACGTTGAAACACTTTTGATACTTTAGTTAAATATTATTAATTAGTAATTGTTTGGTCTAAAAAATGTCAGAAAATAGTGAAAAGAAGACTTGATGTCTTCATGTATCTTGTTTTGTCGGGCCAATGCTCCAAAAACCAAATATAATCAGTTTTTTTGACATATATCACAAATAAAAACCTCTGAGCTGGAATCAGTTCAATCAGTTTGACATTAAGCTGCAGATGAACTAATCGATTTAATTGATAAACTCTATAATGTAGTTGCAGCTCCTTTCTAACTTGTATTTTTCTGCTCTTTCAGGGTTTTATTGTTGCTCTGTTGTACTGCTTTCTAAACGGAGAGGTAAGTTTTCACAATAAACTTAAAATCAGTTTGTAAAAAATTAACATCAACTTAAAAACAAACATTATTTGTGTTTCAGGTGCGAAAAGAAATCCAGAGGACGATGAGAAGATGGTGGTCTGAGACAAAAACTAACGCCATCAATCTTCCAACCCAAGAATACGTCCCCTGAACTCTTCTTCAAGACGTGTTTAATAGTTTATTAATCATCAATGATCAAACTAGGATCACTATCGATTATAATCGATCGAAACAACCGACCCTGTTTCTTCCCTTGTTGTTGCAACTTCATAGAAATGTGATAAAATGTAAAATATTCTTACAGTTTATTCTCCTTCCTGGTCATTAAAGTCAGTCTTTAGTATTAAACTTGTAACTGCTGCACAATTATTAATTATCTTATTACTTCACCACCACAGCTCAGTAATTCAAAATATTCTCTTTGTACTTATTTATAAAACTTTTGGTAAGATAAGTTCCCGAACACTAGAGGTCGCCAAAGCTTCACAGGGGTGGAAAGGTCTTTTTACTATAAGGGGTGTAAGAACATTTAAAAATATACACAGTTGGCAGTAGACAGTAGGATATCTCAGTGTTTGGTTGATTTCTGTGAAGAAAACTAAAGTACTTTTTTACAGTTTATATAATTATTTAAGATCTAAACTTAAAAATAAGCTTATTAAGTCTGTATGATTGTTAAAAATGATTTAAAAAATCCATAATACAGACAGAGAATTATATAAAAAGTTCCCTAAACAGGAAATAATCTGCTAAAGTTCATCAAAATCATTGTTTTACACAAACTTTCTGCAGTTACTGAGTTTATAATTTGGGTTCATTGTACAGTTTTGAATATAATATGAAATATTTATAAAATATGTCACAAAAGTTTGGAAACCACTGAGTTAAGATGTTAAATAACCACAGAAAAAAGAGATCTTTATCCGTACTTACTTACTTACAGTATTATTTATTTAAATATTAAGTACATCACTGGATGAATATAATTTGTTTACTCAGCAGTGCTACAGTGTTTGTGCATGTAAACGTGTTTATATTGTCTGTCAATAAAACATTTAAACAATAATAAATAATATAATAAGATTCAAACTGGAGTTTGTTTGTGACTTTAAAGATATAACCAGTGCTTCTGCATCAGGCTGACATCTAGTGGTCAGAACGTCACAGTGCAGCTCGGTGCTCAACAACAAATGGACAAACAAATCCACAGACCGAGCTTTAAAATGCTAAAATAAAAAGGTTAATACAATCTCTACTAACCTGTTAAAGTGCTTGTTATGTGGTGCTACTTTAACTCTGTACAAAATAAATTAAAGGTTAAACTAAATCAACTGAACACAATCTGAAACCAAACCAAAGTGGGTAAGTGAAAGGAAACACATATTTACACATATAATCCAAACACACAGTGCTACCAACAGAGTGAAACAACAAAAACAAAACATCAAACAAACAAACAAAAGATTAATTTCTCTCTCTGTACGTTATTCTCTTCCTTTATTGTTTCTTTCCATCTTTGAACTGATGGACTTTAATGGTTTTCTCAGTTATTTGCTGAGTAGTCTGTATTGATACAGCTCTGTTCCTTGTGTCGGCTCTATAATAATAATAATAATAATAATAATCTGTTGAGTTATACCCATTAAATATGAAAAAAACACTTTTATTGATCTTTAAAATCAGATCTGAGCATTCTTGTTCCGCTGCATCGCTTCATATCTGAGCTCTGCAGTGAAAACCAGCCCTCTGTGTACACAGCCACAGACGCCCCATCAGAGACCTCAGGGGCCCCCAGGTACAAAGAAACAAAGAGCAGGCATGAATGAATCGGTGGAGGAGCTGCAGAGAAACCGTCTGATGAAATCAAGGCTCTGCTGTTTGAGTCCAGGACTAGTTTTGACTGTCTGAGGAGGTTTTGATGAGTCCAGTTTCTGACAGATTTAGGGTCTTTTAGTGCGGGAGGAGTTTAAAGTGTCTCCAAGAAGAAGAACAACATGAATCCCACCCGCCCTTCTCTCTCTCGCCTGTGAATGGTCTAACCCTCTGGGTTCACATGGCACCCTCCCCCCCACCCCCCGCCATGTGTGTGTATGTTGTCTTTGCCGTATATAGCGCAGAGTTATCCGGCTGCACTGCCTCGGGACCTGTGAGACTGCAGCAGAGTCTGCCACACAATCTGTCCGTCTTTGTCATCCTGTTTTGATAAGAAGGGCTTCTTGTGCCTCCAACGGCCTCGCTGCTCCACAGTCATCACTTCACTCTGCTCCACTTTTTCCACAGGCAGCTTTTTTTTTTCCAACAAGGGAGAAAAATGAACGGTACCATGGATGGGACCAACGAGTGCAACTCTCCTCATGACGGGTCCTTCATGTTTACCTCTGAGTCTGTGGGAGAGGGACATCCTGGTGAGTAGAGGACTCCCTCTCTCTCATACAGCATTTCATCTGCAGCTCCTGCAGGTTATGAATGAGGAGTAGTCAGTTGTCTAGTGTTGTTGTCCACACTTTTATGTTTCAGTGATCATTGATGACTTTGAGGAATGTGCAGAATCCTGAGCAGTGCACGGAGGCGCTGTAGCATAAAACGCAGTCTGACGAGCCACTCAGCACTGATTTCTGCTCTAATTTGTTTGTTTTTGGGTGCAACTGTGAAGTATTTAGATAATTGATCCTGGATTATACAGTATTAAATTGGATTTTAATTAAATTATCAAGGATAAAACCTCCATTGTAGCTGCATGTGAGGCTCAAACCAAACACTACACTGTGAATCCTTTTAAGCAGCTTCAACTTAAAAACGTAAGTTCTCCTGCTGCTGTTTAAAAATGTGAGTTAACTCAACTTGTGTTGAATCATTAGTTCAAAGTCATTTAAGAAGTTTTGTTCACTGAACTTGGGAAAACAAGTTAAATAAACTTATTGAAAAGTTTCAGACACTTTTGTTTTCTCTTTACATGTTCTCTCCTTAAAGAGTCGGATCTTACTTACAGCTGTTAGTTAGTTAAAGTTATACAAAAGACAACATGTGAGCAGTGCCGGAAAATTAATGAACAGTGCTTTGATTGAGTTTGAGCTTTATATGGAGCCATTATGACTTCTTCTCTTGGAGCAAATACTTGGACTTCTCAGCCGTTAATATGTATGTACACAGATTTAGAAATCTGTTTACGCACACACAGGTTGAGATACAGTTACACAACTCTCTGCTCACAATTGTAAATAGTTTCGTTACAATAATAGCTCCTTATGTGTACAGCCACATGGTCGCACTCTGACGTCTTCTCTCGTCTGCTCTGCTTTCATATGCATGGAAACGCAATGCAGAACGACTGACCCCCTATGAAGATTAGGCGACCCCTAGTGGGGGTCTCGATGCCCAGGTAGAGGGTTTACGACCGATTCTGAGCCAGAACAAGCTCCAGCTTTAGGTTCACGTTGGTGTTTCTCAAAGTGGGAACATTTGCATTGAAAATAGGTTTTAATATTCTTTCTACTGGCTGATTTCTGTCATTTTTTAAATTCTTTACAGACTAAATTACTTGATGAGGACATTTTTTTGCTCTGATCAACACATCATATCCTGTATAATGTTTTGAGTGAAAAATCTGGTTGTCAGATACATTTAATGCAGTAAAAACCTTAAATACTGAGTGAAATAAATACAGTGGAGTGGAAGTAAAAGCAGGTTTGAGTACAGTAGAGTTGTGGCGAGTGGCGACGCTTTGATGATGTGATGGAGTTACAGCGTACCATGTGACACCGATGCCGAGGCTATTCATAGGACCAAAGCTCCTAATAAGAAAGATGTGTAGTACGCTGATACAGAGGTGAAATCTGATACCTTCAGGCTCTGCCCAGATGAGGAATGTCACATGTGCAGCAAAAGGTCAAAGGAGGAAACAACCTGGCACCCACAGAGCGATCCAGATATCGATGTATTTAAATCTTCTTTTCCAGATAAGATATGTGACCAGATCAGTGATGCTGTGTTGGATGCTCACCTGAGGCAGGACCCTGATGCTAAAGTGGCCTGTGGTGAGTAACAATGTGCTTCTGTCCATTAGACGGAAATAATGCACCAAAAGACTGGAGTCAGACAGTTTATGATTACCTTCCAGTATGTTTCTGTAGCAGACAATTTAACTTATGGATTCAACTTTTTGTCCACAAAACACAGAAGAAAACTCTACTCAATGGCTTTATATCAGATCTTTAGGAGTCATTTAGGATGTTACCAGACGTAAAGTGGCATTCACAAGCATTCCGCTCTTATGATGAGCCTGAAACACTTGTTATTAATTTAATAAAAAGAAAAATGCAAGATAAAGACTTATGACTGGCCACTTATTTGTGAATTCAGCTGATATGTTCACACATTCACAAGCAGCGTTTGAGCCCAATCTGTTTGCAGGCATCCTTAAAAGGGAACTACACACATTAAAGTCTTTGGGAGTTCAGTGCTAATATGGAAAAATGCGTATAAAGTTTTTTTATGTCTCTAAAGTCCTCAACCGATGTCATTTAGGCAGCAGGTTTTGACAAGGAAGAAGAATTCGTCGAATAAAAAAAGATTATTTCTCTGCTCCTGCTGCATCGATTTTGATCCTTTTTTAAAAAAAAAAAAAACACTTTCCAAACCCCAAAAGTCTGAAAAATGTCCCATGATGCTGAAAACAAACACCCAATACCGGCCTGGTTAAACGATAGGCAAAGCATTTAACTTACATCACATACGTAAATTACATGACTAACACACAAACTTGACTTAATGTCTTCTTCTGTGTGTTGAAACAGAGACGGTGTGTAAGACTGGCATGGTGCTGCTCTGTGGGGAGATCACGTCTCGAGCCAACGTGGACTACCAGAAGGTGGTGAGAGAAACCATCCGGAACATCGGTTATGACAACTCAGACAAAGGTCAGTGGGAACCAGATGTTAAATCTTTCGATGTTCCCTCAGCAGTTATTTTACATGTGTGCATGTATGAGTGAAACCATGTGATTGGATTGGGATTTGGTGTCTGGTTGAGCCAAACAATGTGATATCAGTCAGGAGTTGTACTTCTCTTTAAAGTGAAATAAGTTTATTTAACTTTTTCCCTTCTCTCTGTCTATGCAGGCTTTGATTATAAGACCTGTAACGTGCTGGTGGCCCTCGAGCAGCAGTCTCCCGATATTGCACAGGGAGTTCACATCGATCGTCTGGAGAACGACATCGGAGCTGGAGATCAGGTCATCTGGAAGAACACAACACAACAATTACTGTCTGGTTTTATTAACTTTGAGCTCTTTCATTTGAAATTTTTAAAAACTTGTGGTCGTAAACTTTTGTTGTTATCCACAGAAGTACTTGAACAGACTGAAATATGTATTACATTCATTGGAATTTGTGCAAAAAGAAGCTTATTAAGTATGTTTCAATGTTAAAAATAATAAAAAGTACATTATACAGTTCCCTAAACAGGAAGTAATCTGCTCAGAATTCATCCAAATCACTTGTTTTACACAAACCTCCTACAGTCACTATTTGGGTTAATTGTACAGTTTTGAATAGAATATGAAATATCCATAAAATATAAGTCACTAATTCAGGGAACCACTGCAGTAAAGGACAATAACGTGAGGTTACTACGAGTACTATGTATTAGTGGAAGAAGTACTCTTTTATTTCAATAAAAGTAGCAAAACTATAAAACATATAAAAATATATGTAAAAACAGAATAAAACAAAGTAAAAGTACTTGTGAACAGACAAAGACATCAATGACATTTTATTGTATTTTAAATTCTGCTTATTCTGTGCAAACAGGGTCTGATGTTTGGATACGCCACAGACGAGACAGAAGAGTCCATGCCGCTCACCGTCGTCCTCGCCCACAAACTCAACTCCAAGATGGCCGAACTGAGGCGCAACGGGACCGTGCCCTGGCTCCGCCCGGACTCCAAGACTCAGGTGGGATAATTTAGTTTTGTTACCAAGCTTCAACAAACCGTCTGTTCCTTTAAACATCAAGAACTGTAAGTTGTAAACAGTTGTTGTAACACTGTAAACTGATCATATAAATAAAGATTTTAACCTCACTAATTCAGGAAACTTTGTGCAAAATATCCCAGATTGAGACGTTGTTAGTTAATTATCACACATTTATGTCTGTTGTTTGTAAGCTTATACACTTCCAAAGAAGTCTTTAAATTTATGGATATCATGGTTTGCGATGAGGTGGTTCTCACTGTAGTGTGACATTGATAGTGACCTCCAGAATGTGCTTACCAGCAGAGACTGACCAGAGCAGGCTGGTATGCAACATCTGAGCTGGGAGACGCCCTCAACAGCGTCAGCATGTGCACGTATCGTATTGATGCTCTGAGCTCACCGCACGTGTCTAGAGTCAGGGCGCCTCAATTTGCTCAAATAAGAGGATGTTTTCAATGAGTAAACTGATTCAGTACAGAACAACTGATAAACTGTATTTGAGCAGATTATTTCCTGTAAATATTGCAACAGAAATTAGTTTTTCTGATGTTTTTAGTAACTTTTTATACAATTCTCGGTCGTAATTATGTTTTATTATATAATTATTTCATATATATTTTTAAACAGTCATACAGACTTAATAGGCTATTTTTTTGACCAATTCAGTGTTTTCTTCTCCCTGAATTCAGGTCATGAAAGTTTAGACACTAAGCAGTTGAACTGAAATGTTTGTAAGTTATTTTTTTCTCTCCAATACAAATAAAAAGTCACTTAAAATTACTGAAGCTACTTGGTCAATAATGTTTTTTTAACTTACCAAATTGACTTTGTTTTACTTAAAATTTTCGATGTAATTTAGTTGAATGAGCTTATCTGGTTTTACAGTGTAATCTAAACTTTAAAAATAACAATTTCATTTAGTTTTATTCATAGAAATTAACAAAATGCTGAGTTATAGACCTATTGTGTATATTTTTAAATTTTTCCTACACGCATTAAAATCAAGAAGGTCTTGCAACCCCCTGTGAATATTTGGCGACCCTTAGCGCGGATTAAATCTCAGTTTAGGCCTAATGTGGTGTAATATAAACCCTGTCCTCCACCTTCCCTCCATCCAGGTGACGGTTCATTACACCCAAGAGAACGGGGCTGTGATCCCCAAGAGGGTTCACACTGTGGTGATCTCAGTGCAGCACGATGACTACGTGAGCCTAGAGGAGCAGAAGAGGGTCCTGGAGGAGAAGGTCATCAGGGCGGTGGTCCCCTCAAAGTACCTGGACGAGGACACCATCTATCATTTGCAGCCCAGCGGACGGTTTGTGATCGGTGGACCGCAGGTAAAGGTCTTAAGGTGTTGGAGGTAGAGGGGGGATGTCCCCTTATAGGATGAAGAGGTTAAAGCTCCAACAACACCTGTAGTATCTTAATGTTTGTGTGTTCTTTCTAATGTGTTTTATGGGGACTGTGACTACAGCCAGAAACACTTGGTCACACAATTAAGTTGTTTATTTTTGCTGTTGGACTTTTGACCATTTCAGACTATTTCTGTTCTGCATGCAGCTTGATAATAAACTGATGAGTTAAAGATTTCCTAGCATGCACAAGATGTAAAGATGCAAACTCCTGAACTTTAGCCTGCTCGGTTACACAAACACAAACACAGGAGCTCAGTTCACAACATTCACAAAGCCCAATATGGAAAATAAAATAAAAAACAAAACAGAAAGACCGCTGACCTAGCCTAGGCTAGTTAACTTCGTCGGCAGTTCAGAGTCACAAACTCACACATGAAAGCGCGTTGACCAGCAAAACATTCATAGTGTCGAGTTCATAGTCCGACTTAACATTAAAGTACACAATAAACTCTCCCCAAACTTCCTTCTCATGTGATTACCCACAGGTCAACAGGAAAACTCTACGAGATCATTAATTCTCTAAACTAAACAAAAGTATAATTAAGCTGAATGATAGCTGAGCCTAAATCTTTATGCATGAAACATTTCAATAACTTTAATGCATTAACATTAACTGAATAGAAGTTATGCATTTGATCAATAACTGGCAGTAACCCAGTAATTTAATCTGCTAATAGATCCTCTTCAATGTGACACACTGGACTCATATTGTTGCTGAATCAATCCATTGATTAAGTGATTCACAGAACATAAACTGTCTACCGTTTTATATTATGATGAGTATATTATTGATGAGTAAATTAATAATCTACTAATTACAAAAAAATAACAGATGATTCAATAATGAGAATAATTGTTAGTTAATTAAACAAAATGTAACAGAATCAATTATGTTAATTATTTTTTAATATTTAATTAATTCTGATTGATACTGAGCTCTAAGAACATATTTAAATCCACTATTCTTGCGTAAGTATTGGAAATTTAAGTCTCGACTTCCTGTCAGGGCGACGCTGGAGTGACGGGCAGGAAGATCATTGTCGACACATACGGCGGTTGGGGGGCCCACGGGGGCGGGGCTTTCTCTGGGAAGGACTACACCAAGGTGGACCGCTCAGCTGCCTACGCCGCCCGCTGGGTGGCGAAGTCTCTGGTGAAAGCCCGACTGTGCAGGAGGGTTCTTGTGCAGGTGAGATCCAACAAATCAAATCCATTTTAACTTTATTATTATATTTTATTACTTAATCTCCTATACTATTATTATTATATCCAACGTTATATTATGTTAATATGTTACATTGCTACATCTCCATATCAATAAAGACAAGTACCATTACTTAAAAATATCATCAGTGTTGGGCAGTAACTTATTGATAGTAATAATATTAGTTTTCCCTGTAATTAGTAGTGTAACTAATTACTTGGGATCTACGATATGGATTTTTTTTAGCTGATAATTTCATATTTTTGTATTTTTAAAAGAAGTTCATAACTTGTAGTTTTTATACACTTGAGGGTAAAAAGGGTTAAGATGTAGTGAGAAAAAGATGGATGATTTAATATTCAATAGTTCTGATCTAATTAAATCTGTCTCTGCAATAAATACTTATACTTATTATTATATTGGGTTTTTTTTTTTTGGTTTTTGTTTAATATGTTTGGGACTTTTATGGCCTTTAATGAACAGTGACAGCTGTAGAGTGACCTCAGTAACGGTGGCTGCTAGTCTCGAGTCTCCCTAGTTAGACTGGCTATAGATTACAAATCAACACACAATAAAAAAAAAAGTCTAAAAGGAAAATACAGAATTTACTGGTTTGATCTACTGTAAGAAATTTGCATTACGAGGCGTAAATGTAGTTTTTTTGGCTCTTTTGATAGTAAAGGTTACTGACCCCTGGTTGAATGCTTATAGACATTTTAATGCAGAAATGTTCCATATTATAACTTTAACCCTGAACAAAGGCCTAAAACACAAGTCTTAAATTATATATTTAACATTTTCAGGTGGCGTACGCCATTGGAGTCGCCCACCCGCTCTCCATCTCCCTCTTCACCTACGGCTCCTCTCAGAAGAGCGAGAAGGAGCTGCTGCAGATCGTCAATAAAAACTTTGATCTCCGACCCGGCGTCATCGTCAGGTCGGCTTTAAACTGAAGATTCTGCATCTGATTTGTTGTTGTATGAAATGTAAACAATGTTTGGGGGCACGTTCAAGTACCTGAATTAACCTTTTATTGATCGATTGTGCTGCAGAGACCTGGACCTGAAGAGGCCAATCTACCAGAAGACGGCCTGCTACGGACACTTTGGCAGGAAGGAGTTTCCATGGGAGGTCCCAAAGAACCTGAACTTCTAGAGTATCTGTGTGTATGAGAGAGTGTGTGAGTGTGAATGTGTGTGAGTGATATATAGATAGCTGCCCCTCGTGCTCCTGTAACCCAGTAAGAGAGAGGCAGCTGTGAGGGTGTGCGGGGCTGGGTCAGGGTGGGTGCAGATGGTCGCTGCTTATTGGACGGCGCAGAGAGGTTTCATCTGTTTTTATGACTTCGTCGGCCCTCAATAGTAATCTGAAACACGAGCCGTTTGGTATTTTTGTCCCGTAGATATACAGCCACATGCCCGCAGTGTATTTCACACTTCAGAGAGAGTTGTTGTTTGCAACTATTTGGCTTTTCTGTCAGGAAATAAGTGAATGACCAAATTTTAAGGGAGAGCAGCCGTGTTTGCATATTCACTTCAGAACCACATCAATGTCTTAAGAAAAATCTACATTTTTGTTATTGTTGTCAGTATTTTTTATATGATTAATACTGTACGGTGCTGAAAGAGAGTCTAAAGATCTTAAAGTTATTACACACAGTGAAGACTGTAAGTGTCTTTTCAGCCGTTTTGGCGTTTTGTTCTTGAAAACAGCATAAAATCAAACCTGTAGACCTGAGGGCTGTTTCACAAAATCAGTGGGGTTTTTTTGTTATCCAGAGTTTAAGCAAGTTAGTCTGTCTCACAAAAGCAGAGACATGTAAGTTACCGTGAAGATTTATTCTGTGCAGCTAACCTGCTGCAGATGGATTGATTAATCCAGGATGCTCTGTTTCTTCAGTTATTCAGGATTTTTAAATTTGAAACAGCCCCAAGAATCTATTATTTTATTTTCGTTTTTCTCCCTCAAGATAAAACGTTTTGTTTCATATTATTTGGGATTCAAACATGAATTTCGTCAACATCTGCACAAAATGACTCCGAGATGAGATCACAGAAGGAGACGATACACAGCAGAGATCCCAAAGAAGTTTCAGATGTTAATAACAGAGAAAAAATACATGCTTCTAAACATTTAGAAATATGTTATTGTATTTTCTTTAGCGGTTCATGTTTCGAGATTAAACTGTCTCAAGTTCTGAATCATTTGGTACTAAAATAGTATGAACTTCATCAAGACCTGCAGACATTTGCTAAAGCTTATACGAGATTTAAAAATACAGTAGATGTCTCAAACTTTTTATATACTGTAGCTGGCTGCAGGCAAAGTATGTGCAGCTTTTAGTGTAATATTGGATTATCAACGATGTTACAATTATTACATGTAGAATAGGCTGAAAGTCTTAGTAGTTTTTAGAGTTTCAGCAGGAAATCAGCGCACAAACCAGTATTCTGAACATAGTATCATATTTTCTTCTGAGGTCGTTTGAGATGAAACAGATGTTTCTTATATTATTTGACATTAAAACTGTGAATTTCATCTGCAAAGCAAAGATGTAAAAATACAGTAAATGTCCTTAATAAGTCTCAAAAGTCAGAATCAGAGACAAACCTGTGAATGTGGAACTTTTTGAGGCGTATTTCTCGTCTAAAAGTGAACCACATCTCTGGAAAATGATGTAAATATGATTTTTGAACAATAAAACTTTTGACAAAAGACTTTTCATGTTTCTTTAAGAGTGAATGAAAATGATAAAATAAGAGGATTTTTTTATTTGCTTTATTTCTTTTGTTCTCTGCATACTTTATTAAACTTTCTTGGAAAAGTATTTCTGTAAATTATCAAATACAGCATGAAAACATCCTTAACAAACAGTTTGGTCCCATTAAAACTGTAAGACTGTCATTGTTACTGAGAGCAATACGGAGTACGGAAATACACTGCTGCCAGTAAAATAAAAAAATAAGATGAAAACTTAGCTTCGATAATAAAACATTTTTCATTTTAAATCAAAATATGAGATAGAAAGTCAAAATACCTGAAATAAAATAAATTATGAGATAAAAAGTCATAATTAAGAGATGAAAAGTAATAATTAAGAGATTAAAAGTCAAAATTGTGAGATGAAAAGTGAAATTGCGAAATTAAGTCATAAATATGGGCTAAATAGTCATAATTATTTGATAAAAAAGTCAATTATGAAGTGAAAAGTCGAATTTTAAGATGAAAAAGTCGACATTAAGATATAAAAGTCATAATTATGCAATAAAAAGTCATAATTAAGAGATGAAAAGTCAAAATTGTGAAACTAAGTCACAACTTTGGAATAAAAAGTTTTAATTATTAAATGAAAAGTCAAAATTATGAATTAAAACCTGACATTATAAGATAAAAGGTCATAATAATAGCTTATCATGAGGATACTTTTATTATCGAAGCTAAGTTTTTGAATCTTATTTATTTATTGTACTGGCGTGAATGGTCTTCCATACTCAAGAGCTGACGTGAGATAAAACAAAATATACAACAGAGCTTATTTGGGCGATATGACGCAGCTGCTGACATATTGCTATAAAGTTGTTTCTGTGGATATTATAACTTTTTTTTAATTACAAGTTAAACTTTGAAAAACTTAAACTGCCCCACATAAGAACACAAATGTTTTAAGAACGACTGAACCACATTCAAAGAAACAAATTATTCTTGGCACGCAGTAACTTTCCGTCTATTGTTTCTTTTGGAAAACGTCACCTTTTGGTTTTTTTTACGAGCGAGGTAAAGAGCGAAAAAGCCGATTATGTAACGAAACTTCCTGAGTACGAAACAATACAGAGCTCGGTGTCTGAATGTCTAAACCATCAAAACATCTGAGGCGCTTTCAGGGCGTCCAATCTGATAACGGGGCAAGAATTCAGAGAGTGATTGTTTCATTAAGAGAAATAAAACAAACAGTGAGGACTGTGAATGTGTGTGCTGGACGTTGTGTTCAGAGAAGGCACTTAAACAATATTGTGCAATGTTTTGTAGTGTAGCCTGAACTCTTGCAAAGCAGGATAAAAGTCTGTCTTTGGTCACTGCTGAGAGGAACACCTTCGGCACCACGGCTGTGCAATAAAAGTGGAGCGTGAAGATACGCAGGATGCAGCTTCCAGGCTTTCCTTTGACCTCCTTTGGACCCTTCGAACCTCTGCAAGGCCGCGGTTTGGTTACAGCATGGAGAAGCTTTCCGTCTGGTGGTGGTTGGAGACGCCGCCCACCTCAGTCTTGTGCTCAGAGGTGGAGAAGCTCTGCACTCCGCCTCCTCTGGACAGGACCATCACGGTGTCCCCCGACATGCCCGAGAACTCGAAGGCGAAAGTCCCGTAAAAGAGCATGATGAGCATGCAGTAGATCCACTCGAAGATGGCGGAGGCGTGCTGCAGGGCGAAGCTCTCCTGGCAAAAGAAAACTCCACCTGGGGGATCAGAGGTTAAGGAGAACAATGGTTGCAGAGCAGGAGCCAGACAGGGCCGCCCATAAGGGGGCCACTTCTGTTTTTTCTCCAGCAGGGGGCCTCGTAACATAATCTACACACATAACCTCTGAACATGCTGGAAGGACGACAGAGCATCACAGGCACAGAGTGAGTGACAGCCAACAAACTGGTGGACTGCTGCAGCTTCCATCCAGTTATGAAACCAGATGTTACAGTTACAGAGATATTATAGTAGATATCTAGAGAAAAATACCTGAAATATTTTAGGAAACTTTAGGAAACAGAGACTTCATGCTGGAAGGATACTGAGCACCAGGGCGATCAGGGCCAGCAGGGCCATCCCCACACGTAAGTGACCTATTCGGTACTCCTCCTGGGTCTTGGCCAGTCTGTAGGTCAGAGCCGACTGCAGACACACAAACAGCATGCTGGAGGGGAACGCCACTCCGGCTCCGACGTAGTGGAGAACTTTGGCAAAATCCACCTGAGAAATAAACAAACACTTTAAGTTTTGCACAGGTTTGGTTTGGTTATTTTTATGTTTTAAAGTGAGCAGAAACATTTTTACATCATATATAATCAGTGGTTATGGTGTCTGTCCCTTACTGTTGTTATTCTTGGTTCTGTTATAGATATATATATATATATATATAATATATGTATAATGGACAAAGCTTCCAGGTCCGTGAAAGTATAAAGAGCCACAAAGTCCACATAAGGACGCGGTCGGGGCAGTTGAATGGGGCAAACAAACACAGGACGTTCACCCAGAAGACTACAGTTCGTGTGACACTAAAAGTCACTGTTGACGTAGCAGGTTGTTGTTTTTTGGTGTGTAAATCCAACCAAACTGTGACCTTTTTCACGCTGTAGAGCCACATGTTTATTATTGTTACCATGACAATAAAGGTCACCTGACTTTGTCCTTTCCTGCACGTCAAATACTCATAGAAAAACTCCATTTAATGGTGGTTGGTGTTATTTGTACGCAGATTTAAGAGTCCAGAGGGCTCAGATTTAACTCTGAGTTATTAAGGAAAGTCCATAATTACCTACTCTGGTGTTAAACCACCACAGTGATTATGAAGTTAGTCGAGTCAGAGTCCACTTCGCCTAAAAGGGGTGTGTTTGGCAGGTTGTAGCACGAGTTACTCCTGAAGTTACCTCGCTGTGTAGGACAGCTCTCAGCTTTTATGACGTCTTTCCCAAAACATTTGTGTCACTAATATACTGATAAAATCCTCTCACTGTAATCTTAACCCCTCAAACACAAAACGTTCGTCCTAAAAAAGCATCATTTCTCGAAGGGAACAACAAAAGCTGATAAAAAAAACGCAATGCACACACACACACACACACACACACACACACACACACACACACACACACACACACACACACACAGGGATCATCATGACCTAACACTGGCATTGTGGGTAATCACTGTTACAATATCATCTGACAAACGAGGTCAGAGGACGGGATGATCTGCACCCGGAAAACTCAGGATGAGAAAAGGAACGGAAGGAAAAAACCTGTAATGAAACCAATTTACAACGACATCACCTCCATTATCAGAGAGAGCCGATAATCAATCAGTGATTGATTGAATACACTCACACACACACACACACACACACACACACACACACACACACAGCAGCTGGTATGATTATGACATGTGGATGACAGAGTTGCATCGTGGGAGACATCACAGCTGTTGCGTAATTACAGGGAAGAGACACAACAACCGAACTGGTTGATTTATGAGAGTGTTACACATAAAAATCATAATTTTAGAGCATAAAAAGTCAGATGTTCTTTTTCGAAAAGGAAACATTCAAGTTTTGTAGACAATGAAAAGTAATTTCACACATTTTACATTTAGTTAGTTATAAATTAACCCTTTAAAAACAATTAACTTAATTAAACTTATTAAACTCAAAAATTAACTGTTGAAGCAACTCAGTTGTTTTAGTGAAGTTAAATGTGTTAAAAGTATTTTAAATATTGGTGCTAAGTTGACTCAGTATAAAAAATGTAAGTATTGACCGTAATCAGTGCTATAATGTCATATATTATTGATTTTATTTAGATTTTTATATTTGTTAATCATCATAAGCCCAATTAGGAATCCAAATAATTCTTAATTAATCCCCCAAAGTGTAAAGATTTGATGTTTGTCACATAAATAAAACACAGAAAATGAATTACCAACTTTTTTATAATTAATTAATTTCTATAATACGTCAGCAGGTAAGGTAATAATTTGCTTTACTGCAAGAAAAGTTCACTTAAGTTTGGAGAAATGCTGCAAGTGAGTGTAATATACTTTTAACTTCAATTAACTGATGAAATTAGTACAAAACAAACGTTTCATTCATGAAATCCACATCAACAAGAATCGCGTGTGCGTGGCTGTTTACGGCTCCGCAGACGGAGCTCGTTCATACAGCAACCCCTTCGAGGACTCCTGCCATGTTTACTCCGAAGCAAACACTGAGGTTCATTATGTAAGACTTGGACAGGGAGGAGGACCCCGCAGCCAATCAGAGAGCAGAGGAGGACGACCCTTAACCACCGGTGGGTGAACTGGATGATGGACCCCGAGGATGAACTGTGCAGAGAGTGTGCCCCCAGTAATGTGGTTAGAGGGGCCCAGACGAGTAGAAACAGAGTGAATCTGAGACACACACACACACACACACACACACACACACACACACACACTGCAGAGGGCCTCTAACTACAACACTGACCCTTGACAAGAGACACGTGTGTCTGAATATTAACACTTACATCTCAGCACAGGTCTGATGGATGTTAAACACACAGATGTTCTCAGCAGCAACCAGCAGACAGACACAGTTAGAGACTACGCAGCTGCAGTTCCTCTATCGGCCACTAGAGGCTGGCTCCAGCTGTGAGTTTCCATAAGGCTCCATATTAAAATGAACAACTCTACAGCAGAAATAAACATGTTTACAGCCTGATACATAAACAGTTTTGGTCTTTAGAGATAATTTCCCCGTTGGCTAGCGGAGCCGATCACACTGAGCTTCACAGCGGCTCTTCAGAGTGACGTCAGGCAGACTACGTCCATTTTTAATTATACAGTCTATGTCATATGTAAGTGATGTTCACAACTTCTTTCTGCTGCCCCCAAGTAGCCAAAAATAATCAGTTATTGCAGCTTTAAAGTGGAAATTCAAGCTGTATTATTGTAGTAAATATCATAATGTAAAAATATCAATAATATATAAAAGATATTATAAACTCATCATGCTTTGTAAGTAAAATCTGAATCTAAACTATAACCAGCAGCCAAAACTGTCAAATAATGAAGTAAAAAGTATTTTTTCCCTCCTTTCTGTAGTGAAATATGAAATAAACTGAATAACACTGAAGTACAAGGACCTCAATATTAACTCACAGTACTTTAGTAAATGTACTTTCCACCTCTGCACAAGCCTAAACACATAAACATCAGTGTAAAACTGCATTCTTGGAAAAACACATGTTCAGATTGAACAGCACCCGAGGCCAAGAAAACTTCAGGTGTGTGCCTGTGGTCGCATACGTGTACCTACATGTGCCGTCCTTCTCCTCCTCCTCTACTGTAAATCTGTCATTTTAAAACCAGTTACAAATCTGCACAAAGGGTGACCCTCTTGCTGCGCTTCTTTTCAAAACAGCACCTCCTTAAACCGAGCCGCACCGAGGGCAGGAACAAGGACGCAGCCGACACGCAACCAGAAACGTCTTGTTTTTTAAGATCACGCTACCACAGAGAGGCTGCGAGACAACCTCCAGACAGAACAAACACTACATCAAAAGAGGTTTGCTTGGAAGGTCTACAAAGTGCTGAGAGGCTGCAGGGGAGCAGCACATCAGAGAGGCAACGACACAGCGGAGCTCCACCAGCAGAGGCATCAAGAGACACCGATCAGATTCAGCCTCCGAGACGCTGACGTAACCCAGCTGATTGCTCCGAGTGATGGGATATAACCGGACTGATACTGTACAAGTTCCACCTTTAAAGAAACTTTATGTAACTTTAAAATAACAGTAAAATATGTTTGTGAACAGATTTGAGGAGAGAAACAGTCAATGCAGTAACAGAATCTGGATCCAGATCTGATCAGCACTGTTTGACAGTTTGATCTGAGTTTGGTGAGTTGAGCTGGACGGACTCACTGAGAATGAGCTGTCAATCACAAGGTAGCCCCGCCCTAAAGCATAGCCTGCTTTATGGTCTGTTTTACTCTAAATGGGACCATCAGTTACTAAATGAACATCATGCTGTATGGAAGAAGACTGAAACTAGAGACTGAGACCATAAACTCATCAGGAAACTGTTTACTGAGCTCATAAATCAACGGAGAAGTCGACTAATTTCTCCATAAGACCGAATGGTATCAGAGCTGCCCCCTGCTGGCCTTTACATAGACTGCAGGTTTAAGACTGTCCATTATATAAACTATCAATGCTTTGGACAAGTGGGTAACGAAGTCACACACCACCAACAATGTCACTGATTTGGGTGAAACAGGATCATATTTTATTTCATAGACTTTACATTGGGATGACTTCATGCACATACAAGATATCTTTCTTTGCTTTGGGAGAGTTTATATATATGTGTTTATATGTAAAAGATGCAGAGAAAGTTGGGAAAAATTGCACTTAAATGTCTCAAAGAAAAGGTGGAAAAATAAAATATGGTTGTGTACTTGGACCCATTTAAAGCTGCAGCACACAATACAAAAGCTCGAACAATAAATTCAGGATCGATTTCATAAAAACAATCAAATGGATGAATAAATAAATCTCCTCTCCCTGCAGGGCTGCATGTTCTGAAAGTTACATCATTTCCAAGCGGTATTCATCCACAGAGAGAGATTGCTATCTCACTGTTAGTGATTTTCACCGCCTCCGGCTATTGTGGATCACAATTACGTTTGATCTTTCTGTAGAGCATACAGGTGTAGTCTAATTACAGTCAGTGGGAGCTTTTTGTAAATATACATTGTTAATAAAAAACCCAATCCAACTTTTAGAATCATTACAATTTTCAAATATTGTTTTATTCTCATTTTATTCCTTTTTATTCTTACACAGAGCCTGTATACACTGTTCAGACCTCGCTGCTTAGATAAGACTTTACAGGATTTATGGGTCAGTGCCATGGCAACTGAAAGCAGAGGGTCTCTGTGGCCTCTATGTAACATAAACAGCTCAGACCTTCTCTTTAACCAACACACAGATGCTCTGAGATTCACTCTGAGCTGCAGGTTAGAGATTTTAAGTCACTACTAATGGTAAAAACACACAAAGTTAAACAGCTAAATAGTTCCTGCATCTCCTCCTGTTATCTGCTGCTACATGAACTCTCTGTACCGCAGACTAAAACAGCTATTTACTGATCTTTCATCATCACCTCATTTGAAAGTCGTTCATATCTAATGAATAGTCCGGCTCTGCAGAGGATGATTTCTAATGGAAAATAAAACTGACTGAACACATACAGATAAACCCATGAAAGCTTGTGCTCCAAAGGGTCAGAAATTACTTTATTTTACTAACTTTGGTGTCGACTAGCGAGGGAACCAACATTCCTAATTATTATTTCACTAAAAACCCACAATGTCTCCATCAACAGACTTTAACATCAGTGTGACTATGATCCATTCTAACAGGAACCTGAAGAGTGAACAATGTGTTACTATCGCGCTCACTGTGATCACTCCTGATTGACAGAAAGTGATTGATTACACACAGAGAGTAAAGGTCAATCTGACGACACATCTGTGCCGTGTGTGTCAGCTGATAATTGTTATAAAGACAAAGTCCTGAAGCTCTAAAGTGACGAGCACCCTTACTTCTTACTGGGTATCGTACCACTGAGGTCACAGCGGTATCTTTTGCAGAGGATTACACAATAAAAGTCGTGAAATAATTGCCTGAAAATAACTTTTGCTTTACTTTTTACCTCCCTTGTGAGTTCAGTTTTTGGACCTATGTATTTCTAAAAACGTGCTTGCAAAACAGGTGAGGCTTAAGACCCACGTACTGTAACTGCGTCTGTGAGTAAACACATAGCTACCTTAACCAATTCTGGCCCTGATCAATGAGTCGGATCTCAGTGCGATTACCTGGAAGTTTCCCACCATGATGAGACCGGCGGCACAGATCCACGCGGTGGAGAGGCCGGCCGTGTTGAGGATGCAGTTCTGGTGCTTCTCTATCACATGAGCATAACGCAGCAGGCCGATCAGCATCACTGAGAGAGAGAGAGAGAGAGAGAGAGAGAGAGAGAGGAAGATGTCATCATAACCAGGTCCAGGTCCAGTGTCCACTATACAAATATACAATATTTCACATTATCTAAGAAAAAGCTCTGCATCCAGAAACAAACTCTTTTATTTCCCAACTATGGCGTTTATTGTTGGATACAAGGGTCTCTCTTCAATATGCTCCTTCTGTCCCTCCACACTTTCGCTGTTTAAGGGACCTCTTTTCTATCATTTAGTAATCTGACTTTGTGACATATTTTATAGATATTTCATTTTATATTAAAAACTGAACAATGAACCCAAACAGTGAACTCACTAACTGCAGGAAGTTTGTGTAAAACCAGAGATTTGGAGGAATTTTGAGCAGTTTATTTCCTGTTTCGGGAACTTTTCATAAAATTCTTTGTCTGTATTATGGATTTTTATCATTTTTAAAAATCATACAGAGGCTTCTTTTGTGACAAATTCAAAATGAAATGATGACTGATATAAATGTACATATATTATTACTGTTATTAAAAAAGAAATTAAACTAAACTATAAAATCCTGATTATATAATTTGTTTGTCAAACTGATTGAAGATGTTTTATTTACTTGCTTTCACGTTTTATTCTGTCTCTGTGTGTTTCCTAGTTGCATTGACTTTATTATTTGTATCTCATTTTATAAAATATGTATAATCCTGTAGTCTTCATACAGACTTTCAGCTTCTCACCTCTCCTGCAGAGTTTGTTATATTTCTGTATAAGTACAGAACCTGCTGTAACTTTATGTCTAACACACTGAACGACACGCTGGTACAGCATCAAAGGAACGGCGAGATCCCGGCGCTGCGTCTGAAACGTAAAGAGATGATGCTGCAGATTCCTCACGTATGTTTATTAAACTGCTGCATCAAAGCTTCACAGCGGTTTCACGCCACCGTTCACATCTGGTGCTCATCACGCCACAAACCACAGACAGCGGCGGTCAGTCCAGCAGTGAACACGGCGGTCAGTTTTTGATGATCCAGCGAGTGTGTGCAGAGTTACAGGGATTGTGGGTTATCTGTGTGTTTCACTGGCTGCCGCACAGCGAGGACTTTCTGATCCTCTCCTCTCACACCACACCTTCGAGTTAAACAAAGTGCCTCGCAAACATAAACTGAGTATTGTTTATGAGAGCACAGTAAAGCTTTTGATGTCGGGGAGTTTGAGCTTGTGTCCAAACCACTCTCTTTCCTAAAGGGACCACCTTTTCTACCACTGAGTAAACTGAGGACCCCTCACCCATATTCATATTATATTCAGTGTGTAACAATAACAGAACAGCTGATAAACTGCACAATGAACCCAAACAGTGAACACAATAACTGCAGGAAGATTGTTTAAAACGAGCAATTTGGATGAATTTTGAGCAGATTATTCCCAACTTTCCTTTGTCACATACAGTAAACTGAATATATTTCAGTTTTAGACACTAAAGAAGACGTTCTCTGAGCTGTTGTTGCTAAAACTGGGTGGAAACAATTAGAGAGTAAAGTAGGAATGCATAATTAATCGAAATATCATAGAAATCACATTATGCAAATCGCAGAAGCTGCAATTTGTTTTGATAAAAGGTCAAATATGTGACAAACAGCATCATAATGAGGGACTGTAGTGCTGCAGAGATTCGCTGAGCTACACACATTGTTTTTCCCAAGTTTTTCCCCTTTCCCACACCCCAAAAAAAAAAAGTCTTTAGTGACATGCAGAAGTCTTGTGTTTGTAATATACGTAAGTTGCTCTGGCCATCCATTTTCAGTGTTTTTAAAGCTCTCTATGTTTTGCTGTATCTCCAGTTCAGACAAATCCTTAAAGGAACTTCTTTTACGTGGTATCGTGCAACATGAAGACGTCACTTTAGACTCTTGGAATAATAACAGGTGTTTTCTCACTATTTTCTCACTTTTTAGGAAATAATGTTAATGAAAATAACTGTTAGTTGAAGCTTTACTTATATTCTAACCAAACTTGACTTTGTCCTGTACTGTTTGACCTGACCTTTGACCTCTGTGGGTCTCCCAGCAGTCGATGACATCACTGCTTAAGCTGCTGTATGCCGTTCAAAAATGTGACCATCTTGACAGATAATGACGGATAATGTGGACAACAACACGCCTGCCAAATTACCTTCCAGGAATATGAGGTGTGGACTGCATTTTTACCCATTTGACTCATTTTAATGCTAAATCTTGGTCTGCGTCTTGGTTGTGAGAAGTCAGGAAGAGCGGCAGGACACTCAGTGGGTGTTATTGGAAGATATACAGCAGCCACAGGAAAAATAACCTGAGCTGAGACAGGTTAATGTGCTCATTAAACGTCCAAATTCCAGCATTTTCTTTAAGAACCAGGTGAGAGGTCACAGCAAGTGAAGAGAGTAAAACTATGCAGCTAAGAGGTTAAACAAATCCGTAATTGTATAATATAACTTTTCTTACTGCTATTCTATTCTATTCTCCCTCACTATATTAAAGTACTGTGCAGTGTTTAGCTGCCGTTGTGTTATATTGATGGAAGCTTACAGACAGCAGTGTGTGGAGAGAGATAAGAGAGGAGCCAACGTGATCAGCAGCACTTCACACAAATTCATCAACAATACCCAGTTCCTCTGAAACACAATGTGGACTTTTTGTCTCACACAGGACATGAACAGCAGTCTCCTGGGTAAGAATCCTGTCCTTGTCGCTCTTTACACGGCACCCTGGTCACTGTACTTTGCAGCCAACAGATTTTTGATTTGAACTTTGAGAAAACCAAAATCAGGAAACACCACAAAAACACCTGTATTATTCCGTAAATGGATTTTGGTTCTCTCATTGTAAAACAAAAATCCTTTGGCTGCAAAGATCACTGACCCACCTTCATACAAGAGTGTATTTTTCATGTCTAGGCGAGGCAAATATATATATCCTCGTTGATTGCTGTAAACTGTCAACTGCAGTAAAGCCTCCAGAAAAGAAGTTTAATCAGCGCCTCGTGCCACAGAGAGAAAAACCCTCAGTGACCACGTTTCAACTGCAAGTAACTGATCAAAAACACGCAACTTCAATGCAACTTCAATGCAACTTTAATGCCGTCTTAGTGTTACTGCACGATGACAAAAAATTGGTTTGCCATGAATATAATTTAAATTTATATAGAAACAGATTTTTGTCCTTTGTCCACCAGAATTAGCAGCCCTGAAACACTCACCCGAAGCTCACTATGGTGAACTCCTGGAGTGTAAATTCTCAGGTTCTTGACAAAGTTTTATAAAGCAAATAGATGAAAAAAATCAATACACACCACAGAGCACACTGGGCAATGAACCCGGAGTAAACCACCCTAAAGTAGTAGAGTAGTTGCCCTCATGGTCAGAGGGTGAATTCAAAAGTCATAAAAATGCACCATTCATAGCATCGAGTACATTTTCCCTTCAGAGAGAGTGTGTGTGTGTGTGTGTGGGGGGGGGGTGAGGCCGGACCTGGCAGTGGATTCTGGGGAACAGAGACTTGGCTGGAGTTAGTACAGCTGAGAAAACAAGCCTGAGTGCACAGAGCCTCGTTCAACCCAAGGGCATGGTGGGTAAAATGCGTACTACAGCTACGCTCTCTGTACATGTGTTTCTAAAACTGAATACTACTAGTACTCATACTCACCCATGAAGGATCCGGTGCTGCATATGAGGCTGAAGAAGCAGCTTTCAGGTGGGAGCGTTCCACATTTACTGCAATGAAAACAGAGAAGAGGAAGTGGAAGAGGGGGGGAGGTTAGTGCGGGCTCGGCCTCCAGACTCAGTGGGCTAAAGTGCAAGTTCAATCAAGTTCACATCAGATCCACGACCCCCCTCCAGGTCTTGTTTTAATGTGCTGCAGGCAGGAATTCCTTAAAAATAGTAATGAAAAAGCAGCATGGCCTTATATGTGTTCCCTCTGTGGCATTAAAAGCATGCAGAAAGCGGTTCAGCAGAGAAACGAGTGTCTATAAATGGAAAACAACCAACTGGGAGGTTGAGGAGGAACTGACACAAAGATCATGAACGTATCGATGAAAAATGTCCTGAAACCAAAACTTTATTCGAGCTGGAGTCGTCTTTGCATCCACAGCAACATAAACCTCTTGTTCATATCAGTGTGTGTTTGTATGCGAATGTTGGGGGGGTGGGGGGGTGGAAAGCATTTCTTGTTTACATTTCGCGGCTCAGTGTGGCGACATTTCAAAGAGAGCGACGAAGGATCCACTACACGCAACAAAAGCTCTTCTTCCTGTGGGGGTGATGAGGTCGACCCCGCTCCGACAGCGAGCCTCAGTCGGGCAAGTGTGGACTTATCTCGCAGCAAAGTCTGCACTGCAGCTGCTCAACTTCTTCTACCAAAGACAACTCAGACTGTTTTCTGTCTGTCTGATCATTCAGGATACATCCACACTACGAACGTCGCTTTAAATCTCAGTATTAAAACACTGTACATATGAACTGAAATACTCCATAACAACATAATGATAATAATAACATCACCCTGAGTTCACATTTGCATATGATGCTTATGTATGACATAACGTTACACGAGCACTGCAACACAGGAATCTCAAGAAAGTAAAAAACTGTCTTATTTCTGGGAATTGAGTCTTATTATGGGTCTAAAAAGAAAAATATTTTTTGTAAAGCATGTTCTGCATCAGAAAAGTAACCTGGTTTTAAGAAAATATATCAAACTGTGTCTTAATAAGACATTACAGCTAATATTGAGCTTGATTTAACCAGTTACAACAACAGTTTGCATAATATCCCAGCAGAGGAACAAGATAATTGGACAACGTCTTCCCACCAATCACAGGCTTTACTGTGTGCCAAGTTTGGATTCAGTGTTCAACAAAAGGACAATTTTAAAATAAGAGCGGCTTTTTATTGTTTACAAAGAACAGAACCAGATTTTGGAGAGAATTTAGAAACGACTGGAGGAAACCACAGACACTTGATAGAGGCTCTGCAGCCAGTCTCGTTGCTGATTTACCAAACTGCTCTCCAGAAACCGCACCGATGGAAGCAATTGTTTGGTTCATTGAAGATCACACACAGGAGCCATACAACTGTGATTATTATGTAACGTTGAGCCAGCAGCGGTTTTACTTAAAAAGACTCAGATGCTCCTGGAATACCTGCAGGACCACTGACCTGATGAGTGGTATGTTGTCCAGGGTGCAGCACAGAACAGGACCCCTCTGTAATGGAAGCTGCTCCTCACACGACACGTTATAAAGCCTGTAAACACACACACACACACACACACACACACACACACACACACACACACACACACACACACACACACACACACACACACACGTGAGTCTGCAGGTACTGAAGGATAAAAACATTTTAAAGTAAAAGAGGTTCAAAGGTGTCAAATGAGGACTGAAACTCATCTGAAAGTAGTTCAAAGTTCAACTAAATGATTTCAGGTGAACTTTTTACTGTCCCCTCCTAAGAGCTGCCTCAATGGTGCATAATAAATCTAAAGTAAGCAAGTGTGTTCAAGCTCGGTTAATGGTTGAGCATCAAGTGTCAAGATCTACGCAAACGACTGTAGAAAATTAACCTGAAATATTTTTAGGTGAAATGTCTCTTAAAGAACACTTAAATGGACTCTGAGACGTCAACAGAACCGTTAAATTTTAAAACCAATATATACCAATAAAACAGCTTCTTGCCTTTTCTAGAAGTGCATGAAAGTTAATGTATTAAATGACTACATGTAGACTTAATGAACAACAATGTGGGGTCCATGTTTCATTATATGAGAGCTGTTTGGATCCTGTTATTACACTGAAAACAGCATTAATAAAGATTGTGAAATCATCTTGATACGAAAACTAAAACTGTTATTAATAAGTGTATTTATGTGTTTTCCTGTACCAGCTGGGAAGGTAGGAAACAGGCAGCTGAACTGAACCCACGTTTAGGATTCACATACCACAGCAGTCGCTGGATATCAAGAGATAAATCCGGTTTGGATTCCTCCTCCTCACATTTCAACCTGTTTGCATTCTTTACTGAAACTTCCTCATATACACTCTTTCTTTACACATTCGCCCCTCGTGTCAACATCTGCAGCACTTTATTTTTCTTAATGTCCACTCCCCATCTTCATCTTCTGCACTCCCTCTCCGTCTAATGCCTCTTATGTTTGAGTAAAGGCTGACAGGAAGTGGGGAGCGGAGCCTCGGCGATGTCGGTCGGTCCTCGTGTTAAATAAGCTCATCGTGAATTCACTTTTCCTGAATCAACGCTACATAAACACGCCAGCTGTGAAAGTGTTTTTACCTTCACACATTTCACAGTTCTCCCCAGTGGGCATCTGCGAGTAATTATTCACAATCAGTGACTGAGTTGTTTTTAGTTTTGTGGCACATTAACAGGAACAGAGAGAACTTTTAAAAAAGCTTGTTTTTTCTCTCTGTTTATCCACACAGCACTGGTCTTTTTCAGACCCACAAACTGAGCTTTTCTCCACCTTAAATCAATATAAAACACTGGCTATCAGCTGTGATGTGAAATAGGACAAAGGATATTTAGCTGTTTTACTATTTTTCAAGCAACCTGAAACACTAGTTTTTACCATAATGAACAGAGCTTCTGGGTCCTTGAAATGTCTGAAACCTGCATTCTATGTAACGGCCAGCAGGGGGCAGCACCATTGACCGATACCATTCAGTCTTGTGGAGAAATGAGCCAACTTCTCAGTTGATTTATGAGCTCAGTAAACAGTTTCCTGATGAGTTTATGGTCTCGATCTCTAGTTTCAAGTCTTCTTCCATACAGCATGATGTTTGTTTAGAGTAGAAGTTAAGAGATTGTGTGTGACCAAGGGAGCCGCTTTTGTTTCCTGCTACGGACGAGTTGAAACTGCGTAGCCAATGAAAGCAGCTCAACTCGCAGTACCTTACCTCCGCTGGCTCCAACAAACTGTCACGGCCATTGGCCTCGCCTAGATGGGAAAAGTATACGTGTGTACGAAGGTATAGTGTAAAGAGTGACAAAGTCAGTGCAGGGAAGAGGGATGGGTCAAACTTCACCCCGTGGACCGTAATGTGCCCTAATGATGATTAATTCTGATCTCTTGGGAGAAAGGGAGTCAGGATTTTATGCAGCAAAGGGCCATGGGATGAATAATGTTTTTTTACTTACAAAACTGAGTTAGTTTTACATAAAAAAAAGTTTTACTTTACTAAACTTTAAAAATAACAGTTTCATTTGGTTTTCTTCCCAGAAATGAATTAAATATTTCTAGTTCACCACTGGACAAGAACAACTTTAAGGATTTTCAGGTCTTTTCTAACAATATGGGTTCAGATTATGATTTATTTGTATGTAAAATCATTAATAAGTAACATCAGTTGATTGATAAATGTGTGTATATGTGCTGTTACCAGTTATTCACGGGGCAGACATGCTGGTTGTACAGGGCCATCGCGTATCTGTAAAAGTTAAAGCAGACAATCTTTGGTTAAAGAACTGAACAGCAAACATTAAATACATGAGATATTGTTCTGATCAGCTTGACTTTGATAAGATCTGATCTCTCATACAACATCTACACTCCCAGAACATTGCTGTCAGCAGTTTATTAGCACTTGAAAGTCACATATAGCGAGATTAATGCCAGTCCCGGCTTTAAAGTACAGCACAGTGTTTGAGTGCTTGTTGCAGAGGCTGCCGGCTGTATTTTAACCTGCAACCTGAAGCCAGACGAGCTGCAGTTGCTTTTTTAATCCCTTAAATCTGTCAGCGACACAATAACCACCTCCACAAACACACAGCCTGAGATAATTCATCACACACACACACACACACACACACACACACACACACACACACACACACACACACACACACACACACACACACATTTTAGAGGAGACACAGGTGATTTTTAGCTCTGCTGGCAGCTTCAGTGCAGACTGAAATATCTCAACAACCTTCAGATGGATTTCAGTGATATTCTGTACAGCCATTCATGGTGCACAGAGGATGAATCCTACTGACTTTGAGGAACCTCTGACTTTTCCTCAAGTGCCACCAACAGGTCAAAGTTTTAATGTATCAAGTGAAATATCTTAACATTCACTGGATGGATTTGCACACAGTTTTGTAGAGACATTCAGGGTCCATAGAGGATCCTAAAGACTCTGGTGACTTTTCTTCTGGTGCCACCATGATAAGGCTTTAAGTATAAAGACTCTGGATTACCATCACATTTTATACAAACTTTAGTTTTCCCCTTAAGACAAAGTGTAAATACTTTGATCTATGTGTTGAATTCCCCTAAAATGAATTAAATCCTTTTGTTTGTTTTACTCTGCTTGATTTATTTGTTTTTAAATGTTTAACATACATTTATTGTCTCATGTAAAAGTTTCATGTCTCTAATATAGTATCTGTTCATTCTATATTGTTTACATCTTATAATCGTAACGATTGACTGTCTTATAGTTTATAAAATATAAACTTAAATTTCATACAATAAAGATGGAAATAAAATAGTAGCTGTACTTTGTGTTTAGTGCTAATTAGCAAATGTTAGCATGCTAACACGGTAAACTTGTTACAACACAAGTGTTAACAAGAAAACTGAGTTTCAACCACTGTCAGTCCTTCAAAACACCACCAACAGGCCACACTGTGCCACAGATAAGACACACAGGGATCAATAAAACAAGCTCATGACTGATTTGAATGACTCCATTGATCGCTGATAACAAGAGGACACTCGGGTCAGAAGAATTGATTTGCCTTTACTTGATTTAGTGTTTGAATTAAATCATTTACTTCAATTAAAACATGGACCCTTATTTTGAAATCCTGCTGCAGGGATGTCTCTGGGTCATACAACCGCTCGGCGGAGGATTCAGAGGCGGTAGCGGACAGGTGTCAACGTGTCTGAAGAACAACAGGTCTGGCAGAACGAGGGGGATTACAGACTCGTCTCTGACGGGGAACGCTTTGGAAACCCGGTGTGAAAGACTTCTTACAAAAGGAGACTGTGTCAATTATCTCTCTCACACCGGGGAGAGACAGGAAGTAAAGAGGGAGACAAAGAAACAGTCACAGAAATCAACTAAAGAGGAGAGAGCTGGTGTCTCAGACATCCTCAGGGATTTCCTCTTCCAGTGTCTTTAACAATAATTGTAGTTTGTAGTTCTGTGAATTCCCTTTAGAATTAATGACCTGAGATAACAACTATCTGATTCCTGATGAAGGCCGACACAATGGTTTGTTGTTCTGATTAAATCTTTACTCTGCTGACCTTTCTACCCTCCTTTGAATGCGCACAGTGGAGTTAAATGAGGGTGGGACCGAATATTGTTGTTTTTTTATCAGCCTGTAATGAACACTATTTACCACAAACCCTAAACTGCTTACATCACGGCAGACATTACTATCGCTTGATGTTCTTACACCTCAGTTCCTCTAAGGCTTAAACATATGAGAAGTCAAATCAAAAACACAAGATATAAAGTCAGAGCCAGGCTAACTCTCAGCACAAACTGTCAAATTATTCCTTTGCATGTTTTCAAAGATATCTCCCATGAAAGTCTTTAAAAACGCTCAACAGGAGAAACTAAACTATTGTTGTTACACTTCAGCCGCAGACGCCATTTACGATGCCTCCCTCTGGCGCTCCATCCCACCACCTGTTGACTCGTGACTGTGACAGATGCTACAGAAAGCAGCGGCCCTGCTGGTCATTTGCACCATGAAAGCAGCTGTTATTGTTTGCTGATGTCAGACGTGAGGAGCTACAGATGTGACCGCTGCGAGTAAAAGGACACACAGAGCAGACAAACCGGGAGGAATTTCAAGGATGACTCTCGTTCCGACAACAATCGTTACTCTCTCCTTCCGAAAAAGGAAACTGTTTTACATTCATGAACTCTGTACAGCCTGTTGAGGTCATCGTGATCTCTGCAGGGATAATAGGTAGCCGGTCTAAACCAGGCTCACGTTTGTGACTGGACTCTCGCTTTGTCTTACAAATGACACGCAGAAGAAGCTCCTACAAGACAGAAAATGATGTTTATTTACTGTGAGGTACTTACACGACCCATATTCCTGTGATGGTGAAGACAGGCAGGCTGACAGGAAGGATCATCCACAGGGACATGGCGACCACCTGGAGGTCTCCACTGCAAACACACACAGCAGCTTCATCAAAGGGCCCGGTAAAACCAGAATGTTTGTGTCGGTGACATAATTACAGTTTACAGACAAAAATAGCTATAATTAGGCACTTTCAGCAGGGGCGTGTCCAGAGGGGGGCACTGAAATCTGATTGGCCACCGCGTTATCCTCCAGCTGCTATTAGTTAGTTAGCTGTCCTACTAGTTGTCCTACTGGGAGCTGGAAGGACAGAGGGAGTTTAAACATTACTAGCGTAGGAGTTGGGGGAGCCAGCGGGGGGAATACTGCCGGGGAGCAGGGCGGACCAACGGAGGTCGGCTGATCTCCAGCGGCTCCGACCAGGACTCTGACTCTGGGGATGAAGACACGGCGGGGTTCAGGCAGCGATCAGTTACTGTTAACGTTATCCATCGTATCGATCAGTCCACCAGGATCTGTTCAGTCAAGTTGGAAGTTATTTATTGCGTGTTTTAAACACCAGACTGTGTTGGAACGAATTAAAAATGTTAGTCGACTAGGAAAGTCTTTTTGAATATTTCTTCATACTGGGGTCCCTAAACAGTCTGGGAACTATAAATTAGGTATGACTGGAAAGTTTGATGCCACCTCAGTCAGTCTGAATACGGCGCTGACTTTAGGATAACACAAGAGTCCTGTAACAATATTTCTTGTTCCAGCTTTTCAAATGTTTCATTCAGATGTTAATGAAACACTGAATGAACTGCGACAGGTTAAAAACCAGTTGCTGTATAAGGAGGGTGTGTGTGAATGCTGCAGTGACTCCATATGAGGGAAGATCAATACACTCACAATGCAACAGACAGACTCTTCTGTTAACAGCACTCCACTGATTGATCTTCACAAAACAGATTAAACCAATTCCTCCTTAGAGACATTTAACATACTCTTCCTCGTGGCCACAGTCCAAAAAAGGTAAAAAGAAGCTACTGGGTCCCTCTTTACCCCCCTGTTCCCCCTGTTCCCCCTCTCTCTACACTGTGAGTATATTACCTGGCTGCACGACTGCTGTGTAGAACTTCAGTTAAACACATTAATTTAGAAATATGAGGCACGTAAAGACAGAACTGAAACAATGAAGGTGTTAAACTTGGCTCTTGACACATGAATCGGGCCTCAAGCTCAGGTAATAAAGGACGGCTGCAACTAATTATTTTTATTTTGGGGTTATCTGACGATGATTTTCTTGAGATAAAAGTTTCCTTAAACCCAAATTGAGGTCTTCAAAAAGTTTGTTTTGTCCAAAACTCCAAAAAGTATTGATTTACAATCACATAAGACAGAAAAACATCCACAACCACTGGGGATCGTTCTGTGTTTTTGCCTGAAAAATGACAATTAGTTGCAGATTTATTTTCTGCCGATTGACTAATAAATGAATCTACTGATTGTTTCGGTAATAGTTCAGGACATTAAGGCCTGTATGATGTCAGTGGATGTCATTCTGAAGTGTGAACATGAAGTCTTTACGGCTCTCACTTCTATCTACTCCAACACTCATGTGGAAGGATTGAAAGCTCCAGAACGGCTGCTAAAAGAACCTTTTGGTGACGTTTCCGAGGTCAAGAATGAACTTTGAACTTCAGCTTAATAAAAATGACACACAGTAACCCTGAAAGCTTTGGAGGCAGTTCCCCGCTTTGCCTTGATGTTCCTTCTATGCATGAAATGCCTACTGTTGATATGTATTTAGTTACATTAAATGTGAAAATAATGAGACTTCACTTCTCAAATCACCAGAAACTGAAGTCCCGGCCAACAGTCAAAACTAATTTTCTGTCCATTCATCAATGTCAAACCTTGTTTTGAGTTGGGCTGCAACTAACGATCAGTTGATTGATTGTTTGATCATAAAATGTCAGAAAATGGTAAAAAAAAAAAAAAAATCCTAAACTCGTTTGTAACTTCTTGAAATAGTTTGTTTGTCCAACAGTGTAAAGATATTCACTTTACGTCACCTGAGACAAACGAACTCAAATGACCAAAGACTGAAATTATGTCTTTATATTTCTCATTTTGTAAAAATATAAATATAATAAATAATATAAATAATATAATATAAAAAATATCCTCTTAACAGTGGAACGAAAGGAAAGAAATACTTGATACATTCTTCATGGTTCAGTTCATTCATCCATAAAATCCTGTAAATCAAAGTGCCGCCTTTCTAATCATAAATAAATCCACAGATAAAACCTTTATTCCCCTCTTTAACTGTAGAAAATGAAACATTCAAACTATTTAATTTACTATCAAAGTTTTCATAATCTAATTAACTCCAGTTTGAGCACTTTATACAGTTTGTATAGAATATTTATTATTTTAAAATACTTTTATAAAGCCTATATGTGCATTGTCCTGTAGTTTCCTGTGTCCTTTTATTATTTGAAGTCCATTTAAACACACAAGAAACTGTTAATAAAGAACAAATGCAACATAAAGCTTGATAAAAACAGCAGAATAGACCTTTAACTTTCTTATTTCTTTGCCCTCTTTCGGTTTTACTGAATAATTCTCCCCTGTAGAAGCTGCTGGTTTCTACCCGTATCTGCAGGCTTTACACATTTACTGCCTTCAGTGTGAATGTGCATGCAGGGGTCCTGTGCAGGGACTCTGAGGGACTCCTACCTCTCGCTTGCTCAGTGTGGAAAATCTTCAGGCTCCGCTCCTCATCTCAGCTCCTCCAAACTCCAGGAAAAGTTGCACAAAGTCGCTGCGAGTCCGAGCTCCTGCGCCTGAGCTGCTGCAGCTGCTTTCATGGTCGGAACATGTGTGGGATAGAATAAGATGCAGATGTGTCACATCAGGATGAGGAGAAAGTGTGTTTTCATGCTGTCAGACTCTCCTGCGTCTGCAGCCGGATCAGTGAGGTGGAGAGCAGCTGGAGTCAGTAACTTTAAACTCCTCCCTCCCTCACATGTCCCCTCCTTTAAAACTCACATGTGAATGGCTGAATCACCTTTTCCATGTCGCTGTTATTTGGTTGTTTATTCTCTTGTATGAGCTGAGTCTCTGGACAAACTCCACCAAGTGTTGCGGACTGTGTTGGACCAGCTGCAGGTTTTTTTTTTCCTGTTGTGTTTTGTTCTCTGCCTCCTTCCTGGAAACAGATTTCACAACCGCATGGCAGAGAAATTACACACATGCTTGTCTGAGAGATTGGATTTCATGTTTCTTTTCTCCCTCAAAAACAACTCGAAATGTTTTTTTCCGAGAATGCGGACGTGATGCCTTCAGGTGCCCTTTGTAAGCTCCTGTTGCAGCAGTTGAGTCTCTCTCTCTCTCTCTCTTTCTGTGTGTGTGTGTGTGACTGTATCTGAACTCCAGATGTTGATGTCTGATTTTAAAGAAATGCCTCTTTATATTTGCATCATGTTGAGTCTTTATTGATCTTTAAACTTCCACCTAGAATCTGAATTAAAGCTCCAGTGTGTCACATTCATGAGGATCTATTGGAAAACAATAAATATAACATTCATAGACATGTTTTCATTAGTGTTTAATCACCTGAATATAAGAATTATGTATTTGTTACCTTAGAATGAGACGTTTTTATCTACAGAGGTCCTCTTATGGTGGAGTCCGCCATGTTGAACCACCATGTTTCTACAGTAACCCAGAACACAAACAAAACACTGATTAGATTATACAGATTATTTCCTGTGAATATTAATATATATATGTTAAAATAGAGACAATATGCACAGATATAAAAAGATAAACAGTAAATGAAGAGCTGCTCAGGGACTGTGTAAGTTAGCAGCGATGACACATGATGATATTTGTACTGTGCAAGATATAATCCAAAGGATGTAACACAGAGATTTATTGATTTTAATAAACTAAGAAAACTAGTGATTAAACCTGTCAGATAAATGTAATGCAGTATAGAGTAAAAGTAAAGTAGAGATAAAGTAAACAGCAGCAGAACACAGAAATACTCAAGTTAATTACAAGTTCCTCCAAATATTACTTCTTAAATACTTAATTAACTGTATTTGGTTCATTTCCACAACTGTACAGGGATCAATGACTCTGATCAGACCAGCCGACAAGCAGATACAACAATAGTTAACTTTGAGTAAAAGAAACATGTTTTTAGATCACTTTGTGTATTTTGAAGGGTCTCTGAGTTTTTCTCAGAAAAGTTACCGATATCAGAAAAATCTGTTTCTAGGAACCGGCTGCAGCGAGCAGAGACTCCATTTGGTCCCCTGAAGAGTTTCATACAGAACATTTCTGATTTCATGGTTGAAACTCTTTTAAAATTCACACACAGACAGTTGTCTACTGCGACAATGATCGAACTACAGCAGAGTCTGTGGCAGAGTAACTCATTTTATTTGTGTCACATGATGGAAGAAGTTTTTTAGATCTTGAGTGAAAGTAGCAACGCGTGGCTAAATCTAAGTCACAATGTTAATTAATGTGCATTTTACCTTTTTAAATAAATAAACATAAATACCACAATGTACAAAGACTCTGTTACAAGTAGAAATCCTGGTAAATAGTATGTGTAAAAGCCCTTTTACTATATACATGTACTGTGTATGTGTTTATATGTAATATATAAACTTGTATCACCTGAACACAAGCTGTACTAGAACAATGGCTAACTGTCAAAAAATAAGCCTATTAAATCTGTGTGATTGTTAAAAAAATGTTTAAATAAATAATACAGACAGATAATTGTATAAAAAGTTCCATAAACAGGAAATAATCTGCTCAACATTCATCCAAATCTCTGGTTTTACACAAACTTCCTGCAGTTACTGAGTTCAATGTTATTGTTATACCCTGAATATAATGTGAAATATCCATAAAATATATCAGTTAGTTTACTCAAATGGAAAAAGGCTGCGATACTTCAACAAAAAGACATTATGAAGAGAAAAACCCCATAATTAGAGCTTTAACTGCTCATTAATTAATGAATGTTCAGTTCTCCCGATGGCACCTGAAGGCAACTTCACGTGTGCCTCCCTGTGCAGAGGTTCAAACAGCTGCTTTCACTTAGTGTGTGTGTGTGTGTGTGTGTGTGTGTGTGTGTGTGTGTGTGTGTGTGTGTGTGTGTGTGTGTTTGACTGAACCTCTGTTAGAGAAAACAACCACTGACCTCTGCCACAGGAGGGCGCTACAGGATAGAGAGAAAATGTACTTCAAGTACTCAATACAGTAACATTTATACAGTTAAACTATTATATATGATATCATTAGATTATTATGCATTAAAGTATACTAAATACTATAAACATTTTGTGGGTTAAAAATGTCTCAACACGCCCTCTACTGTTTTACATAACAAAAGTTTCAACAATTTTCTTTAGTCAAATTAACTTATCTGGTTTTACTGTGTTACAGTTTAATTATATTATATAATAAAATGCAGAGATATAAGCGTACTGTGTATATTTTTTGGTTTTCTTAACCCCTTGAAATCAAGAAGGCCTTACGACCCCCCTGTGAAGCTTTGGCGACCCCTAGTGGGGGTCCGGGGCCCCCAGGTGGGCAACCACAGCTTTAATCCTTTATAGTGTATCAGTTAAAAGCTTCCTCTCAGCTCCTCGCAGTGCGTCTGTCCTCCACGTCCTCTGGTGTCACCCACAGCTGCAACACTAATGTGCTGAGCAGGCAGAGCTTCGTCCTCCATCGGCCCCTCAGGCACCTCCTCCTTTTCTGTCATCCTGTAAACTGATTATGTGACATATTTTATTTATATTCTATATTATTTTCAATGTATAACAGTAACAGTTAGAGAACTGCTGATAAACGGTGCAATTGATAAAAACGGGGAACTCAATAACTGCAGGAAGTTTGTGTAAAACAAGTGTTTTGTATGAATTTTAAGCAGATTATTTCCTGTGAGATGAGTTTTTATTTTACTTTTTATACAATTCTCTGTCTGTATTATGTATTTATTTAATTTTGAACAATCTTACATATTAAAAATGCTTCTTTTTTGACAAATAAACTTTAAAAGTAACTATTTGAGCACAGCAGCCATTTAAAAACATGCTGACGTTCAGCAGGTGGAACTTTTACCACGTCAGAGTTTTATTCCATTTTCCATCCTTTTTCTCGTATAAATACAAGATTTTACAATCAACAGAAGCAGTTTTGCCATATGAGGTAAGACGGTGTAATTTACAGTCTTTAATATAACAAAAATACATTATTTCATATAAATTCCTTTAAAATGCCGTAGAAATAAATGTTTTGCTCAGAGATATCACAACGTTTTACTGTTCCAGAAACTATATTTAACCTATTTACAGTTTAAATACCGACACCCTGGGATCACCTGTGCTTTTTTCTTTAATCAACATGTCTGCGATCATTGAATACGTCACAGATTCTGATGTAAGAGTTTATACTAGTGTGACAAAAGACAATATTGTCAAAGAGAAAAAGAAGAAAACACAAGAATAAATAAAATATCAGAAAATAAAACAATGAAACAAAGAACTGAGACATTTTGAAACCAGAATGAATTTATTGAAACAACATTTCAACATTAAAAGCCCTTAAACTGTTATTTTTTCCCTTCGTTTGCAGTCGAGAGCCGAATCCACGGGAGTGAAATCAGCGTGTTTTCTGATGTTTTACAAGAGGAGCGCACTCACATTGATCCATGATGGAAAAAAAATAAACAGACGCATAGTTTGGCACACAAATAACTAATATAATAATAACAATAATAATTTCAAGTTTAAAAATGTGTTACAATAAATGCAGGAATCATAAGTGACAGTTTTCACTTGGTGCCTTCTTATAAACGATCCAACAGATCTGGGAGCAGTTTTACAGTAAAACTACAGGTTTTTGTATTTGTACGTTAAATCAGCGGTTCCCAACCTTTATCCTTAACGGGGACGTTTCCACTATCATTGAGTTAACTGACTAAGTGACATATTTCATAATATATACCTGATAAACTGAACAATGAAGCCAAATACACAGTAACTGCAGGATGTCTGGATGAATTTTGAGCAGATCAGGTTATCAAAGTTTAGATATTAAATAATAAGTAATCCGTTAGAGACCTACTGTGTATATATATTTTCTTGATTCCCTTAAAATCAAGAAGGTATGGCACCCCCTGGCGGTGGTTAGGAACCACTGCGTTAAGTCCACAGAGGCCTGTTGGATTCAAACACTGGCAGACAGAAGAGATCATGAAATACCTTTAAAGATTGGACGTTGCTGAATAACAAGTAAAATCACAAACGGGCGTATATTTGATGTTAGAGCTGGAAAACTAAAAACCATGTCAAAGACAAGAGTCTAATGTAAACGTCAGCTCCTTCACAACAAAGAGAGTAATAGTGGTTAGACACGATGGCTCAAAGTACATTTGTAAGCATTTGTTTGATCCAGAATGTGCACTGGTTTTTATCTAAAAGGGCACAAAACACCGGACATGATAATGAAAATAAAATTGAAATGAAATTACACGACACATACCACAGATGAAACACACCTACCTGCTAACATTAATGGCTTTAAGGAGTCTACCTTTACATTTACCTTCCATCTCTTGACATTTAAGAGGCAAAAATGGTGATCGGTTTGTCAGCAGATGTGAGGAACGAAAGCACAAACAGGATGGAAAGAACAAAATAAAGCTGTGCTAATAAAAATACTCTACCACTTTAGATCTGCCGCAGAATGTTATATATTAAGAAAATAAATAGATTCTTATATATTATTTACAATGGACACATCAGCAGCAGTTTTTCTCCTATTTAACTTCATCGTGTCAGAATCAGCACCTCAGAATATGTCAATGCAGAAGCATCGCTTTGTACAATTTAAAGTTCAGTTGTTAGCAACCCCCCCCCAGTGGATCTACAGTATGCTGGGTGTATTACAGCACAGGAGGAACACAGGACAGAGAGGCCAACACTGTGGATGGACATGATGTACATTAAAATAAAAGGGCAGTAAAACAGAAAGAGGCCAGATGTGTGACGCTGTGTGTGCACAGAAACACCCGCAGACACATTTTCCCACAAATATGAAGGTTTAAAGGGTTAAAAGGCAAATATAGTCATTAAATTGTGGTTATTTTTCTCCAATTTTAGCTTTTTTTCAGGTGAAATACTGGATACTTTCACACTTTTACACGATTTTAGGAGAGAAATAGTCAGTCAAGTAATGTGAAACTGTGTCGGCTCATTCGTCCGTAAGTCTGCATGGTATCGGTGTTATTGCAGCCAATGGAGCTCCCCCTTCTGTAGTCTTTGTGCACACACAGTTTAATACATCTGGCCCTTGGTTTTATACACGAACTCTGACATCAATTACTACCCCCCCCTCCCTCAGTCATGAAGAGGAGCTGCAGACTGGGCCTTGTCCAGTGTAACTTCTCGAGTGAGACGAAGAAGGCAAAATGTGTGTAAACGTGTGTTTTAATACAAAAGAACAGAAAGAACAGAGATCTTATCATCTAATGGAGTGTGGTAAGAGCAGAAAGTCGGGGCCGTGTTCACCCTGTTCCCTTTTTAAATGACTAACGAGCGTATAAGCATGTTTACTGAAGCTACTCACAGACGCTCAATAAGGGTTGGAATGATCTCAAACTGCCTCAGAGCTACATAGTTCTAATGTGTGTGTGTGTGTGTGTATTGTATGAGAAATACACTTTCTGAGAGCGAGACAAGGTCAGTTTCATGTCTGTAGGTTAAATCCAAACCTGGACGTGGTTAGCTTAGCTTAGCATAGAGACTAGAAAACAGCTCGTTTGTTTACATAAAACAGAAACAGATGATCTGCGGTCGCGAGAACTATTTCTTCCAAGTTTATCACCATGTTTTATATATGTGTACCGGCTGAGACTAATGCGACCGTCAGCAAATCAAAGCAGCGTACTTTTATTCGGTGCTTTCTACGGGACGTCTGTCGATGTTTTTGCGAGAGGTGGGCGTCTAAACAACGCAGGAGCCCCGAGATCCTGGCTAAAATACGGACCTGATGCAGTTGTGTGCACCTGCTGTATCTGGCAGTCCGCGCTGTAGCCGGACACACTGCCGGGCGGATGGATAAAGAAAAGGTTTAAAGGTTCTTTTACTTTCCTTTGGTCAAATAAATAAGTTGTATATTGAATGTTTTAGTGCACTAAGAAAGAAACTATCTGCTTCCAGTCTTTATGCTAAGCTAACGCTCACTCTTCTCACTCTCAGAAAGAAAGCCAATAACCTTCCCGGCATGTTAAACTCGTCTTTTAGCCATTTAAAGCTCACAAGTACTTGTTCTTTCTAGTGCAGAGCCCCAACGTATACATCAAGAACTAATTTCTTCATGACAACATAACACAAACGTCTGTTAACCACCTCTGATGAATATTTGGCCCTCGTATGACTGTTGTCTTTAAAAAAATACTGGTCTAAGTAAACAAGGCAATAAAATGAAAGGTAATGAGTTATGCATCTAATCATGAGATCTTATTAATCTGTGCCCAGCCTCCTCTTCCCTACCGCTCTACATCCACGGACCAATCACTGTTGAGCTACAGATTCCTTTAAAGTGAGTAAGTAAGTGTAAATGTGGTAAAAAGAGGAGGGCCGAGCAAACCGTTAACTTCACTCACATTCATGGCCCCTCACCGTCGGTCATTATACTTATGGCACACTTCGATACGACTGCCGAGCACAGCGCGGACACGCTACTCTGCCTTGGATCCCTTGTCCCCGGAGGAGCCTTTGACCCCGGAGGAGCCTCTGAGGTAGGTGTTGTAGAAGAACATGGCGAAAAGGACCAAGTAGCTAAGGTACATGAGAGAGCCCCACACAATGTTGTCCATGGAGGACGGACAGTGCACCTCGTGCATCCAGCGGTACACCCCCCCGAGGACAGTGAGGCCCATCACCATCTGCATGATCTGGGTGGCCGTGATGACCATAGCGAAGGGACGGGGCACCCGCACGTTGGCGGCCCGGGCTGCGTAGTACGTGTACATAAGGGAATGGACCATGTAGTTCATGGTCATGAACCACCCGGCGCCCGCCACCTGGTCCTTGTAGCAGTACCAGGAGTAGAGCAGCACGGTGATGTGGTGGTACCAGTGCAGGAAGATGAGGCGCTGCTTCCGGAGGACGATGAACACGGTGTCACCTGAGAGAGAGACGGGGAGAGGAGGTTAGTCAGAGTATCGTAAAGCTGATCGGACATTTAATCTGTTGATTTAATATTTGATCCAACAGTTCCCGATTTAGATATAGTCACTAGAAGCACATTCATGCTGTTTGCAATGGTTGTGACTAAGCTAATGGTTAACTCTCCAGGAAGGAAGCCTCACCGAGCTCGGGGGTCTTGCTGAGAACAAAAGCGTAGGCCCAGAATTTGCTGACGGGGGCGCGGCAGAAGGTGTTGTCACACACCGACTGCTTGAAGCCGCTGGTCTTGAGGATGTGCAGCATGTACACTCCGGTCCTCGCCGCTCCGATGATGCTGCAGAGGGAACACACGCAAACTCGTTAGCAAACATTATATTTGAGAGATTGTGTTCAATTAAAATCATCAAGTTCTGAAGAATTCAATTCAGTTCCTTGTTGGTTTTGTTCTATATGTGGGATTTAATGATGAAATATGAAACATCAGCAGCTTCCAACAGTCTTAGAAACCACAAAGTCCTGTTGTCAGGTCCTGTATGCAGACAGCTGAGGGGTGGAGAGGGCAGGTTGTGCCCCCTGCTGCGGGATTCAGATTAGAGAACAGATCCACCGGCGATGGTGGCGGTGAGCTCAGTGCATCGGCCCCGCCTGCTAGGACCGGCCATGTGGGTCGCAATCTACAAACTCTCCTGGCAGTGACTGCAGTGTTAGCATCATAACACTTCCAGTTAGGAGCAGATGCTTTAAATAGTGTGGTTTTCATACGATAATTGGATTTGAAGATAAACATCACACAAATGACGTAACTCCGCAGGGTATTACTATAATCTAGGTTCTAATGGCTTGTAATTACAATGTGGTCGTCTAATGCAAAAGAGCTGTGCCAGGGAAACATAAATAAATCTATATTATCTAAGTATCTCAGCCTCGTTACAGCTCAGTTTATCTTTCTTCTCATCCAAGTTGTGAGACGCAGAGCTGAACAGCCATCCTACTTGCAGAGAGGCCGATGTTCGGCTGATAAATCACGATAAAGACGACATATCGAGCTCGGAAAGATGAGACAACAAACTGGTGGAGGTGCTGTTTGTGTTCTGTAACATTCAAGCCACGTTACTCCAATTCCAGGGTTCCCGCTCTTATAAAGAAAAGTCATGTTGCAGGAGTTTTCTTGACAGTACAGGACAGAATCTGCTCATATAATTCACTGGTAGCCCTCAGAGGAGGTAGCTCACCATTGTGGCTGCTCTCAGTAGAGCAGTGTGCGGTGAATTGACTACAAGTTTCCTCTAATTCCTCTAGTTTGAATCAAGTAGAATCATTATCAGCTATTTTAAATCAATTTCCGGGTAATTCCATGGCTGGAAAACTTCCAGGTTTTTCAGGATGTCGGATGATAAAGATCTTTGTCAGTCTGTGAAAGGGTTGGCCGTTCCTTCGAGTACGCACACCTCACACCTTTGAAGCCAGCGAGGAATGCGTTGGTGGCAGTCGTGTCACTTAACTGGTTTCAACACTTTTAGACAGGAACACATTCTCAGAGCACATTCCCCGTCTGCACTCATCCAGCTGCCTGCACGTAATCTTCTCTTTACCTAGAAAGCCTCTGGGGTCACAACCGGGTATCTTAACTTTAAGTAAATTTACACACGCACACTATGAAGACATTTTTTTGGTTTGGATTACAAAGGGAGGCAGAAGGTCAAACAAGCGATTTAAATATTTACAGTACTTGTGCTATTTACAAGCAATTTACAAACACTTGTAAATAGCAAACTATTTACATATTAGCTACAGGAACACTAATCCAGATATGAGTGACAGAAAAGGTCAAACGTGGCCCAAACGTCACACCTACTGACTGCCTTCGTATGGCCCCAAGAGGAGAGGGAGAGACCCTGGAGCTGTTGAATGATATATTTCTCATCTTTTCCCTAAATCTAGCAAGAAAGTCGCCAAAGTCGCCAACACCGGGACTCTCTCGACTCCCACAATTGTTCCAGACGTTGTTTGTTTTGTGTCGCAGGTTTTATTCTCCCGACAAACTCCTACAACATCGTATAACTGGGATTATTCCACACATTCTTCTTCCTTGTCAAAACCTGCTGCCTACATTACCCACATTGCAACTTAACCACCAATAGTTTAATCAGAAAATTGGGGGTGCAATGCTAGAATTCAAGAATACCCTGAATCAGAGATTAACTCTCCCTCTGGAGTGTGGAAGAACCTGACTGGATGAACTGGATCCAGACTGAGACTGTGAGCCAGACTTTACCAGCCGACATCAGTTCAGGACCTGTGACTCACCTGAAGATGGCCAGGCAGAACGACCACAGGAATAACGGGCGTCGCAGGTTCAGCTTCGGCCTCTCTCTCATGAAGTGCTGACCACCGAACACGAGCGCGACATACAGGCCACAGAACATGAACGACTTGTTCCTGTGGAGGACAAACACACCACAATAACACACTCATAAGCACCAATTCAATACAGCAGAACAGACTTTATTAGCCGGGGTATTTAGCCTGTCCTCGTGATGTGTATTTTTACAGATTAAATGTCAACTTATCGACGAGTGCACAAACAATGAGGGACTTGAGCTCCGCCTAGAATAGACTAAACTCCCCCTGAAGCTCCCTCTGATATTTACCTTTGTTTATTTATGTTCTTAATCTGTGTGTCCTTTAAAATATTTAACTTTTCTTTTCCTAACATTTAACTAGATAAATATTGGCAGTATTTCACCCAAAATGACCAGTTGGCCTCTGAGCTTGTTAACTTTATCCTGTGTTTACAACACTTGTCCTTTAGACAGAGGGTTTACTAATAATTAACTAATAATATCTCGAAGAAAAGCTTCAAATCCTCACATTTGAGAAGCAAAAGCCACTAAACATTTAACATTTTTGCTTGGAAAATTAACCAATTACTATTCTGCAGATTGTTTTTCTGTCAATCTATTTGTTTCTAGCTCATTTATTTGTTTTCTGGGGGAGAAAAAAATCTGATAACACAACACATACCATACATTTGGTTTGTTTGCCACCAAGAAATGTAACTGGGAACGGAAAATAAGACACTCTCAGGTGGGCGAACTACGGGATGGAGACTCAAACTTATCTTTGGCATTTCGTGTCATTCAAAACACAATATTATGGACACTGCAGCGTGGACAATATGCAAACTGCAAGAGCTGCAATGTTCTGATCAAAAAGGTAAAATGTGTGACAGACAGCGTTATAATGAAGCAACGTAGAGCTGCAGAGACGCAAAAAAATGTCACATCATCAGGATTTTAATATGTGAGCTCACCTCCGGATGATTCATTGACCCCGTATTCATCCCTGAAAGAGGCTATCTCTAGAATCTGTACACGGATCCATAACTTAAGGATAGACTCACCTGATTCACTCGAGCTATTGTGGGAGCCGGACTTAAGGGGGAGGAGATATCGAGTGAGGTTTGGGGAGAGATTCTTAAAAAAGGTACACAGCTCCTTTAGTTGTGTTCGCCTCGCTAAGTTATACAACAATGTGTCCCTGACTCGTGGTAGGAAGGTCCGATGCATCCTTTAAATGTTGTAAATGTTCAGATATTATATTAATTATGGAGTGGTGGGGTGTGGCACGCTTTCTACGGCCTTTAAGTGTCTCTTTTTTTTTAAAATGTACAGCATTAATGTGTAATTGAACACCCTCATCAGTGTGTTTGTGTTCTTGTACATTTCCTTTTCTTACTGTGTGTGTTTGTTACTGCTCCAGGATCGACGCCTAATGCTTTTTTTATTCTTGTGTGGCACGTCATAAAAAAAAGGGAATTGAATTTCTCACTGTTATGAGTTATAAGTGTTTTATATCCCTGCAAAGATCCCAATAAATAAAAAAAAAACACATAAAAAAGTTACATAAACAGGAAATAATCAGCTCAAAATGAATCCAAATCTCTGGTTTTACACAAACGTCCTGCAGTTACTGAGTTCACTGTTTATAATATAATATGAGATAAACATTAAATATGTCACTGAGTCAGGGGTTAACAGCTGTTCTGGGAACTGTCATCATGCTTGCTTTACACAATAATGACAGTTAACCAGCGGGGGAGGAAGTGTTACTAATACCACTACAATAACTCTCTGTTACTCCTCTTTTAAAAGAGTTTGAGCAAAAAAAAAAAAACTTTATTTACACATCCAGCAGTTACAGATGTGTAAATAAAGTTCAACACATCAACCTAAAAATGTGCTAATGTTCCACCAGAGTGACAGAAAACGGATATGTGGTGTATTTCAATGCTCTTCCAGGACGAGCTGCACAATCAAACCCAACTCTCAACCAACTCTGATGTGTTTTCACCCTCAAACGCATTTAAACGTGACACCAGATTAATGGAGGGAGATGAGACACAGAGCAGACAGACAGGCAGAGAAGAGAGAGAGAGACAGACAGGAGGACAGACGCTGCCCACCACAGGGAGACATGTATCTGTCATTATCTGGTATTATCTGTTCGCTAACATCACCCACCAGTTCTCCTGCATCCATTCCAGAGCTCGTCTTTCGTCGAAGCGCCGCTCGAAGTCGTACTCCGTTATCGGGGAGCTGAGCTCACTCTCGTTCATCTCTCTTTCCTTTATCAGCCCTTCTTCTTTTCAAACAGGAGAAAAAATAAAAATAAAAAGAGAGGGAGGGATGTGAGCGAGCTGCTGGCAGTGTGGAGTCAGTGTGAGCTGCTGCTCGGGTTATATTAGCGGGGTTATCTCCGGTTAGGGTCCGGGGCGGTGCGAGGATGCGGAACCACCAGATGTACTTCCCCACTGTCACTCACTCTCCTTCAGGCGGAGCAAGTTAGCTGCAACAGCGGAGGCTCCGGCTCGGACCTTCAAAATAAAAGCACACTCATTACCCTAATGGCCATCTGTTGCTGCACACACACACACACACACACACATATAGAAGGAGTGTGAGTCCGGTTTGTACGTTGGTGTCAGTGTATGTACACAGAATGAGCATAAATAAACAGGACAACAAGCTCAGTAACTCAGGCTGAACATACTCTGTGCAGTTTTCTACGGAAGAGGATTAGGCCCAGCTGCTGTTGTTTTATAGTTTTCTATAATAATTAACTCAATGTCTTCAAGGGTTTGGACTTTTGATCAGACAGCACAGCACATTTTAACAGGTTGGACTCTGTGATGGACATGTTGTTCCACTGTTTTCTGCCATTTTATAGACCAAAGGATTAATCAGTTAATCAACAAAATAATGTGCAATAATGCACAAACTGAACAAATCCTCATCAGCAGAAGCTACAGGGCCATCTGCTGGACAAAGCATGGAAGAGATTGTTTTATTCAACAGCTGCTGTATGAAACATCAGAGTTATGCTGGTAACAAACAAGTAATTTCTACCTAACAGCCTTCAGATTAATTAACACACTTAAACAAGGACACTTTAATTGCCCTCCAGGGTGGAAGAGGAGCAGCCGGCGGGGCATAAAAGAGTCACTGTGAGTCTGTGGAGGAGACAGAAGAGTGAAGACAGCTCAGACACAGAGACCTCCTTTCAGCAGCCGCCTGGACTCTGCTCTCAACCTCGCTGCCCCACTGCCCCTCTGTTGCCCCTCTGCTGCCCCTGTTACCCCTCTGCTGCCCCTCTGCTGCCCTTTGATCCACTTCCACCAAGCACACAACCTCCTCCCTGCCTGCAGATGGCAGCAAAGCGCAGCAGCACAGGGAGCTTCGAACACTGGAGGTTTTGAGTCATTCAGAGAGTAAAATACTAGTGATGTCGGGTATTTATGAGGTAAATAGGTGCTAATGTGCAGACTGATTCATTTAATGTGACGTTGAACACTGTGGTTTATGGAGTGGAAGTCAATATTATTATTTGCGAATGAAACACCGTGAGCTTGGCAGATTGGTTTGGTTCTCAGGCTACAATATTATCAGAGTCAGAATCAGCTTTATTGAGTGTGAACGCAAGAAGAACCATTGGCGACCCCTAGTGGGGGTCCGGGGCCCCCAGGTTGGCAACCACAGCTTTAATCCTTTATGGTGTATCAGTTAAAAGGTTCCTCGCAGTGCGTCTGTCCTCCACGTCCTCTGGTGTCACCCACAGCTGCAACACTGATGTGCTGAGCAGGCAGAGCTTCGTCCTCCATCGGCCCCTCAGTCACCTCCCAGCGGTTCGTATCTCAACCAGGACGGATCCAGGAGCTGCTCGCCGTAACGGAGCGTCGCAGACTGATTCCTGCACTTTTTTACGGCACTGGGAGATTTATCAGGTTGTGAAAGCGAAGGACAGAGATTGATTATCACTCTGCAGAGGAGACAAGTTTAGGAGGGAGGGATGTTTCCTGCAACTGTACAGTGACAGCGACAAAATGTTCCCCAAAATATTTATTAAAAAACACGATGAAGGAAAAAAAAGAAAACAATAAACTTTCATTTATCAGCAGGATGTAAAATGACTAATTAGATCAGCAGTTCCCAACCTTTTTCCTTAAAGGAGTCCTTTTTTTAAAATCATTTAATAAACATATTTTATGGATATTTTATTTTATATTCAGTAAATAACAATAACAGTAGAGAACAGCTGATAAACTGTACAATGAACACAAACAGTGAACTCAATAACTGCAGGAAGTTTGTGTAAAACAAGTGATGTATGAATTGAAGATGAAGATTATTTCCTGCGAATGTTGATCAAAAATGAGTTTTCCTGATATTTTAGCAACTTTTTAAACTGTTTTATGTATTTATTAAGTTTTTTGAACAATCTTACATAATTAAAAGGCTTCTTTTTTGACTAATTAACTTTAAAATATTTGTATTTTGTATATTTCATAGTTTTCTTACACCCCTTAAAATCAATATCAAGAGTCCCGACCCCCATGTTGGAAACCACTGAATTAAATGTTGCTGTAACTAAAGAAAATCCATCCACTGAGCATCAAAGGCAATAAGAACCTTTCATTTTGTGTTGATTCTGGCGCCCCCCCCGGACAGAAGTGGTAGTGTTTCACAGCCTCGTTTCATTGATTTCAAGGAGAATCTGACCTGATAGGAGGCATTAAAAGTAATAGAAATAGCCAATCTTCTCACTGAGAGTCTTGTGTGTTTATGTAGTTCATATAGAGGCATCAGTATCACATTGAGATGGTTTCATAACCTTTAACATTGTAATAAATATGGTACAATTACAGTAAAAGGACATTAGTGCTGTTGATTTTAAGTTGGAGCTTTAGAGGATACTAAATAACTGAATTATTGGTTTAAACAATTCTTTCTTGTTCTCCCTCACAAGATAACACATAAACCTTCCCTCTGAAACAAAGAACTGAGACATTTTGAAACCAGAATGAATTTATTGAAACAACATTTCAACATTAAAAGCCCTTAAACTGTTATTTTTTCCCTTCGTTTGCAGTCGAGAGCCGAATCCACGGGAGTGAAATCAGCGTGTTTTCTGATGTTTTACAAGAGGAGCGCACTCACATTGATCCATGATGGAAAAAAAAATAAACAGAGGCATAGTTTGGCACACAAATAACTAATATAATAATAACAATAATAATTTCAAGTTTAAAAATGTGTTACAACAAATGCAGGAATCATAACTGACAGTTTTCACTTGGTGCCTTCTTATAAACGATCCAACAGATCTGGGAGCAGTTTTACAGTAAAACTACAGGTTGTACTGACGGACTGGTGAACATCTGGCCACATGTTGGTGGTAAAGATCATCCAGAGGAGACTCCAGACTGCATCTTCAGAGGGATTTTCTCTCTTTCTGCCCAGAATGATGAAGTATTTGTACGTTAACTCAGCGGTTCCCAACCTGTTTCCCTTAAGTGACATATTTTATATTATCTACCTGATAAACTGAACAACGAACCCAAATACACAGTAACTGCAGGAGGTTTCTGTAAAATGAGCGATTTGGATGAGAGATGAGTTTTTTCTGATAGTTTTAGCAACTTTTTAAACAATTCTCTGCCTGTATTATGTATTTCTTTTAATTTTAACAATCATACAGACTCTTTTTTTTGACAAATTCCGTGTTTTCTTCACCCTTATAATACAGCTCGTGTTCAGGTCATCAAAGTTTAGATATTAAATAATACACAAACTTGATTAAGTAAAAACATTCTTGATTAAGTAGTTGTTGTTTTTTCACAGTACAAATAAAAATGCCAAAATGAAGTCAGTGTCACTTAAAATTACTGAAGCTACTCGATCAAGAATGTTTTTTAAACTTACAAAATACGTTTGCTTTACTTTAAAGTTTCAGTTTCAACAATTTTTTGAACTAAATGAACGTATCTGGTTTTACAGAGTAATCTAAGCTTTAACAACAAAATGCTGAGTTATAGACCGTCTGTGTTTATATTTTGAAAGTTTTCTTACATCCCTTAAAATCAAGAAGGTATGGCACCCCCTGGTGGTGGTTGGGAACCACTGCGTTAAGTCCACAGAGGCCTGTTGGACTGAAACACTGGCAGACAGAAGAGATCATGAAATACCTTTAAAGATTGGACGTTGCTGAATAATAAAGTAAAATACAGCAGTGCTGAAGTCACAAACGGGCGGATATTTGATGTTAGAGCTGGAAAACTAAAAACCAAGAGAGTCTAATGTAAACGTCAGCTCCTCCACAACAAAGAGAGTAATAGTGGTTAGACACGATGGCTCAAAGTACATTTGTAAGCATTTGTTTGATCCAGAATGTGCACTGGTTTTTATCTAAAAGGGCACAAAACACCGGACATGATAATGAAAACAAATACGAAAAAAGGACGGTATGAAATTACACGACACATACCACAGATGAAACACACCTACCTGCCAACATTAATGGCTTTAAGGAGTCTACCTTTACATTTACCTTCCATCTCTTGACATTTAAGAGGCAAAAATGGTGATCGGTTTGTCAGCAGATGTGAGGAACGAAAGCACAAACAGGATGGAAAGAACACAACAAAGCACAGCTAACTGCACGTGCTAATAAAAATACTCTACCACTTTAGATCTGCCACAGAATGTTATATATTAAGAAAATAAATAGATTCTCATTATTTACAATGGACACATCAGCAGCAGTTTTTCTTCCTGTTTAACTTCATCGTGTCAGAATCAGCACCTCAGAATATGTCAATGCAGAAGCATCGCTTTGTACAATTTAAAGTTCAGTTGTTGGCAACCCCCCCCAGTGGATCTACAGTATGCTGGGTGTATTACAGCACAGGAGGAACACAGGACAGAGAGGCCAACACTGTGGATGGACATGATGTACATTAAAATAAAAGGGCAGTAAAACAGAAAGAGGCCAGATGTGTGACGCTGTGTGTGCACAGAAACACCCGCAGACACATTTTCCCACAAATATGAAGGTTTAAAGGGTTAAAAGGCAAATATAGTCATTAAATTGTGGTTATTTTTCTCTAATTTTAGCTTTTTTTCCAGTGAAATACTGGATACTTTCACACTTTTACACGATTTTAGGAGAGAAATAGTAAAAACTGTTGAATGAGCTCATAAATCAACTGAGAAGTCGGCTCCATTAGTCAGGGTGTTATTGCAGCCTGTGGAGCTCCCCCTGCTGGTCGTTACACAGAATGCAGGTTTAAGACCCTTCACAGACCCAGACGCTCTGTCCATTATCTGTACTGTCAGCGGTTTGAACGTCGGTGCAACAGGCGGCTGTTTCCTGTCGCTCTGCTCAGGTGTGATTACTAAAAGGAAACGAGGCGCTTAAAAGCTCCTGTGTATCATCAGAGGAGAGACACTGCTGGCGTTACTGCCTCTCAGCCTGCAAGTTTGTGCCTTTTGATCTTTCTAAAAACAGTGACACTTCTCTTCACTGGCAGGTCTGAAGTTTGGTGAAGCTGAGCAGAAGTACTTTGGGTCGTGGGTGTGTCTGTATCTCTATATCTTTATGGCTAACTGTGGGAGTGGAGGTTTATAAACCAGATCCATGCTTACACAAATCTGACCAAATCAGAGCAGTGCATACAGTATTCTCTGTAGTCTGTGTGCACACACAGTTTAATACATCTGCCCTTTGGTTTTATATCTGAAACCAACTACTAACCCCCCCCTCTCAGCCCCTCTCAGTCATGAAGAGGAGCTGCAGACTGGGCCTTGTCCAGTGTAACTTCTCGAGTGAGATGAAGAAGGCAAAATGTGTGTAAACGTGTGTTTGTTTTATATAAAAGAACAGAAAGAACAGGGACAGGAGGAAGTTGTATTCTCTGGGGCGGCTGTCAGCTGAAGAATGTGTTCGTCACTCAGATCTTATCATCTAACGGAGTGTGGAAAGAGCAGAAAGTCGAGGCCGTGTTCACCCGATCATCGGTGTTCCCTTTTTAAATGACAGCTAACGAGCGTATTAGCATGCCTCAGTTTACTGAAGCTACTCACAGACGCTCAGAGCTACATAGTTTTAATGTGTGTGTGTGTGTGTGTGTGTGTGTTGAGACCTAAACACTAACATGAGAAAACACCCTTCTTTCATTTAGTGCATTGGGTAATCCTCAATGTACCATCCTGTAGGTCACAGTTGTGCTGGGGCTAAAACAGACGCTGGATTAAAAGGAATAGTTCAACACTTTCTGAGAGCGAGACGATGTCAGTTTCGTGTCTGTTGGTTAAAACCAGATGTGGACGTGGTTAGCTTAGCTTAGCATAAAGACTAGAAACAGGGGGAAGGAGCTAGCCAGGTGAAAAAAACTCACCTACGGGCCCGTCTGAGGTGTCTAGTTAACAGGTTTGTTTGTTTCAGGCGTACAGAAAAAGAGTGTTTTTGTGAGCGGTGGTGTCTGATGCAGTTTTCTGGCCGGTGGCAAAGATTTCTGGCTGGTACATTTTCTACAAATGAGCCAAAAAGTAAATTGTGCACCTGCTGTATCTGGCAGTCCGCGCTGCTGAGAAGAGCCGGGCGGATGGATAAAGAAGTAGATCCGGCACATAAATCTAACGCCAAGTGACGTTTTTAAAGGTTCTTTTACTTTCCCTTGGTCAAATAAATAAGTTGTATATTAAGTGTTTTAGTGCACTTAAGAAAGAAACTATCTGCTTCCAGTCTTTATGCTAAGCTAACGCTCACTCTTCTCATGTGGATGTTGAACTATTCTTTTAGCAAATTAAAGCGCACAAGTGCTTGTTTCCTCTAGTGCAGAGCCTTCACGGAACATAACAACACAAACGTCTGTAAACCACCTCTCATCAATATTTGGCCCTCGTATGGCTGCTTTGGATACTGGTCAAGAGTCTAAGTAACCAAGGCAATAATTTCAAAGTAAAGAGTACTATGCTATTAAAACACAAACATGGGTTTCCCCCTTATTCAACCATAATTTCCATTCTGTACTTGCATCTAATCATGAGATCTTATTAATCTGTGCCCAGCCTCCTCTTCCCTACCGCTCTACATCCACGGACCAATCACTGTTGAGCTACAGATTCCTTTAAAGTGAGTAAGTAAGTGTAAATGTGGTAAAAAGAGGAGGGCCGAGCAAACCGTTAACTTCACTCACATTCATGGCCCCTCACCGTCGGTCATTATACTTATGGCACACTTCGATACGACTGCCGAGCACAGCGTGGACACGCTACTCTGCCTTGGATCCCTTGTCCCCGGAGGAGCCTTTGACCCCGGAGGAGCCTCTGAGGTAGGTGTTGTAGAAGAACATGGCGAAAAGGACCAAGTAGCTAAGGTACATGAGAGAGCCCCACACGATGTTGTCCATGTAGGACCGACAGCGCACCTCGTGCATCCAGCGGTACACCAGCCCGAGGACGGTGAGGCCCATCACCATCTGCATGATCTGGGTGGCCGTGATGATCATGGCGCAGGGACGGGGCACCCGCACGCCGGCGGCCCGGGCTGCGTAGTACGTGTACATGAGGGAATGGACCAAGTAGTTCATGGTCATGAACCAGCCGCCGCCCGCCACCTGGTCCTTGTAGGAGTACCAGGAGTAGAGCAGCACGGTGATGTGGTGGTACCAGTGCAGGAAGATGAGGCGCTGCTTCCGGAGGACGATGAACACGGTGTCACCTGAGAGAGAGACGGGGAGAGGAGGTTAGTCAGAGTATCGTAAAGCTGGAATCAACTTGTTTTGTAGATGCATTTTTGCAGCCAGTGTCGAGCTAACTGACAGATGTTCTTCACTTTCTGTAACTGGCTTACTTCAAAATAAAAGTTAACTTGTGTTTCATCAGATAAATGCTTTTAATGTGAAGCTGCAGCAGTGGCAAATGTTCGGATTACGTTAGCAGTAACTTAATACAGCACATCTCCCCAACAGTGAAACCAGAACATCTCGATACCCCGTGGGAGCTGGCTGTTGATTTGATATGCAGCTGAGCATTTAAAAAAGAAAACCCGTCAATATAAAAGCAGTTTTTGATTTCCAGAGGATATTCACTTGCAAACTGTTCCATTTAAACGTTAAAAGTTATTGAACTGTATGAGTTTGCCTGTAAAACAGTCAGCAGTTAATAGGAATTATCCTGTTGGAAGCTGCTTATAGTTAGAACCAAATTACATGCTTCATTTCAGGAAGCTTCCTCAGAAATTATTTGGACATTTTTCTGACCATTAAAATAAAATTATTACCAAAAACTTCAAACTAATTTCTACCTTATTTCACTAAATCGACGTTGCTTAAAGTAGCTGTAATATGTTTTATTACACACTATACTCAGTATATTATATTTCTATGATATATCTATATGAATATCAAATACTAGTATTAATACTTAATTATATTATATAATATTCCGATGTACCGTTACAGTAGATACTTCTCTCTGCCCTTGAATTACCCCTCTGAAGATCAATACATCTTATCTTATATCTTCTCTTACATCCTGACCAGCAGTAGGATGAGGACATTCTTCCTGTCTGCAGCTGAGGAAACACTGTCTGTATCAATCACACACTAATGGAGTTTTCTTGCCACCTCAGCATCTGCCTCCATTTCCCCGAGCAATCAGGTCTGTGCGTCCGACAAGAGAGCACGAGGAGACGAGATTAGCGTGCAGAGAGAGAGAGAGAGAGAGAGAGAGAGAGAGGCAACACCATCCACTGAAGGAGCTCTTAAGGTAATTGTCTGCTGCTACATTAACTGGAAAGATTAAGTAATAATGACAATAATCTTCTTTTTTTTTATAGAGCACTTTCACAAAACGAGTTACAAAGTGCTTCACAAAAATTAAAACACACCTCATATAATCGTCAGGTTTTATAAGAAATTTTAAGGCCAAAGAAAACAAACACTGCAGCACATAAAAGACTAAAACAGGAAATCAGGAATCCTTTTGAGCGAGCTACACTTGTTTAAGGTGGCTACTAGGTAACGGTAGCTGCTGCCAGAGCCGTGTAGGAAGAGTTGTTGCCGTAATGTTTGGTACACGTATCAGCCTTAACTTAATTAAGACTGAGAGCTTCGGGGGCCAACACTGTGTCCCCTCTGTAAGTGCCTCAAGGAACATACCTCTACGTTTACTAAGTTTAAATCTGTCATTGCACGCATTTATTTTTTCACTCATGCTTAAGAACACACGGTAAATCACTTCGAGTGAGGAATTCAGGCCTAACTCGTTTACCCAGAGATCAGTCTAAAAAATGTAACCTCGAGCTGTTCTCCATGAGACATTGACATTTAGGACAACATCGGGAGAGATCAGAAGGAAGGAAGCCTCACCGAGCTCGGGGGCCTTGCTGAGAACGAAGGCGTAGGCCCAGAATTTGCTGACGGGGGCGCTGTAGAAGCCGCTGTCACACACCGACTGCTTGAAGCCGCTGGTTGTGAGGATGTGCAGCATGTACAGTCCGGTCCTCACCGCTCCGATGATGCTGCAGAGGGAACACATTATATTTGAGAGATTGTGTTCGACGTGTCCATCGTCCTGAGCTGAAAGCTGTTTAAAATCAGGACTGTTGAAGAATGAATTCCTTTAAGTAATATTTGTTGTACTTCAGCTGTGTGCTATCAGTTTGTTATTACTGTATATTCTGGTTTTGCTACATACATGTGATCATGGTCCTGAGTTGCAAATAAGTTGTAGTTATTGTGTGTTTTTATTTTATTCTTTAATCTATGTGTGTTTCCTCTGTAAAGTGCTATATAAATACATTTTACTTTACTTTTTTAGTGCAAATAATAATGTTCAGGGGCACTGCAAAGGACTGGATAAAGACTATGTGCTACACAAGGGCGAGGACATAAAGAGGACAGAGTTTACGGTCCTCATGGCCGGAGGAAAGAAGCTTTATCTGAGACTCTTTCTGTATTTGTACTGAGAATTACTTTATATTTCAAGTTCCCAGCATACACTCTGAGAAGAGTTTTATATTTATGTGATGTCGGTATCGATCTGATGAAACTGAATCTTTCAGGAACCCAATATAATCTAATTAAAATAAATCAAATCTGCATCTAAATCAACCAAACAGAGAGATCAGTGCCAGTATCCAGTCCTACACAAACACTCTCATCTTCCTTATTGTTGCTATTTAACAGCTGTTTTCAGGCTACCTTGTATGTTGTACAGATAATGCAGTTGTAGATCACATATTATTATTCCTAAGGCATTCAAAAACTGCTTTTTAAATTCAGCACAGTCCTTTTATCACCTTTGGAAATATGGGATGTCAGTCTGGAGCCCTGAGGAGTGAGGGTGTGCTGAATATAAAAACCTCCTACTTCAAGGATCAGGACACTTCCTCACTCTCAAACTTTGGCTTTTAAAATCATCATTTTTTACAACCCATGGTATTGTCTCATTCCACACGTCTGCTGTTCGTCGTTCCTCTGCTACAGCCATAAAGGCTCAACATGACTCATCCCTCTAATGTCAATAAAACCCTAACAGCCCTGCAATCACAGTGTAGTGCAATCATACATCGATCCACGGATCGCAGGAAGGAATTCGGTGGAAGAAACACACAGAAACTAGCTGAGTACTGCTGCTACTCTCTGATTTCTTTCCAAATGTACAATCTGTAAAGTCTTTATGAAATATTCATTTGTAAGTAATTACTCCATCGCCAGGCAGAAAACTTAGAAGTATAGCTTAAATTATAATGAGGGACTACTTTATGTTTCGTATTGATCTGTATGTGTTGTGTTTGGATTCAACCAGTAAAGAACCATAAAGCCTCCTTTCTCCAGTGTTTTTTATTCATCACATAGTTGTGTAAATAGGCCACATACACAACGTCTACCAACGATGAATCCAATAAATATTCTACTTTTGCTATCTGTGCAAGCCGAGCCGTGAAGCTGCTGTGTCCCGTGAGAGTTTCTTCTCATCATCTTTCTCATTATGTTATGTAATATGTAATTCACTGTGGTCTTCAAGGATAGTGATGCTGTATTCTACAGTTCCCTAACACTCGGTCTCCAGTTATAACATTGGTTCAACCGAAACCCTCACTGGGATTTGGGATAATTAGCAGCTACAAGACTGCTTGTGTTGATTGTTTCTTGTGGTATTGTAGCCTGGGCTGTGGACTGAGGGACACTGCTGTGCTCTGGTAAGATATTTCAGGTTCTGGATACAAAGACTTCAGTAGGATGTTGTTTGTGGGATTTAATGATGAAATATGAAACATCAGCAGCTTCCAACAGCCTTGGAAACCACAAAGTCCTGTTGTCAGGTCCTGTATGCAGACAGCTGAGGGGTGGAGAGGGCAGGTTGTGCCCCCTGCTGCGGGATTAAGATTAGAGGGAGGGCTCAACACACCAACAGATCCACCGGCGATGGTGGCGGTGAGCTCAGTGCATCGGCCCCGCCTGCTAGGACCGGCCAAGTGGGTCACAATCTACAAACTCTCCTGGCAGTGACTGCAGTGTTAGCATCATAACACTTCCAGTTAGGAGCAGATGCTTTAAATATCAAAGTGTGGTTTTCATACGATAATTGGCTTTGAAGATAAACATCACACAAATGACGTAACTCCGCAGGGTATTACTATAATCTAGGTTCTAATGGCTTGTAATTACAACGTGGTCGTCTAATGCAAAAGAGATGAAGCAAATTTACACACAGCGATCTATAAAACCGGGGATGCATCAGTTGGGAATATCTGTTAGCGTTTGCGTTAGCTCACTATTGTGGCGTGCGAGGCTGTTCCCAGTGGAGCGGTCTCCGGTGCACTGACTGCAAGTTTGCTCCAAGTCCTTTAGTTCAAATCAAGTAAAATGAATTATTATTTTACAGAAAATCTATCTTCTAGAAAGTGAAGTAAGTGAAAGTGTTTGTTGCACTTAAAATTAACATTGCTGTGCACGTATTCATCAACCTCAGCAACATATTTAATCATTAATCGTCGTATTAACATAGACTGCACCATTTCCACTGAGCTTCCTTGAAATTTGGCGACGAAAAATTCGACTTCACACCGAAAAGATCGCTTCAAGTCAAGTAAAACTTAGGTTTACGTGGGTGATCTGAGTGAGGGGCTAAAATACTATAAAAGGTTTTACAGGACAACATTTTGATCAATTTCCAGGTGATTCCATGACCGGAAAACTACACTCTATATATAAAATATATATAAACTGCCACAGGATGGCGGATGATAAAGATCTTTGTCAGTCTGTGAAAGGGTTGGCCGTTCCTTCGAGTTCGCAGCTCACACCTTTAAAGCCAGCGAGGAATGTGTTGGTGGCAGTCGTGTCACTTAACTGGTTTCAACACTTTTAGACAGGAACACATTCTCAGAGCACATTCCCCGTCTGCACTCATCCAGCCTCCTGCAGGTAATCTCTCTGTTAACAGGAAATAAAGAGGCAATAACAAACCGCTGAACGGACTGAGATTAGGAGTAGAAGAGAAGATATTGCAGTCCACCAAATATTCATACTCAGATTTTTTGTTTGGTGGGGGCCCTTTCTTGTCCCTGTACACAAATCCAGGTCCATTAAAAACCCATCCGGGGCGCAGATACAGATCACTGGCCTGTAAATGAGCTCGCTATGGAAGAAGTTTCGTCCCTTCTGCCGTAGTTTTACTCAACAAAACTCCCCGGTAGCCGTTATGTGTAAATACCTGAATGTATGTACAAATGTGCGGTGTTTAGATGTCTATCTTGTGTTAATGTTGTGTGTATACGTATGGGAATGTGTACAGACTGTGGCAACACATTTCCTTGAATCTATCTATCTATCTATCTATCTAAATAATGAATATACAGATAGATAGTGACTCAGTAACTGCATTGACTCGCTCTGGTTCACCATAGAAGCTCTTGAAATCACGCTTTCAGTCATCTTTCTGATTGGTATACGGCAAAGTAAATTTACACTCACACACTATGTGTTACATTAAAAAGGCAGGCAGAAGGTCAAACAAGCGATATAAATATTTACAGTACATGTGCTATTTACAAGCAATTTACAAACACTTGTGCTTGTAAATAGCAAACTATTTACATATTAGCTAAGCTTCAGGAACACTAATCCAGATATCCGGAGGAAAAAAGTGACAGAAAAGGTCAAACGTGGCCCACATACCACACCTACTGACCGCCTTCGTATGGCCCCAAGAGGAGAAGGAGAGACCCTGGAGCTGTTGGACCGCGGTTACTATGAGCAGCTTTGTTAATTACAATATAAATATATTTGAACGTAATTGTTGTCCTTTCCCTAAAGGTCTATAAATAAGTCTCTAAATGTGTCGCTTTTTAGACATAAAGTTGCCAAGAAAGTCTGAACAGCGAGAAAGTCGCCAAAGTTGGGACTCTCTCTGTATGATTGATTTAGTGTGAACACGAAAGTAACTTTTTCCCAAAGTCTACTTAAAACTGAACAGTCCCAGACTTAACAAACACTGTGTGATTGTTTTCTAGTAAATTTACACACACACACTGAAGTTGTTGTTTTTTTTAGATTACAAAGGGAAGGAGAATATCAAACAATTTAAATATTTACAGTACTTCTGCTATTTACAAGCAATCTACAAACACTTGTGCTTGTAAATAGCAAACTATTTACATATAAGCTAAACTACAGGAACACTAATCCAGATATCCGGAGAAAAAGAGTGACAGAAAAGGTCAAACGTGGCCCAAACGCCACACCAACTGACTGCCTTCGTATGGCCCCAAGAGGAGAGGGAGAGACCCTGCCGCTGTTGTATATTGTTGTATGATATATTTCTCATCTTTTCCTTGATGGTCTCAATAAGTCGCTTTTTAGCAATAAAGTTGCTAAGAGGGTCTGAACTCTGGGACTCTCTCTATATGATTGATATAACATCGTAAGACTCATCGCTAACAATTTTTAAAACGGATTAATACAAATCGGCCAAAGGCCTTAAACAAGCCTGTAACTTCAAAGCCTGTAAAAAAGACTCTGATGTGTAAATCGGCGCAGTTCTCCTTTAATAAGTGGTTAGGTTTTCTCAGTGTGGTGTTGTAGAACCTGACTGGATGAACTGGATCCAGACTGAGACTGTGAGCCAGACTTTACCAGCCGACATCAGTTCAGGACCTGTGACTCACCTGAAGATGGCCAGGCTGAGCGACCACAGGACTAACGGGCGTCGCAGGTTCAGCTTCGGCCTTTCTCTCATGAAGTGCTGACCCGCGAACACGAGCGCAGCATACAGGCCACAGAACATGAACGACTTGTTCCTGTGGAGGACAAACACACCACAATAACACACTCATTAGCACCAATTCAATACATACAATAGACTTTATTAGCCGGGTAATTAGCTGGGTTATTTAGCCTGTCCTCGTTAATATGAATGGGATGGCAAAATAATAAACACCTGTCAGTACAACCCAATACAAACTGCATTAGTTATAGCTGGGTGTTACAAAAAGAGGAAGAAGATGACTTCCTCTGACAACCAGTCCTGCTAAACCCTAAATCTCCTCAGTCAGACCCTGAAACATGAGATTATTATACAGATGTGGCGCTGTTACGCAAGGACGTCACAAAATTAGGGTGAAAAAGGAGCAGACAACCGCAATTAAACGCAAACATGACGTGATCTGCTTACTGGTAGCAGGTAAACACATGTACAAACTATAAATGATAAAAGAGAATCAGTTTCATGAACCCATCCTCCTCTCCTGATTCTAGCCTTTTACTTATCCTCATTAATAATCACAGCAAAGGATTAAGAGATTAGAGGCTGACACACTGACCATTCAGACTGCCAGCTCTGCGTGATGAGGCAATTTGAACCGGGCACTGCTCCGCCTGGCTTATCAACAAACCACTGATACCATTTCAATTACAGCCGGCGGCAGAAAATGACGACGGAAACAGGAAAAGGTCGACTCCTGAGCTCAGGCAGAAACCGCCGAGCTCAACTGGTAAACGGTGAGATTACGTGTGCGCCGTGATAAAAGACAGCATACCTGATTTTATTTTTTTAATCCAGTCTTTTCATAAATAAAAAGAGGCTGTGCGTGTGTCTGAGGTGGTTTGGGAATACACCAGATGACTAATCCAGATTGGTACAATACATATTCGGTTGAGTAGATGCTGCTGCTTGACCCAGTTAATGCTACGGTTGGGGGAGTCCATCCCTGTTGGATACAGCCAGAGCCCTGAAGGAGGCCCAAGTACTGAATGTGTGAAATATTTCAACTAAGGCTGCAGATAACAATCATTTTTTATCTGATTACATGATTGTTAAGTCAATAAAATGGTGAAAAATGCTTGAATTTCCCTCAGGATAAATAAAGTATCTATCTATCTATCTATCTATCTATCTATCAAAAATCATCATTTATTACAATGTATTGATGATTTATAATTATAAAGTTTCCATTATCTGTCCTGATAATTATCGTGTGACCTCTGCTAATCTTAAAAATGGATTCCCTTCTTTGAAACAATATGAACCTTTAGAGAGAATTAAAGGCTTATATTTAAAGGCTGTTATTTAAACCATGATGCCACATATAAAGAACTTGACTCTGGCGTTCGGTAACTCTCATCACACGCGGTTCCAAGAACAAGTGTACAGAGAGAGAAGATTGTTGCTGGATAAAGGTGAGCGGCTCATTAATAGTGCATGAGAACAGGAGCTGATAGGACCGAACACACCTCCCTCTCTGTAAACTGCAGCTCCAATGAGTAACACAATGTCCCCTTTAATTACATTCCTGTAACGTGTGTGTGTGTGTGTGTGTGTGTGTGTGTGTGTGTGTGTGTGTGTGTGTGTGTGTGTGTGTGCGCACAGGTGTGTGTCCCCCCAAACAGTAGGCATCAAATATCTGCTCAGATCAATAATGTTACTGACTTATTAGAGATGGAAAGAAGAAAAGGTGTGATTGTTCTGATTAAATAAAAGTGTGCCGTTTCTAACATCTTCCAATTTATTGATATATGATTATTAGTGGAGGCCTTTATTATTTAGAAATATGACCAATAACTTTATACTTAAAGTTTATATTTAAACTCTTTCTCAAGCTGCTTAAGAAGAAGCAGTAGGGGTGAATCATATCGCATTGTAAGTCGCTTTATACGCATTATAAAGGTATTTGATTGCCTCAGTAATTATACTCATTCTTTGATCACATTGTTCCTAAAATAAATTGATCTTAACTTTTAGACCACAAAGTTCTCAGTTCGCATTTTTATAGATTAAGTAACAACTTATCGACGAGTGCACAGCCAATGAGAGATCTTAGCTCCACCTAAAATAGACTAAGCTCCTTGATGTTCTTAATCTGTGTGTCTTTTCCTTTCCTAATCTTTAACTAGATAAATATTTGCAGTATTTCACGCAAAATGACCAGATGGCCTCGTTAACTTTATCCTGTGTTTTTATTGGTTACACAACATTTGTCATTTAGACAGAGGGAGTGTGAGTGAGTGACAGGTGATATGGTTCAGGTAATAAGAGGTTTTAGAGGGTGTGGCTGTGGTGTGTTTACTCAACAGAAATGTGAAATATTCCTGTTGCTTGTTGGTTTTTAACCCACCTACAGTCCAAAACTACTACTAATAATAATATAATAATCATATGATGGTGGGATGGTGACTCAAACATCTCTTTGGCATTTCTTGTCATTCAACCAGATTATATCCGCCGATTCATCAGCCGGACTCTCGCTGCCACTAATGACAGATCAGAAAATAATCCACAGATTAAATCACAGGATAAGGTATCCACACCGAAGCTATCAGCACATTGAACGATACTCTGAGCGATACCAGAACCAACAGCAGACAGTGAGCAGCGTCCTACATTATAAACTGTGAGCCTTTACAGCAAAGTCACACTACGACTCAGCAGGACCGCTGAAGCTGTTGCTCACTCTTTAAAGGTGTCTGCATCGTTCATGCTGTGTGCACAGTGCTGAGCAGTGGAGGAGGAATGGGGGTTGCGTTTGGCTGCACGTTGCACTCCCCCCACCCCCTCCTTTAGTCTTTATGAGGCTTCGGTTGGACAGCTCACTGTACGTCTGTAACGGCTGTATTAGGTTTCGGTGTTGCACGGGCCCCAAGAGGATGTGAGGCTAGAAAAATGTAGTCTTACAAGGTTTCCCTGGTGGAGTTTGTTTCAGCGAGCGGAGGGGTCACTCCCTCTTTTCAGGACGTTTAATTGGACAGCGAGGAATGCGTTTATGTTAGCAGCGATCCAACATATTTCTGGTGTAAACACAACACGAAGCAGTGCTAATATATGCGTGTTGATTTCTTTTCATTTAAACAGCTGTTAATTAAATGAAATATAGTTTTCACTCCGGCCTGTGGATGCACTGATGGAGTCCTCACTGTCAGGGTTCCCACTCTTTCCAAGAAATCATTTTCCAGGACCTTTTCCAGGTCCTTTTCCAGGCGTTTATCTTCGACAGCACTGGCTGACCAGCGGTGGTCGCCGTTTATGGGCTTTTGTGGAACAGACCTTTTTCACAGCAGCCGTTGTAACATGAAACAATAGGGTAAACGCAGGGGTTACCGATGATACTAAACAAGGCTCTGTTCCATTTTAGTGTAGCAGAGCATTTCCAGTGAGCCAACATGGCCCACTGACTCTGTTTGACCTGGAACCTTAATTGGTAACACCTGCGTTTTACCCTACTGATTCATGTTATAAGGGCTGCTGTGAAAAAGGTCTAGTGACTGCAGCGTTCCTCCAACAGTAACATTAATGCAGCGTGCAAACTGCAAGAGCTGCAATGTTCTGATCAAAAGGTAAAAAGTGTGACAGACAGCGTTATAATATATTATTTTATATTATTATTATTATATTATATTATATATTATTATTATATTATTTATATATTATTATTATATTATTTATATATAATAGCTGCAGAGACGCTCCGGTCCACAAATCTACGTGTTTGTTTGGTGCAGACCTTAAAAAATGTCACATCATCATGATTTAAATATGTTTTTCTAAAGGAAATGTCGTAATATGAGATTTTTATCATTTCCTGCATCCCTATAAGGAGAGTTTGTTTGGGTTTATTATTATACAGTTTTAAATATAATGTGAAATATACATAAAATATGTCACTAATTGAGACGTCGTCCGTTTATTAAATGATAGTAAAGGTTTGGGAACCACTGATTAAAACCTGTTATCGTGCTTTAAAATACTCTGTAATAAGTAAGTCCTGCATTGAAATGCATTGAAAAGAGATATTTCCTTCAGGAGTTGGAGAACAAACACACATCTGTAACTGCTGGATGTGTACATAAAGATGTGTCGTCCCTTAAGGAATAATAATAATTAAAGGTATTCCAGGTGTTTCCAGGTGTTTCCAGGTGTTTCCAGGCTGCACTATGAATCCTCAAGGTACATTTAAACCCAACTTTCAACTAATTCTGATGTTTTCTTAACCTCAAACAACATTAATGACATAAAGAACCAGATTAATGGAGGGAGACAGGAGGACAGACAGGAGGACAGACAGGAGGACAGACAGGAGCACAGACAGGACAGGAGGACAGACAGGAGCACAGACAGGAGCACAGACAGGAGCAAAGACAGGACAGGAGGACAGACAGGAGGACAGACAGGAGCACAGACAGAGAGCACAGACAGGAGGACAGAGAGCACAGACAGGACAGGTGGACAGACAGGAGGACAGACAGGACGAGCACAGACAGGAGGACAGACAGGGTCACAGACAGGAGCACAGACAGGAGGACAGACAGGAGCAAAGAGAGGAGGACAGACAGGAGGACAGACAGGAGGAGACACAGGAGCACAGAGACCACAGACAAGAGGACAGAGAGGAGGACAGACAGGAGGACAGACAGACAAGAGGACAGACAGGTGCACAGACAGGAGGACAGACAGGTGCACAGACAGGGGGACAGACAGGACGAGCACAGACAGGAGGACAGACAGAGAGGGACGGACAGGAGGAGCACAGACAGGAGGACAGACAGGAGGACAGACAGGAGCACAGACAGGAGGGCAGACAGGTGCACAGACAGGGGGACAGATAGGATGAGCACAGACAGAGAGGGACGGACAGGAGGAGCACAGACAGGAGGACATACAGGAGGGCAGACAGGAGGGCAGACAGGTGCACAGACAGGGGGGACAGACAGGACGAGCACAGACAGGAGGACAGACAGGGTCACAGACAGGAGGACAGACAGGAGCACAGACAGGAGGACAGACAGGAGGACAGACAGGAGCACAGACAGACAGGAGCACAGACAGAGACAGACAGACAGACAGGAGGAGCACAGGCAGAGACAGACAGACAGGAGCACAGACAGACAGGAGGACAGACAGGAGCACAGACAGACAGGAGCACAGACAGACAGGAGCACAGACAGGAGGACAGACAGGAGGACAGACAGGAGCACAGACAGACAGGAGCACAGACAGGAGGACAGACAGGAGGACAGACAGGAGGACAGACAGACAGGAGGACAGACAGGAGCACAGACAGACAGGAGGGCAGACAGACAGGAGCACAGACAGACAGGAGCACAGACAGACAGGAGCACAGACAGACAGGAGGACAGACGCTGCCCTCCACAGGGAGACATGTATCTGTCATTATCTGGTATTATCTGTTCGCTAACATCACCCACCAGTTCTCCTGCATCCATTCCAGAGCTCGTCTTTCGTCGAAGCGCCGCTCGAAGTCGTACTCCGTTATCGGGGAGCTGAGCTCACTCTCGTTCATCTCTCTTTCCTTTATCAGCCCTTCTTCTTTTCAAACAGGAGATAAAACCACCGCAGCAGGAGGAGCAGGAGGAGCAGGAGGAGGAGGAGGAGGAGGAGCAGCTCTGGAAGTTTCTGGCGGGGTTTGTGAGGAGGGATGTGAGCGAGCTGCTGGCAGTGTGGAGTCAGTGTGAGCTGCTGCTCGGGTTATATTAGCGGGGTTATCTCCGGTTAGGGTCCGGGGCGGTGCGAGGATGCGGAACCACCAGATGTACTTCCCCACTGTCACTCACTCTCCTTCAGGCGGAGCAAGTTAGCTGCAACACCGGCGATCCGGTTCGGACTTTCAAAATAAAAGAATGAGCGTATATAAACGGGACAACTATCATATGCAAGAGCAATTAAACTCAGAATTACAAGGCAAACAGTACACATAGAGCACACACGACTGTTTTTGTATTCACACTATTACTTATAACATTATTATTGCAGTCCTGGCCCAACTAAAGTGACAGTGATGTGATCGTTAGCCGCAGTCCTGGGTTTTATTGTGAAGGAAGAAACATTGGTTTCCGGTTGTTCTCGGTGTCACCGGGCGGTTGACGCAGGCAGAGCACGTTCTCTCTTCCTCGAGCATGCAGTGATGGAGGCGGGTGGGGGCGGGGCTTGCCCATGACGTCATATGATGTGGTGGGAGCGTTAACAGTGAGAGTATTGACCCCACAGAGACCCTGTGAGTCTGTATATTATATTATATTATATTATATTATATTATATCATATTATATTATATTATATTATATTATATTATAGTGTAATATATTATATTATATTATATTATATTATATTATATTATATTATATTATATTATATCATATTATATTATATTTTATTATATTATATTATATTAGAGTGTAATATATTATATTATATTATATTATATTATATTGTAATATATTATATTATATCATATTATATTATATTATAGTGTAATATATTATATTATATTATATTATATTAAATTATATTATATTATAGTGTAATATATTATATTATATTATATTATATTATATCATATTATATTTTATTATATTATATCATATTATATTATATTATATTATATTATAGTGTAATATATTATATTATATCATATTATATTGTATTATATTATATAATATTATATTATAGTATATTATATTATAGTGTAATATATTATATTATATTATATTATATTATATTATAGTGTAATATATTATATTATATTATATTATATTATATTGTAATATATTATATTATATTATATTATATTATATTATAGTGTAATATATTATATCATATTATATTATATTATATTATATTGTAATATATTATATTATATTATATTATATTATATTATAGTGTAATATATTATATTGTAATATATTATATTATATTATATTATAGTGTAATATATTATATCATATTATATTATATTATATTATAGTGTGATATATTATATTATATTATAGTGTAATATATTATATTATATTATATTATATTATATTATATAATATTATAGTGTAATATATTATATTATATTATATTATATTATAGTGTAATATATTATATTATATTATATTATATTATAGTGTAATATATTATATTATATTATATTATATTATATCATATTATATTATATTATATTATAGTGTAATATATTATATTATATCATATTATATTATATTATATTATATTATATTATAGTGTAATATATTATATTATATTATAGTGTAATATATTATATTATATTATATTATATTATAGTGTAATATAGTATATCATATTATATTACATTATATTATATTATAGTGTAATATATTATATTATATTATATTATAGTGTAAAATATTATATTATGTTATATTATATTATAGTGTAATATATTATATTATATTATATTATATTATATAATATTATAGTGTAAAATATTATATTATGTTATATTATATTATAGTGTAATATATTATATCATATTATATTATATTATATTATAGTGTAATATATTATATTATATTATATTATAGTGTAATATATTATATTATATTATATTATATTATATTATATTATATTATAGTGTAATATATTATATCATATTATATTATATTATATTATATTATAGTGTAATATATTATATTATATTATATTATATTATATTATATTATATTATAGTGTGATATATTATATTATATTATAGTGTAATATATTATATTATATCATATTATATTGTATTATATTATATAATATTATAGTGTAATATATTATATTATATTATATTATATTATAGTGTAATATAGTATATCATATTATATTACATTATATTATATTATAGTGTAATATATTATATTATATTATATTATAGTGTAAAATATTATATTATGTTATATTATATTATAGTGTAATATATTATATCATATTATATTATATTATATTATAGTGTAATATATTATATTATATTATATTATATCATATTATATTGTATTATATTATATAATATTATAGTGTAATATATTATATTATATTATATTATAGTGATATATATTATATTATATTATAGTGTAATTTATTATATCATATTATATTACATTATATTATATTATAGTGTAATATATTATATTATATTATATTATATTATATAATATTATAGTGTAAAATATTATATTATGTTTTATTATATTATAGTGTAATATATTATATCATATTATATTATATTATATTATATTATAGTGTAATATATTATATTATATTATATCATATTATAGTGTAATATATTATATCATATTATATTACATTATATTATATTATAGTGTAATATATTATATTATATAATATTATAGTGTAAAATATTATATTATGTTATATTATATTATAGTGTAATATATTATATCATATTATATTATATTATATTATAGTGTAATATATTATATCATATTATATTATATCATAATATAGTGTAATATATTATATTATATTATATTATAGTGTAATATATTATATCATATTATATTATATCATAATATAGTGTAATATATTATATTATATTATATCATAGTGTAATATATTATATTATATTATAGTGTAATATATTACATCATATCATAGTGTAATATATTATATTATATTATATTATATTATATTATATTATATTATATTATATTATGTATTGACCCCACAGAGACCCTGTGAGTCTGTCTGGGGTCCAGACCAGTACCACCACTTATATTATATTATATTACATTATATTCTAATGTATTATATTATGTTGTATTATACAATATTATATTATATCATATCATATCATATTATATTATAGTGTATTATACTATATTATATTATATTATATTATATTATATTATATTCTAATCTATTATATTATATTGTATTATACAATATAATATTATATCATATCATATCATATTATATTATATTATATTATATTATATTATAGTATATTGTAATATATAATATAATATTATATTATATTATAATGTATTATATTACATTATATTGTATTATATTAAATTATAAAATATTACATTATATTAAATTATAACATATTATATTTTTTGTATTATATTAAATCATGTTATATTATATTATATTATATTATATCATGTTATATTATATTATATTAAATTATATTCTGAATTTTACAGGGAGCCAGTGCAGAGAAGCAAATACAGGAGAGATATGATCTCTTATCCTAGTTCCTGTCAGTACTCTTGCGGCAGTGTTCAGCGTTCCAATATCCTTGGTTTTTGGACTTTTGATCAGACAACACAGCACATTTTAACAGGTTACCTTGGACTCTGTGATGGACATTTTGTTTCAATATTTTCTGACATTTTATAGACCAAAGGATTTAATGAATTAATCAACAAAATAATCTCATTATAATTTAACTTTCTATATTAAATTAACTGTAAAGCAATGCACAAACTCAATGAATAAATCCTCATAAAAAACACAAAAAAGAAGTAATTAATTTACATTTATTCATTCCTTCTTCATCTTTATCTCATCTACATATATTTATACACACATACACAAACATTTACATACACATATACATGCACATAATATGCACACATACAGCCTTATACATATATGTTGTTATGTTTCTCTTATTCCTCTATTTCTTTTCAATGTATCTTGTTGAACTGAGTAATATTTGAGCTCTGCTTCAGTTGCACATCCAATATATTGCCTGGTTGTATCAATACAGTTGATGGATGTAATAATCATTATTCAGTCTCTCTGTAGAATCCATGAAGTAACTCAAGTATTTATTGTTAAGGTAACTTGGGTAAATTAAGTTTATTGTACTAATTACATTTACTTAATTTAAGTTACTCTCATGTGCAGCATTTCTCCAAACTTTAGAATTTATCTGAATAAAGTCACTTAAATACATCTTCTTTATACAAATGTCACCATCAAGTTAAATTTACTCAGTTTTCTTCCACTAAAGCAAATTATTACAGTGCCTGTTAAAACAGCTGACATATGATAACAACTTATAATTAATTGATTATCAAAATGGTAACCAATTATTTATCAGTGGGGTTTTTTTTATGTGACTAACATGAAATCTTTACACTTTGAGGGATCATTAAGAATGATTTGGATGCATAGTTGGGCTTATGATGATTAATAAACTGACATTGAAAGATCTGAAGCTATACAGCATTATAAAGTTTACATTTATATAATAATATAAAGTCAACTTAAAGAAAATAGGTCACTGGAACAAACTCTATTTAAAATACTAAACACATTTAACTTCACTAAAACAACCGAGTTGCTTCAACAATTAATAAATAAGTTGTGTTTAATTGATGTGAATGAGTGAGGATTAATTTATGTGAACTTACTTCTTTTATATTTTTACAGTGTGCTCTCAGAATCTGTGTCAAAGGTGAAGGAGTCACTTACAATACATGTGAAAGTGTTCAGTGTGCAGTTACATAAGACTCCTGATTGCACAGCTGCACACACATGTTGTGACGGAGCAGCACTGAAGGCCAAAGGTAACCAGTCAGGTCTCAGGTTCATTGTGTTGCAATGGATTAGTGGTAATATGACTGGTGATAATCTGCACTTCTAAAGTCAGATATCAGTAAGATATCA